GGATAGGATGGCGGCCTGATTGCATTAAGACGAAATTGGGCCGCCATGTCGAGATTGAGGGGGGAAGTGATTTTCACCTTTTTTTTTTCCGTGCGGAAATCCCCTCGGATACCACCTGTCGGTGGCATGTCGGACTCGAACCGACTAAAATCGCACGCCGTCTCGGGTACTAATAGCCGGGGAACCAGGTATACCCTAGAAAGGAAGTCCCTGGTGAGTGATTTTCCCCTGGGATATGGTCTGACTAGGCATGGTGTCAATTCGGGGAGGACCTGAAATAACATGGTCCAGGTCCTCCCAGAGTAGGGCACCTGAGGCCGGCCGTCGGGGTGTTTTTTAGTGGAATCACCACATACTCCTAGCTCCTAGCCCCGAGGAGCAGGAGATCCGAAGGGATTTTCCACCCCGTCAAAAAAAAAAAAAAATAAGTATCCAAAGGCTTATATCCAAGCTTTGAATAATTGTTATGCTAGTTGAATTAATTCTATACCAACAAGACCTATTAAATATCCCAAAGTAAGATCTAAGTACGAATAGTTATATTCCAGAGAAGTGAAAGCAAACCCAGAACACCTACTATTATAAGTTCTAGGTTTAATAAATTAAGGGAAACTTTGTTACCAAATCCATTGAGGCGGCAGTTGTGAGACTACACAAGTAGTGTAGGAGTTACTAAACTGGATTGATCTCAATAGACTATGTTGAAATTGAATTTCGACCAATTCTCAATATCGGGTAATCGGCTTTAGCAAACGTGTCGACGTAAATGCAATCTTGAAAGTACTCCAAATCCAAATCTAATCGATTTTGTGCTTTACACATTGATATTCCAGATTTATAGAATGCATCTCATATAGGAAATTTTATATTATTGTTTTTTACCGGACTGCACCACTAAGTAAGTAATGTTTTTCGAGTGTATGTCATGTATGGTTTTTTTTGGCAGACTCACGTTGTTATTGTCGTGTGTGTTAGATTCATCTTAAGGGTTAGAATGACCCGTCTGGTCAGCGTGGTACATTAGGTCAAACTCTTCTTTCCTCCTTTCTAAGGAGAGGCCTATGTCCAGCAGTGCACTATTAAAGTCTGTTGATGTGATGATGTTAGAATGACACTGAGGATATGACAATAATAAAAATTGAAATAACCGTGGGAATATATTTTCACGGTCATATGTACGTGGCAGTGACGCGACAGTCGGACGACGACTGCCACACGAATGAAAGTTGTATATTTACAAGCCCACGCACACATAGGGCCGCGCGCACTACTGAGTTGAACTACCTATACCTATTATATTGAGCGTCGCACTTATTTTGTTTTTTCAATTACGTTTTAATACTCTTTGTTAGTAATGTTTGCAGTCAGTTCAACTTTTTATTAAAAGGATACTTATATTCTACCTTTTTTGGTTACTTACGTATATGTTTGTAATTAGATTATATTGAGTTTAGTTTAATAAGTGCATTACTTTATTTAGGTAAGGTAGCTTATTATCTCATGTTAAATTTGAACCCCGAAAATAAATTGCTTTCTACATTAATTAATTTTCTACCATTATAAGTGGTATTTTTTCTTTACATTTGAATGGAATTAAAGGTGGAAATATATTCTACAAATTAAAAAGAATTTCCTAAATTGGTTTACAAATGAAAGAGTTTTAGGGTAACAAACATGAAAATAATTGCGTATTAGTTTCTTGTGCACATATCTCTGTAACCCAAAATAAAGCAAGGTCAAAACATGATTAAATTAGAGAAACCCCTTCGGCCGCTTACGAAACCAAGTTTCGAAACTAGTTTCGAAACAAGAATAATAATTCTTCTTCCGAAGCCGGTTTCTATAAAAGAATAATTTCTCTTATTTCGAAACTCGTTTAATTGAACTCGAAATAATGTTCCTTCTTTCAAAACTCGTTAATGAAATCGAAACGACACATTATACTACTAATCGCACAAAAATAAAACATACTTACACATACCTTTCATTTAATATCGTTTCCATTGTATGGAAGTAGACAGTAAATTGTTTCTTATCCATCAAAAGAGATTTTTTTACGAGTTTCGAAAGAAAAATATTATTCTTTTATGGTTTTGAAACTTAGTTTCGTAGGCGGCCGAAGGGAGAGAAATAAAATAAAATAAGTTTTCGGGGCTGTAAAATTCAAGGGTTTGCCTCGATTTCTCTGTAATCTCATCATCAGATCCTGACTTTGTGGTAACGAGACCTCATCGGGAGTATACTCTTTCGATTGCAAAATGAATTTTGTAAATCGGTCCACTATTGACGGAGATATCGCATAATAAACATACACAAAAAAAAATACAGTCCAATTAAGAATCTCTTCTGAAAATTAAAGTCTGTACTCAATAAATATTATAGTTTTAATTTGATAAATTTTCACTTTAGTTATGCCTATCATTTTTGGATAATATTTTTTTTTTTATAATCGTAAGATAGACACGTTCTTATTCCATACAACTTAGGCCCGTTCCACATTCATAGACTTCACGTCTTATGGGTCCACCGGATTCATGTTATTTCAATTTCTTTTCCGTAATATACTTCAAAATCGATAGCGTAATTTTAAGTTCACCTATTCTACAAATAGTAGAAGTGTGTAAATACCCAGCATAGCAACATCATTATAAAGATCAAAATGCTATTTCAATAAAACTCACTACTGATGCACTTTTTACCACTTCAAAACGTCGAATAAAATTGAAACTTTGCACACTTATCAAGGACCGATGACAATGCAATAATTTTAACAGTTAATTCTATTATCCTGATCCCGATTTCCGGAATTCCTTCAGGATTACCGGCTTTTTCAATACCCAAACATACGGCAGTGTCTTTTGTCACGTACCAAGGCGTGTGCTGAAGCATATGTGGTAAACATACTTGTTACTTTTTAGTCTTAATAAGATGCGTGGAGGGTAGGATGCGTGGGGTCCTTTTCAAGGTATTTTATAATATAATAACTTTACTTTTACCAATATCTGTCAGTAAAATATTTTACGACAATTGAGATCTAGCACCCCAAGCTTTTTTACGATAAATGATTTTTCTTTTCGAACTTATAGAAAATTATTGCCTACTTTTTAGTTCGGCTAACAACAAAAGCGTCTTTTATTGTTTTTTTAAACTACAATTTATTCTAATTTGATTCTAACTTTCAATGTCTTCAAGCTTTTTTATTTCAAGCATCAGAGACCAGTGACGTCATATCAGTACATAACGGAACGTCACAAGTGGCTGAGTACTTAGCACGTACTGCACACTAAGTACTTCTTCAACGTACTGGAGTTTTTGTGATTCATTTACAACTGGTGTTTAAACTGGCTAAGACTTTTAGCCCAGCCATTACGACAGCCCGAAGTTCTGGTGCGCAATTACGAATAATTTTTCAAATATATAACAGGTTCTAAATGTAATGAAAACTAGAAAATAATATTTATTTAGACTCTCACTCTTGTGTGATGAGCACGATTATTTGTTCTGTGTTTGTGTGTAATTTATCTATGATATGTATGTATTTAGAAATATATAAGTATGTTTATCAGCAGTGTGGTTACCATAGTACAGGCTCTGCCTAGTGTGGGATCAGACGGCCGTGTGTGAGATGTATCACTCGCCAAATTTTGGATAACATGATGCAATCGACTACAATTTTCAAACTTTCATAAATTTATAACATTGATATAAACCGAACCGTAAAAGAAAAACCAACTATCAAAACAACAATCCCCCTTCTTCTGCAAAACTCACATAGTTTGAAGTAACAATTATGATTGCAAATCATAAAAATTACAAATACAGAATTATGATGTCATTAAAATCTACATTTTCAAACTAAAAAACTTACCTGTCTGTCAAACACACTTATATAACCCAATGTCATATTAGAGCTACACCAAGTTTTCACGACTCTGAAATCTTTATTAACCGAATAATAAAAAAGAACAGGCGGCCGGCCAACTTGGGTGAAGTGATAAATGAAACGGTGATTATGTCATGATGGATGTACACATGCGACACATGTCTGTAGCTCCAACCCTCCAAGCCTCCAACCCTCCAAGCCTGGCGAACGTCTACGCGGCAAAACCAATTTCCTTACCACTGTTCATTCTCCATATCTATTATTTTCTTGTAACACTATACAAACCAAGTGTCTTCCATATTTATTTACGTAATTACGTGCAATAATTTAGCGTGGTCTTTTATTGTAAACGATAAACATTTGTTAAATATTCACTGACAATTTGCTGTTTCATGTTAATTTGGAAAGAAAATTCATTCGAATCGAATTAAAAAAAGGATAAAAAGTCAATCGAATCACTTTGTGACCTTTTAACATTTCTTTTAATTTAAGAATAGTAAAAGCGATTCAACCTGCATTAACGAAAAAAAAATTATGTTTCAAAGGACGCATAAATTAGGATTCCCATCAAGTAAGATTATGATATCCATAACATTACTTGGTAAGAATCGATATACAGGCGATATATCACTACTGTAAACTTACTTAGTCGCCGAAAAAATGTTATTACTAGAAAAATAATATCTGTAAGTTAACTTAAAGATTATTTTTCTCTATGGCTCTATATTTTACAGAAGTTATTTTTTAATAAAAATAGCTTTTTAATTATTACTTTTTAACACTTGACACCTTAAAAATATAAATGAATTGTACATTTGACATGATGACTATAATAATAAAGTATAAATCACAACAAAAGGCTACAAAACATTATTGATCTAATGACGTTAAATCGGAGATCCCGCTGTGACAAAAAAAAAGTTTCTTAAACATCTTAAAACCAGAATCTTCCCCTTCACTAATAACAGAATTAAGTCTCGGGATCCTTAAAATAAAACTGAATTTAAAAAAGAAGCTATAAATCGAGATGCAAATGACGTATTAACTCATTCGTTAAATAAAAGTTAGAGAAATCTTGGAAATTGCCTTTGAAAAATGTCTTTAAAAAGTTTGCACAATGCAGGCGTCTCCCTACGCGATGGAGATCAAGGAAGACATTATTTACAGCGATCTAAGACGTCAAGATGAATTTGTTAGTGATGTCGACTCATTAATTATTCGCTTTAGTAGTAGTGTGATTTACAGAATATTTGCATTCTTAATTAACGAATCATGTTTGTCCGTTTCATGTATGTTTGTAAAGTTTCCCGCTACACAGGATATATTCCTAGCACGTGAGATTTAGGATGTATTCCAAGGTCTTATTAACAGTTGCACATAGATCCGTACAGAAGTTAATAAAGACTACCGTAAATACAATTAAAGATGTATTTCAAAGTCTGACCAATAGTTGTACACAAATCCGTACGGTAGTAAATAAAGACAACAGTAAATACAATAAAAGATGTATTCCAAGTTCTTACCAACAGTTTTTATACTAAACGACATCCACGATACACACGTGGTGTTTTAGGTTAAGTATTGAATTATGATAACTATTAATAAATTCGTCGTTAACAGATTTAATAGTTCTTACATGAATTAAGTAATTAACAATTAAATTAAATTTTACAAAAATTAACTGAGTATCAGTGTATTGTTCATATAAAACTTAATTTAAGTGGTTGAGACGATATTAATATCTTAAATAAGACGGTCAAGTGAGCCTGGTTAGTATTTCATTATCTTTCGTGCTTTATATATTTATGCCAGTTTTTTTGTTGTTGTTTTTTCATTTTAATTCTTAATATTGTACAGTACTGCTCTACTATCCAAATCTTATGCACAGGGGTTCCTAATCTTAAGATTTTTTTTTATGATCTTAATACATATACTAGAACTTATATCAGTGACACAAAACTTACAGACTACAATATACCTATAAATAAATAAAAAAATCAAAATACTGAAATAGAAAAATCGTTCTCATTAATCCTACCATAGTCGGTCCCTTGACAGTAATACCATGTTCTTAATCCTCCAAGGAACATTCGTTGTCTAAACTGACCCATTTCATTTCATCTATTCCTTTCCGATAAACTAAATTCGTAGGGTTGGGCACGACAGATATTTATGGATATATATCTCTGTCTTTTATCATTTAATCTAGAACCGTACTCTTCGTATTTTAAATTGATTAAAAAAAAATTTCGGACGGTGTTAAATATTCAGTCAGTTTGTCGTTGAAAAGAAGAGTACGAAGTTGGTAATTTTGTTCATAAAATGTAGGTCAGCATCTGTTTATTAAAAGACTACAAATTAGAATAAATCATTTATTTTATTTCAAAATATTGATTTTAACATTCTCACTACATCATTTTAAATAACATAGTGAGTACTCATTGTTAAAATAAAATTTAATCGAAGTTTAAGAAATTTTATGCAGCTACATATCGAAAGAAAGTATCTTCATTTTACGACAGTGTGCTAAAATGTTACAAGAGTAATTTAGGACACAAAGCAACTGATCTGAGTTAATTCTGGTATTTGTATGAACTAGCTATTCTTCCTAAGTATTCAAGTGCCCGTCCTCGATAATGAGTCGCAATGCGGTAGCTCGTAGAAGTAATATAGGCCTGGCATTAGCCAGCCTATATTAGCATGGACTTTATTTCAGAAATCTATGTTTTAAAACCAAAACTAAGAGTTACATATATTTAGTTTCAATGGCTGTTTTATTCAACTATTTATCAACTTAACAGAGTAGGAAACTGTATGCATAAACCCATCAGTTACACATAAAAGCCTGTGTGGCTAACTTGACCTGAGCTTAGAATTATGGAACTAAAAATTTACACCTCACTTTTAACTCATATGTTAATTTTTATCAAATATAATAACAAATATTAAAATACTGTATACTTTTGGTCTTATGGATTGTACTGATGGAAGTATAATTTCTATATTGGGTTACAATTCATAGTTGTTTATTTAGCAATTTCAATTTTTAAGTCAAGCCAAACTTTACGTTATAGATAATTCAATCATACAAAAATAAACGAAATAACCCGAAATATACGTATGTATTAAAACATACATCCACAAATTAGAGTTCGGTGCCATATTTAATATATTATAACCAAACATGAGCATATAACTGTGTTACGCAAACATAATCAAAAATGTTTCTTATATAACCTTGTACATATAAAAGAAAAATAACCTCCCCAACTCAATATATTGGTTCCATGATCGCAAATATTCAACTACGCCATTCATAAACATGTGTATTTTATTTATCAAACTCATTTTTTTCTTTTATCGTCATATATAAACTTTATAGTAAGTTTATAATTTAGCAAGTGTGGGATACATGTTCTGGGTCCCGCACCGGCCACGCACCGGGACCGAAGGCGCCGAAGGAGCCGAAGGCACCGCGTACGTCATTTACACACATTTTCACGGTTTCTGAAGTGTCAAACGCAGGCATTTGATATTCATGGCGGGCGGTTGGTACGTAACGCACGTCTCTTCTACATAATCCTGTGTCCCAGACTGTGCTCTGATAATATCGACGTATACTCGTGTGTGAACCCACAGATTGCTCTCGTCCAATTTTGTTCCCTAGATATATTTTTTTACGATGTCGCAGAACTATTCCGATGAATCATCGAAATGTATTACTCAATTTGTGAGATTTATGTGTTAACTTGATAATGTGGTATGTATGTTTGATTTCTGTGAAGATACACGTGTCTTAGTGTATCAAAGCTTAAACGAAAAATGACAAATAATGTAAATTTATTCTGGAACTTACATGTATAATAATATAAAACCACATTTTCTTTGTTTCACCTTTAATCATATATTTAAAATATATATTTAATAATAATAATAAATAATCAAAGCAACAACTCTTAAATTATTGAAATAGAGCGGAATTAAACATGTTACATTTTATTTGTGTTAAAGTGTCTACCTATTAGTGTAATATACGCCAACCTATAATAATAACGATTGCGACCCTCACAAAGTAAAGTATATATAAATGTATTCAAGCTGCGATTAGACAACAAAATTTAAGCGAACAGGACAGGTGGAATGTAAAATTAGGCAATTTGCCGGGAGTCCACATTTATCTGCGCCAAATCCTGCTTGCCAGTAACAAAATTTAATTTATACGCATTCCTATTAGAGCTTAAGCTTTAGTATCCGATTAGAATATACAATTCATTTAAAAAAATGTATATATAAATGTACATCTTTATTTTTATGTTAGTGTATATTTTTTCATTATGATGCTATAGTGCTCGGCAAATTTTTAAATACCTGTTTCGGAAATACTTAATATCTTACCCAACTTGATTTTATACTCCCTCGGTCTAGAATTTATGTTATGTATATATTACTTAAATTACACCCAGACATAGAACAAATAATCAAAACATTATATTGAGAGATCCGAGGGTAACTCTTTTGAACTATTTTTTATTTTTATAGATTTAGGTAATACACTTTACACGTTTTTAAATTCACCAAATAGTATTTGTTTTTTTTTTTTCTAAATGATTTAACATTGCACTATTTATAATGCCTATACAAAGACAAACAAGTAAAACCGCGCTACGTGAATAGTACCTACTTATCACGCTGTCTGGGCATGATTAATATTGTTACCCACATAAATTTTAATCATATTAATTTGATAATGACCAGGTATTTTGTCATAACACCATTAGAATTTGTACATACTTTTATTACTCTGACTCTCTGACAATCATTTTTTTATGGGGGCAATCGAACAGCCGAGTCTCCCGATGATAAGTGACTACCGTTGCCCATCCACCTGCAACTCAAAGACACGAGTCCGTAGCCATCATTTCATTGAATAGAGTTAGAGGGAGTGTTGGGCTTACCAGTGATTTCCTTCCTAAGGTACACCTGTTTCCCCGGCTACTGGTACCCGAGACGGCGTGCAGTTTTTAGTCGGTTCGACTCGGTAATCGGTGGGTGGTATCCGAGTGGATTTCCACACAAAAAAGAAATACGGGGGCGTTGGAACAGCGGTGACCTCACACACTCGCTAAACAGCAACGAAATAATTGCTCAACACCAATTTTTTATGAGGTCCATGTATTATTCTAGTCAAGCTGGCCCAATCGTACAGAAGCATTTCGCTTAAACGAGTAAAAGATTTTTTTCCATTATTTTTATTATTCTAAAAGTCCGAACTGTATAAATTTATTTACATAGGAACGAACGAATTATTTACATAGGGTATAATATATATACTAACTAACGAAACTGAGATCTGACTGCATTGACTGCACAGTTGGCGTATTGGTTTAAGCGGTCACCTCGCCGCTTTCTACTGCGCTGAGTATTAGAGGACATCACTTTGTGTGATACACAAATTCTTGTTCTGTGTATGGGTGTTCTTTGTGTCCGTTTCATGTATGTTTGTAAAGTCCCCTGCGATACAGGATATATTCCTAATGCGGGAGTGCCGGTAGACAGAGAAAGAAGATCATTATAAAAGTAAATACCAAGTACATATGTGTTATATTATCAGTTATCAGCTTAGGACCTAGGTAGGTACCTTAGGTATTTTGACATAGTATGGAACAAGATTTAAAATAAGTTGGTTGTAATAAGCCCGCAAGCTTCAACAAGGAACAAAGCCCCTAGGCTTATCCAACGAATTACCTTACTTCGTTAGGATTTGTTCTTGCGGAATAATTTGGTGTTCATTGCCAGATTACACCCAAAGGGTACGTTTGTTATACATCTACATAAATGCACACCCACACATAAGAACTGCTGTTACCAATGACTTCGCCCAAAGCCCTCAGTGTGTTATTAAGTTTTGTGCTTTCGGCGGAACTCAGAAAATTATCTACATAAATTACACGTGACAATTTACAAATACAAGAAAATGTAAGTTATCAGCTGCATAAAATTATTTTAAATATTTTCTGAAAACTCACAGCCGAAAATGTTTAGAATATGACAATATTAACAATAAGATGACCAATTAAAAAGTTTCGACAAATTTAAAAAAGAAAATAACTTTTGGTGAACTACGTTTTTACTTTTTCACATTTTTTATTAAACATTATAATAACTTCAACTACAAACGAATAAAGATTTTACTAGCCCAAAATGTTTCAGTGGCATAACTACATACAAGGACATAAGAATATGACAATACTGACATAAGACATAACTCCATCTATCGCATGTCGCATTTCAGCCAAGGCCAATATGGCGACGCATTAGCTGACCGTGTAGCATTTATATTCTCACTTCATCGTGCAAGTGCTTCGCGGTATTTGTGTGTTTTGATCAATACCCTAAATCTAATAATTTGCCGAAAATTTTCAGTTAAATGCCAACGATCCGAAAAAAGTTTTACTTGCATCGTGGTTACTCTTTGTTTTGGGGATAGGTAGGAAAGGATTGAGCAGACGAAGCATATGACTGCTACCCATAGACACCTGCGACTTAAGCGACATAAATGCTTCACCGCTCTTCGAGCGCACCATCGCTCGCGTAAAATTAAGAGGTTTGGGCCTCCAGTAACTTCACTTACTCGACGAAGAGCAACAAAAGCGCTGCTTAGCAGCAGTTTTCTGTGAATCTGTAGTATTACTCCGGTCAACCCGACCCATGGGTTTGATTGATTTGATTTAAAATTGTACAACTCCCGTATAGGAGTACTAGTGTACATGAAACGGACACAAAGAACACCCAGACTCAGAACGACAATTTATGGATCACACAATGTGACGTCCCATGTAGGGATCGAACACACAACATTCAGCATAGCAGAAAGCGGCGTGGCGACCGCTTAAACCAGTACGCCATCCTTGGTGCGAAAGCATGTCTCTTTCTCGGTTCAAATTAAATCGTATGGTTGCCATACTGTATCGTATTCAACACGTGCCATAGCTAATGACTAACACGCGAGACGCCTTATATAACACGTCCCACGTGTGTTTCATTTGTTTTCTTCGCTCTGTCGCTTTCTGCTCCGTCTATATTGTTTTCCCTTCAAAAACACACTGTTAAATCGATCTACATTCCTGTAGGCCTTCTCCTATAACTAATCTATGTCCAGCCAGGCCTTGGCTTATTCTATTTTCAAAATTAAAGATAAATGTATTAAAAAAGAATAAATAGACCATTTATTTTTCATTTACATTTTTTAATTGTATTTAATAGTAGTTACCTAACTACCTAAAGTTCTTCTAATATGAGCTTTAAATGCGGAATTTCACATTAAGACTTTTTCAATCGTTTAATTTAGACAAGTGAAATATTATTTTACTTGTAGTTTTATTCAGTTTATAAAATTCTTATAAGCGAGTAATTGAAACCAGTTGTGTAGAATGCAAAAAATATTAATTGAACATATACGAATTAAGGTTTTATTTGGTGACAGTTAAGAGTTAGTAAATTGTTTCAAATATCCTAAATAACTTTTAAATTTAAAATATATTTTTTGTGATAATAGATTGCATTTTGATTGTATTGATTTTTTATGATTGAAGTAGATACTAAAAATAAAACTGATTTCAACTGCTACATAGATTCGTAGACGTCTACGAACTGCTACGGAGCAGCTATAACTGCTAGTCAAGTTAAATTGCGAGGTTCTTAGATGCAACCATTATGACAAATTAATACTGTTAATTTGAACTCGTACAGTCTATAAATTCCCTCTCGAAACTTCAGATAATAATATCACATTAATGCCTCTAAGTTAGGGTAATGACCGACTTTTATATTGACATGTTATGAGCACGGCACGCTACATCTTCACATACCGTTTATTGCTTTCTATTATATCTAGTTGAGTCGTAATTTTGATGTACATTTTATTGCCTTACATATTTATATGGTGTATACTCACGTCAATAATTATAATTCTATATATATTTCTGATTTTTAATGGTCCGTGTGGTGACGGATTAAGAATACAGAGTGTCACCACCCCTATTCATCCCGTGGGTGTCGTAAGAGCCGACTAAGGGAGCAAACTATGTAGGACAACAGCACTGCAAAGAGAAGGAAAACTTGACACAAACCCTATACCAACCCGTCTGGCCAGCGTGGTATAGTAGGCCAAAACCTCCTTTCCAAGGAGAGGCTTATGTCCAGCAGTGGACTATTAAAGGCTGTTGATGATATATTTCTGTATTATTATTCACATCACACATCAACAGCCTTTACTAGTGTACTGCTGGACATAGGCCTCTCTTACGACACCCACAGGATGGATAGGGATAGTGTCACTCCGTATTCTTAGTCCGTTACCGTCAAGCATGGACTATTGAATGGCGTATTGATGACCACTGTACTCATGGTAATCATAGCGTGATGTTACACAGACAAGCATACGTAGACAACTTAACCGCCATTTTAAAAATAAAACAATTAAAACCAAATTCAAAGACAGTAATTGCGAATATTCGCAATAAATTAAGCATTGTCAGCCCTAATCGCAAGAGAAACGATACGCGAATTCCTAACGACATTGGAACTCAGCAATTAGTTTTCAGACACACCAATTTCTGACAATTTACCGCTGACGAGCGAATTCTCATTCATTATACGTGATGGAAAAGCACAGGTGTGAACCGTACAGCCAAATGGCATTTAAATCCAGATTAGTTTAAATGCGTGAAAATACTTTAAGTTGATTAAAAAAATAAAAACTTGTACTTAAAATGAAAGTTTTCAATTCAAAGAAGTAAACATAAATTACAGTTAGTATTATCAAAACTTAGTTTCTAACAGTGGACCATTAAACAAAAAATTGCATAACTATTTTCGAAAATGAAAAATTAATCAATAAATTTATAGGTCCATGTGTTTTGGTTAATACATACTTGCTAAATGTTTTTTTATCAATGAGATTAGTATCAAGAATGAAAATGAAAACCTTTATGATAAACTAGGTTTGTCATTTCTCCCTTTACATCCAAATCTAAGTTGTATATTGGTTTTAATAAGATAATTCTATTATATTACTGTTATTAATATTGTTGCGCCATAGGATTTAATGGTGCTAGTGTAGAGTCGTTACTTCACGAACAATCGAGAGCCGTATGGAATCTTGAGGACAGCGTCATCAAGTATCGAGTAACGCACAACGCACACTACCCCTTAAGATTATGGTTCATAATACCGATACTTGCAACGCCATCTAGTGTCGGGTAAGGTAAGTATATTGGTGGCAATTCCTTGTTATCTGGAACGCTCTATCGGGTCCTAGGGATTATTCTAGATATTTCTGCAGCCCTATATATAAGCGGAGCGTGTTGTCCGTACAGGCGAGACAGTGGATTAATCTCTAAGCGATTGTCTAGTGCGACAAGAGTTATTTAGTAAAATTAACGAATAAGGACGGGCCTGTTGGTCTAGTGGTTAGTGACCCCGACTGCTAAACCGGAGGTCGTGGGTTCGATTCCCACCCAGCCAGTCCCAAATATTGTGTGATGATCACGGTCATTTGTTCTGTGTCTGGGTGTAATTTATCTATAATATGTATCTATTTAAAAATATAGAAGTATGTTTATCAGCAGTCTGGTTACCATAGTACGGGCGCTGCCTAGTTTTTTTATGGGACTAATCCCACCCACACGCCCACCACTGTAACTCCTGTACACCAGGATCCACAGCAGTGACCCACGAACACACCGAGTTATGACACTCGGGAAGTCCCAGGAAGAAATTAAACTGTCTTGGAACCCGCAACGAAATTAATCAGAAGAAAATTGGAGGAGTTGGAAATACAGTAAATCCACTTCCCTCCTTAGCAAAGCGGCAAGACAAAATGAAGTAAAATGGGCATACACCCTTGTAAAAAAAGGAAGCACCACGGCCACAAAATATTACGGGTCCTACGTGAGCTATATTTGTTTTCTATAATATGTATGGCAGAATCGCCTAAACGCACGGAAATTCACCCTAGTTGACACAAGATCGCCATAGTATACCGCCCCAGATGTCACCTGCAAGGTATTCAGCATTTTATTACGTTCATTATACCAAAGACTACATTCCCAGAGGATATGATGGGCAGACTGTTCATAGCGAGAGTTAGGTGTTGAGCATTGACACAATGGTGACTCGACTAATTTAAATGAATAAAGCTTGCTCTTAAAGTTACCATGACCCGTAAGAAATTGAGCGACACAGTGATCCACCTCAAGCCATGTCCTCGACAACCGTTCGCGAACAGATGGAAAGAATTGGTAAACTGGCGCCCCTTGGATGATTCATCCCAGCGTTGTTGCCATTCGTCTATGAGGTCATTATAGACATCGGACTGCTGTTGAAGCAATCTTGTAATTTTATCGCGATCCCGAGCGCCCAAAAAATTGCATTCCATGTTTTGTTGTCTTGCACGTCTCTGCACCTCGAGATCGACCGGAAGCACACCCGCCAACACCGGCAAAGTTGCCTAGTTGCCTTGCTGCCTAGTTTGGGATCAGACGGCTGTGTGTGAGATGTGTGAGATATATTATTTCTATAAGATATTATAGCAAAAAATTGATTTGCCTTTACTTGTCCCAAAGCCACAAACAGCCAATTCGTAACTCAGAAACTGCCTAAAACAATTCTAATACAGAGAGACCAGAGAGACCTGCTAAAATTATTGCCTTTTAGTAGGTAAAAGTAAAGTACAGTTTATGCTAATAGTTTGTGGCAAAACTTTAGTTAGTAGGTATTATTTGACGGTCACTAACTTAACTAAAAAACAAGTCATAAATGCGGTAATAGAGAAGGAAAAATAAATTACAGCTGTTTATATAAGTATACATCGGGATGAACACTAACGGGCAAAACAAGAAACTGTTGGCACAAAAAACTTTACTGCGGCTATGATCAAACTATTCAATACGAATGCACTACTTTTCTCAATTGTGTTAAATTATAAAATTTAAATATTAAATTTTTAAATTTATGATGAATTGTGTCATTCTAGTAAATGCCTACTTAGCGATTGTATGCTAATGCAAAATGTTCGCTACATGTGTACTAGGCCTTATAAGGCCTATTATAGTTGCGTATTAGTTGCGAGTAGTTCATTCCCTACTGTTTGTTTAGCTGTTCATAATTAATTTACTTAGTGTGCCGAACATTATGTAAAACGTGATTTCAGTTTTAGTGAAAACATAATTTTTTTAAATACTCATAAGCCGCCACTTGCCTTTTTTTTTCTTGTTCGTACCGTCATGTATGAGGACCAAGATGGTGCTTTGAGGCCACGACATGGGCGGGGTATGTTCTCGGACCACTCCTGTGGAACATGGGTTACGACTGGGCCCTTCGAGGTCGCCTCCACCTCGGGCTGAGCGTTATTTGTTACGCGGATGACACCCAGGAGAGAAACTCAGGCCCAGATAAAGTATCTGGGCCTGATTCTTGACGGGAGTTGCTCTTCGACGAGCACTTCCGACAGCCAGAACATCCCCTGTGGGATTTAGAGGCGGAAGTGCTCGCCGAAGTATATCGGCGGACGACTGAGTTCCGAACGGATAGCGGCATTCGGCCCCGCCCGAAGAGATACGCGAGTGGCGTGAGGCCGCTCGTCGAGCCACGATGGCTCGTTGGTCGTCCCGGCTGGAGGCTCCACTTGCTGGCTTTACTGCGGTGAAGGCGCTCCAGCCGGTCATCGTCGAGTGGGCAGGCGACAGCACGGGACCCTTTCCTTACGACTGACGCAGGTCCTTTCCGAGCACGGCTTCGGGAAGCACCTGCACTCAGTCGCTAGGAGGGAATTGAGTCCCACCTATCACGACTGTGATAGCATTGAGGACTTAGCTCAGCACACGCTGGCAATTTGCCCGGCTTGGGCAGCCGCAATAATGCTACACCGTGTGGTTTTAGTCGGTCCGATCCGACACACCACCCCGCCGCAGGGGTAATTTTTTTGTAGAGGTTTTCTTCCTCGTAACCTTCCCTACCTGATCCCGATTGCTCTACGTTTACGGGATTGGCCGATTACCGCCGGTTGCTTCATGCGGAGCTTCCGACGGCGATCCCGTGAAACGTCGTTCTCCGACGTAGCACTCACACGTGCCCTCTGCGCAACAGAGTGACACGTGGAGGGAAATATCTTCACATACGGCCTAAGCCATCTTGTCCGTGTGTTTTTATAGAGGTTTTCTCCTCTTGGCCAGTCTCCTACTTAGGCAAGAGGCCCCTGCTAACGATTAGTCGGCGTCTGCAGGTCGGGCCGTCTGGTTGGTCAGTCGCTCCACTCAGTGTAAAGATTCCGACGGCAGTCCCGTCGCCCCTCTCTTGCCAGTTGAGCCACCCTTCCCGTGCCAGGAACCACATTAGCCGCGCTAGTAATGTAAAGTCGCGTATACCACCTTCTGCGTGCAACTGCTGGTCGTCGCATCGGACGCCGTGGTTTGGTCTTTGGAAGGCACCTTTCTTTATATATATAAATGTTTAGTTGGTTTGTGTACTCTTAAAAAACTTAAAAACTTCTGATTGAGCTTTGCACTGATTGAGCTTAAATTTAGACACGATATACAACTCACTTCAAAGATAGGTTTCATCTATTTTTTGCAACTACAATGTGCCACAACGAAGCATGGCAGGGTACCTCGAGTAGATGTTTAAAAGTTAGTTTAGCTGAAATAACTAATATATTTAAGAGCTAGTATAGTTTTAACAAGTATATAATGAAAAAACTAACTAATATAGGAACACTAAACCTTGCCTAAAGTAATTCATATTAAAAGCCTTCATATTACTTCTTCTTTTTTTAAATGTCACTCAGTGTAACTCAGTGTATTATGGCTTCAAACGTGTATGTATATTTTATAGTACTAACTTTGAAACGGTGTTATTGTATAAAATACGTAACATTAACGGAGAAGAATAGGTCGGTTAGGGTCGGGTATACCTTTGACCTTTTAGAAAATACGGAGCATTTTTGGAAGGTGACACTCCGTTTTCACACTTTTAGGAATTCAATTGTATAAAAACTATTTTCACTATTATATATTAACGATTATTAAATAAAAGCATTTATCTTGATTTCAGATTCAGAACTCGAGGAGTTGGGTGAGCAGTTACCCCGGTACCGGCCGGACTCGATAGCGGCACTGCGCCGAGCGACCCGATTCACAGAACCCGAACTAAAGAGGCTGTACAGGGGATTCAAAGCAGAGTGTCCCACGGGAGTAGTCAAAGAAGAAACCTTCAAGCTTATATATTCTCAGTTCTTTCCACAAGGAGGTAAGTACATACTTTAGATTTCCATGGGAATTTCAATCATTGGCGTAGTTTAGGGTAGGCAGATTAATTCGTTTAAAGGTGTCTTAAGAGTGTATTCATATGACTCAAAAAAATATGTTGTAATTGATTTTAATGTAGTAAGTTCTAAATAATTTATGGTAAAGAACCAGAAATAGTGACATTCTGATCATGTGCATAAATAACATTGATCAAATTATGGGATTTATAAGAAAATGTAATTGATTATGAAAAAGATTATACCAAGATATTTTGAACTGAAAAAGTTATTCCTTTTGAGTTTATATTCAAAAGGAATAACTTTTTCAGTTCAGAAAGGATATTTATTTAAAAACCTTTGTTTTTTTCACAACAAAATTAATTACTATAAATACTGATAGTTGAATGAACTTCTTTTAAATGTCATTCCTAAATCAATTGTATTACTCTTTTTAACTGTATTCTTCTGAATTCTGTTCAGGCATAGAAATCGAACGTGACATCAATAGTTTCCAAATAAGTACAGTATAAATGACATACGTACGTAGGTATTCAAGTATACCGACTGACCTTTATTGATCTCAACTTGTCTTCGCATGTCTGACTATCAAATGAAATCGTTTCTTCGGTACGAAATGTAAAACGTTTCGTTCGCCAGAAACTTGTATGAAATACTGAGTTATGACTTCATACCTAACTTTTGCCAAATCGTTTACTTTTATTATGTGATTAAATGATAAAAATTATATGAATTATGTTCCACAGTCTTATAACATACCTAGTTTTATAAGGACTGGTAAACAATTTATATTAACAATAGGAAAACTACCCTATTACAAGTTGTCATTTATTTTACTAAAATAAAGTCGAGCCACGAACAATAATGTCACTATTACGTCATACTACTATATTTCACCTTTACAACATGGTCATAAGTGCACAAATCAGTTTAAGTACTTTAGGGTGTGTATATGCCCGTCATTCGTGAAACAAAAATGAAAAAAGCGTAAAATAAAAAAATGGATATTAATCCGGTAACCGGACGTACAGCAATTCGTATTATCTCAAATATTATAAAAGTCAAGATAAAGTGAGTCAGTTTTTGTTTTCACTTCTAAATTTCAGAACGGATCATACTGAAATTTGCCACGGATGGCGTAGTGGTTTAAGCGATCACTTCGCCGTTTCGTACTACGATGTTGTGAGTTCGATTCCCGCATGGGACAACACTTGTTGTTGCGTCCCATGCAATCCACAAATTGTTGTTATGAGTCTGGGTATTCTTTGTCCCGGTTTCATGTATGTTTGTGAAGTCCATTGCGACACAGGATTAATTCCTAATCCGGGAGTTGTCTTTTGTCTTTTAAAAACCAACAACAAAAAAAAAACAAAAACGCTAATAATAAGCGACTGACACATAGACAGGGACAGAAAAATATTATCAATAAGGCTTTTGTTCTTCGCCTTGAACGTATAGGTGTACCACACACGCCACATATAAAGCTAAGTACACACGCCACGCGAACTAGGTTCAATAAACAATAAGAAGAGTGTTCGTTTTATTTACCTTATCCCTCTTTCCCTTCAGAATTCCTCCCCTTAAAGCGTAATATAGAAAACCCCTACTCACGGTTTGCTATCTATCTAGTAATCGGAGGAGAAATCTCACGATTGCAATCTATGACAGCCCGTTGGTAGGGGTTACTATCCTTGACAGAGGTACGTGAAGAAGATATTATCTATGGTTAGAGATTCATATGGATACAGGTAAGTGGCTTATCTATGCTACTACTACTACTATAAATTTGATATACATAGCATTTCGTAAGCCACGAAGGTTTATAATGTAGCGTCAGTAAGGCGTTAAACGTTACTAGGAACGTCTAGATAGATACAACAAATACAAGAAAAGTAATAACATAAAAAGAACTAAATACTGTATAAAATACTACTACGTAAATAAAAAAAGCAAAACAGATAAACAAAAAATGAAACAGTTATTATTAATTTTGATTAAGAAGAAATGGTCGTTCTTTAGATTTAAAGTTCATTAGCGTTAGAATATGTCGGAATTCGGAGGGTAGGTTATTAATAAATTTGGGAACCAAGTACTTGGTTGTTCTTCCACCTTATATATCATTTGTCGCCGCTTGACATACAGACAGGCCTTTGTCTGTGGACAATTTAAAGAAAAAGAAAGAAGAAGAAATGTTTTAGAAAAGTATTAGGTCAACCAGCCTTTACGCATGTTAACATCAACCAACAACTACTGCCGTAATAAAATTATTACAGAACTTTATGACCAATAGAAGTATAATAATACATATGGCGTCCTTCTACGTCCACTGCAAGGGAATAAATTGAGGACATGAAAAACGCATCACATAATCGTATAATCCCATCAAGTTGAGTGGTTTCGGCTGCGGGTGCTGTTTTACATCCACCAAATTGTCCAGGAGGCCGTAAGTTCATGAGCTCTGACGACTATCTACGAACGAATATAGATTTTAAGCCCCTTGTTATAAGTATTATTTTTGATAGTTTTGTTTCTATGCACCAAACAAAAACCAAAACAAATTAAAATTCATAAGTAAATTTTAGTCAAAAGATTAATGTACAACTATTTTTGTTTGTTTGTTTTTGTTGATTAATGTACAAATATTATTTGTGTCAACATGCTGTACGCAGTTAATTCCGCATAAACGTGAAAACCCGTGAAACAACACATGAAATCGTATACCAGAGTTAAAATATGGAACCATTTCATGACTATCTATAAGAATCTCACAAGGGATGTAACTTAACACGGCGAGGGTATTGGTGATATAATTATAGCACTGCATTAGTTTAGTATATATGGTCATCCATATAAATTACGTCACACGTAAAGGGGCGAGTTTGTCTTAAGTTGCATGACTTCACATTTTAAAACCATTCATTCAAATATATCTAAAACGAGAAGTTTGAATAATTAATTCATCATCTTTTGTTTTCCTGCATAGCACAATTTAATTTAGTAAAATGTAGTAAAAAAAACGTATGAAATCTTTCGTGAAATCACTCTTATTAATATCTATGACATGATAAACCTTTCCTTCTCAACAATTATCTCTCTCTGTTCGAAAACCCAAATATACTGTGTTCTGAGTTTTTTAAGATAGCTTCTGCATTGATATTGTTTTCGGAGTAAACTGGAGTTTATAAACATCCAAACAACTGACATAAAGAACAGGTAGACTTGGAACAACTGTTAGTGTATCACACATTTTTTTGTGCCTTATGAGTCGAATCATCACAAACATTATTCAACGAGCAATAAAAATGGTCTTTATTATGATGAACTGCAACTAGATACCGAGCTGATGTGAACCTGTGATCAAGAAGTAAAAAACACAATTTAATAAGTAGATGCCATATATTTTCCCAATAACAAGAACGCCTTACATCATACATTACTTTTTTCACCATTAAGTCTTACAACTTTATAAGAACTATGACTTATGATACGAAAGTAGTTTTACAAATGGCCAGCATCAAATTCGGGTCTTATTTCATACATGGTAGGTAATGACACCAACTGCTGTAAATGTGTTCGAGAGATTTGCTTAATTTTGGAATGGGGCCAAAGAAAGCCACCTTGGTAACAAAAAGGATAGCGCTTCGAATGACTAATTTTCAAATTCTCGATTAAAGCCGATGAGAAATAACAGGCGGGATTCAATGTGAAGTTAACTGAATAAATCTTAATTTAAATATCATATCATTAGCTTTTCACTAGTTTTGAATAAAGTTTAATTATATTCGAATGTAAGTATGTTCATTTAGTACGGTTTTGAGTTTAAACTACTCAACTGATCATCATGAAATTGTACAAACATGTATCCACGCATGCAAAGAAACATATGATAGTCTTCCTTACGTACCGTACATTTTTTGACACTCACTAATCACTTTTATTTCTTACTAGCGATCCATCCCGGCTTCGCACAGGTGTAATGTAGATACTACTAATACTACTAATGTGGTATTAGTGTAGAGTAATTAATTATCCTATTATTAGCCTCTTAAATCACTCACTCTATTGTTGGAATCATTAAAATCCGTTGCGTAGTTTAAAAGATCAAAAACTACAAGAACAAATAGTGACTTTACTTTATACTACTCGTATGTAAAGATTTATGTTGTTATGACAAATCCAGGACCAGGAAAAAGAACCCAGGACCTCAGCATGACAGTCTGTTGATTACCGTACTAGGTTCAATAATATATACATGTGTGTCTTGTGTGGAATGGTATACAGTTTTGAACATTTACCGTGGAGATTTTATACTTTCACTAGCTTTTACAGCGGCTCCGCCAGCGTTTATGTCGTCCGACATCACTTTAAAAGTAGCCTATGGTACTCGCTTATATAGTAGTTTTTCATTGGTGAAAGAATTTAAAAAATCGGTTGAGTAGTTTAGGCGGGAAAGCGTAACAAATAAACTCACTTTCACATTACAATATAAGAATGGTTAAGTATACCTACGCATATTTTTAACACTATTAATTAGTAGGACGGGAAAGTCGTTATCTTGTTGATACGACTAGCACCATACGTACGTAGTGTTAAGCATTAATCAATCCTTAATCCTCGACATCGCGGTGGACCGGTGCATTCAATCGGCTGAACCGCAGGCGAAACGACTTCCACTGGCATCGCGATTAGACAGGACATTTGCGTCATATACTCGATCGGGATCACTGCTCTGCGCAACGTACCCATCAGCCCTGGATCTAGGCAGGGCCAACCGGGGCACCCGCACCGGGCGGCAGTTTTGAGGGCGCCAAAATCATAACATAGTATGATTAAAAATAAAAAACTTGCAAAGTGCCTAGCATACGGAAGCCTTGGCTTACTATCTGACGCCACACAGACCCACACTACAAGTGAACCTATATATTTGTGAGTTTTTTAAAGTAATTTATCTCAAACGCCGGAGAGAGAGGCGCAACTATCAAGTTTCTGCCTCGGTTCGAAAAAAACGTAGATCCGGGGCTGATACCCGTTTGCCGACATTACAAACCACAATATAGTCCGCTTTTTATTTTTTCACTAACTCCGAGGCCTCAACAAATCATGTCAACTATTAAAAGCCCATATCTACTAATAACAGGTGTATTTAAATAATACTTACCTAATTAAAAATACATTTCTAGTGCTATATATTACAGCAGTTACTGTCTACAGCTTGAAACACATGCGAGGTTTGAGGAGTAAAATTACTTATTAGTCATATTCTTTATGTAGCCAATAGCTTATTTTAACAAAAATCTATTCCTTCGCTTATTGGCAGATTTCAAATAGTATTTTAACTTAAGGACCAAACCAAAATTTAAATCTAAATAATGTTTTCTCATATATATTTTCCAAGGATTATACGTAATTGAAATACGTTTTAAAGTTATTTCAACGTAACGTCACGTTAAAAGCAAAAGTGCCACGCTACCAACAATCAACTCGGTGAGTGCTTTCAGAGCAGTTACCAAGTGCGCTTACTGCATTTCTGAAATGGTGGAGCGAGGAATGACGAGCGTCTTTCATATGTACAATATGTACATGCACCGAATGAAGCAGTTAATGCCTTACTGCCAGGTTTTATAAACTTATTTTATAACCGACTTTAAAATAGAAGAAGATTCTCAATTTGGTCCTTTTTTATGTTTGTTACCCATTGATTCATGAAACGATTTAAAAATTATTATTTTTGTTTGGGAGGGTAGGTATACTTCACGTTTGGTCCCATTCAAATTTGAAGAGAAATACCACCGTTAGGCAGATACCGTTACCAATTGCGCAGAGGCAATATCGTAACCAATGAGGTTTATCCGAGGTGCGATTATTGCTAGTTGAAAACTTTAGGTGGTGCTATTTTTCTTACAGTCTGTCAAAAGGTTTACTGTACTGAAAGGTTTGAACAGATAAAATTCAAGAAAATAGTCTTGATAGGTAAGGCCTTCATGGGTAAAGTTAAACCACAATTTTTGTTCGTTACTATCGAAACCAGATAGATTTTCGTGAACCCCTGTCGAGTCCTCGCCCTCCTAGGGATCCACATACGTACACGAAAAGACATCTTTTTTTTTTAACTATTGTATAACGCATGTTGGTCAGAAAAAAATAATTAACAGTGTCACACCCAGGTGGACTACGCAGGTGAACCCGTCTTACGCTCACACGGTACGTAGACTTTATAGAGTGGACTCATTGTCATCTTGCAAATAAGATCTACTTGCTACTTCTGATGATATGTACTAAAGAACCTCATCGAGGCTTGAAAGCCTAAGTATTGGAACTATACTAACTGTGATGACTTTACGTTGACGTACGTTGGCGCTGCCGTCAGTTTCCAATTATCATCTCAAGTCGTATCTGTGCTAGTCGGATCACTTTAGGTGGATCCACTATTTTAAAAAGGTGTTTACTATTTTCATTATACTTAATTAAACAGTACACGTATTGATGCTAAAATCGATAAAACACCGTTACTAAAAACAAATGTTATTTGCATCGTCTGCTACAAAAAAAAATTAACTCAGCCAAAAAAAAACGCTAACTTTCATTCGTACGATTTTTATTCAAATGAAGGCACGGCCCACGTACCAAATTTATTTCAGGCAAAAACATCGACGGCAATTATTCGAAACTGCCTTTCAGGTTGTTATCTGAGTGGTACAACACCCACAAATTCACGTTTTTATGACATATATATTACGCAGAGCGTGGCAGAAATAATAATCATCACACATAAAATACCGTGTTAAAATACTGTTGAGGCACATTTTAATAGTTACAAGCTAAGCCTCTAAATCTAGCCTTGTCCCACGGTTTTAGGCACTGTCTATTTAAATAGTTATTTTTATAATTTTTTTACGTAGCTCTAGTTCAAGATGAGATTAACGTTTTAAGAACAGGCAGTTAAGGTACTTCTAACAAAGTAAAAAGAGTTTGAAATTCATTGAAAATCTGCTGATTATACTTATCATTTTAGTTATGGACTAAGTCCGTATTTTCACCTGGATATTTTTTTTTTATAATTACCCAGGAAAGAAGAACTTATATTGGTTGGCACTTCGTTGCTAATCAGTAGAGAGATTATTGCTCCTGTTACATCACAAACTCCCAAAAAATTAAAAAACCGTAAATAAAGATGAGATTGAGTTTCTACTGTTTCATAACCGCATTACGTTGGAGTTCATTTTCAGAGTTCCGTAGACTTTTCTATAATTTCCATATACCTAGTGTCACTCTCAAAACTAATCCGAATCTAACAACACCTCCCAAGCCAAAACTCATCGAGCCCTTTAGACTTCGGAGCGTGCCAAAGGAATACATCCCAATATACACTCGAAAATCATTCAGTCGCGTAAAAATAGGAACTTCATTTTTTGTAGGATACGAGTACTATCCGTAAAACGTCGAACCCATAATATGACTATTTTTGGAAAGGTCTTTCGAAATCATTGATAAAGTGAAGATTAATTTTCGATTCAATGATTTAGTTGTGACATATTAAATATAAATGTGTGCATATTAAATGTCCTAAGCGCCCCACAGGCCATCCATAAACTAACTCCAACCAACTTATAACTTTTTATTTTATTTTATTCGCATATTAATAAATTTACTACAAATGTTTATATTACGACTACAATAAACAAATGTTATACATCATATTATGATGTATAACATTTAACTCCGCACGAGCTATTGGTCAAATCGAATAACCCATGGCACTACTCACTTCCTTCCCATTTTTACAAAATTATTTCCACAAATAAAAAATAAGAAACATTACGAATAAAAATTTATCGCTATCCCCTTAAATCAATTATCTTTACACCAGTTCCTATTATTGTGTCCTTATCATTAATATTATCTTATTATTATTATAATTGATCCTTAAAAATAATTCTACCAAATCACATGACCAGAATACTATGCTTTTACACTATTTACATATAAGCATCCAAAAATTCCTCCGCATCATCGGCTACTGGTAGTGTACCCAGATGACTGATAATTAATTAATCCTATTTATGAAAATCCAATACAAAACGAATTACTAACATCTCTTGACTACCTACATAACCATCAACATAACCAAGTAACAAGAAAAACCGTGACACGATCTCAATTCATTACAGTAAACAAGTAATGTAACAATTATCTGACACGAAATGAGACGAAACCATACTAAATATTTCGAAAAAAAAGTCTTTAAAAGAAATCAGTACTTCTGTTTAAAACAGATACGCTAAACACAACAAAAAGCGATATCTGCCTCTCCTTTCCTTACAAATATGTTGTCACATATACACTGCTTACACAAACGTTGTACAAGGTATCTTGCCTTAATTTTCTCGAATGGTTTTAAAAATCTAAAGAAGCTGGTGTTTATCATGATAATATATTTTGTAATTGTTTTTAAGGCACGCTGTTTGGTCTACAATATATCACAACTATCGTCTTTATGAAAAAAATGGAATTTATTTACATTAATACTACTTTGCATTAATATAAATATTAATTTAACAAATTAACCAAGTGCAGTTGTTACTCTTACGTAAAATGAAACGTTAGTCTCGACTTTGCACAGCACTAGCTGTCGTGGGGCACATCACTAGTACCGGAAATCGGTTTCTGCAGTTGGTAGTTACATCGAAGTGTATTGATTTTCTATTTATAAACACTCCTATAATATAATGTTTTCTTAATATACTTTGGTATAAGAAAACATTAAAATATATAAATAATTTGAATACAAGTCCTATTTTTACTGTTACTCATTTTAAAATCTGTATTTTAAGTTATATTACAAAAAACTTTCAAATTAGGATTCAAATATTATTACCACTAATAAGCTCATTAGTACACTCTCCTATAGCCAAAAAATATATAGCTTTTTTATGAAATTATCGTTGGTTATTAGTGCGCAGAAGCCCGCCTTTTCGCCCTAACGACTGCGCATGTGTTGGCAAACCTGCTCTGTTTCCTCCAAGCCGCGATCGGACGCCATTACCACGCCATCGTACTCGGGATCTGTCACTAGTGCGTTTACCGTTCCTATAATCTTTAGATTTTAACGGTGTCTTGATTCTGTGTTGACAGTCTTTTTTATTGAACCAATTCACAATGTCTGACGAGAAAAAGGTGCGTATATTACTATATTATCAGTGTATTTAACAAAAGAGTGCTTCACCGACATGGCGTTAATAGTGAAATGTGGTTACCAGACTTCATGTGAAAAAATGTTTTACACTATTGTTAGTCAGATTCAATTTTTATCGGCAGTTTATTTGTTTTTCAGGGAGAAAGCGAACACATCAACTTGAAAGTCTTAGGTCAAGATAATGCCATTGTGCAATTCAAAATCAAAAAACACACTCCATTGAGAAAATTGATGAATGCTTATTGCGATAGAGCGGTAAGTGCTATATATTTGCTATGCGGCCTTTGACCTTTATGATGTTAAAATACTAAGTACAGATATTTCAATCCTGTTGATGAGCTTTTGTTGTATTAGAACAATGATTATATACCCACTCTTCAAAACTTATAAAGGCAGGACTTAGGAACCCAACAGAATTCTTTGTTTCAAATTATTTACAACCAAATATTAACAATATGAAAGTGGTTACCTAAACAGTTAATGTAATTGTATTGTATTTCATTTAAATATGAAATTAAATTATCTCTGACTTCCATAATATCAATGAGACACTGACTTCCATGATATCAATGAGACAGTAGAGAAGTGTCTTAAATAGTGATCCTTTTTGCAGCTGTGCAAAATCTTATTTACAAATGAATATGGATATCTTTGCCGCTCGCTCAAAATAAACTAAATATATATTATAGAACTTAAAAGTCCTACTTTAAACTTATTATTGCCAAACAAAAGACTGCCTGCTAGTCAAATAAGTATTTGTATCCATTACAGACTTTTTACAATTTGTCTTACCTTAGTACTGCATAAGTATACTAAAATATTTGTTACTAAAGTACTACTAAAACACAAAAATAATTTCTTTGTAACCAACCAAACCTATTTCTAAACACACTTCTTGGCAATTCCATTCTAGCTGAAGCCAAAAACAGATTTGAATCATAGAATTTATTGTAGGTACCTCCTACCTTACATTTTAATGAAAATTATTATCATCAGTTTCTAACTAGTCTAATAGGATGTATCCTAATATTTCTCCTGTGTTTATCTGCTTTCTACTGATGGATTGTAGCATGATCTAGTACATAAAAACACCATTCAAATTTTTTTTCTTGAATCTAACTGGTGTTCAACAGGTTAGTGAGTTCAAATGAAGAAACAAGCAATAGTCTTCAGCTTTATGATATTAGCGTAGATTACCTTAAATAGTATCCTATTTAAGGTAATCTACGCTTAACTCTCTAGACACCTAATATACTAAATAGTCTATGAGGGTATCCCTCATAGACTATTTAGTATATTAGGTGTCTAGTGTAACACATCAACATGCTCTCGACAGCAAGTGTATTTGGCATTGCGATTGGTGGAGATAGTTTAATGCAGACCAATCACAATGCTGAAACATGGTCACTGTGATGATTGACTTTATATGAACTAAACTTACACCTGGCCCTTTGAATACCATGCTAGAGTGTTAATCATTTACTATATATATATATATCATTTTTATTATACTTTTCAGGGTTTATCAATGCAAGTGGTGCGATTCAGGTTTGACGGGCAGCCAATCAATGAGAATGACACGCCAACATCACTGGAGATGGAGGAAGGAGACACAATAGAGGTTTACCAACAGCAGACTGGTGGTGTTATGCCTCTAGTGTAATTTTTTTAATTTAAGGAACTGTCCAATTCCGGAAGATGTGGTGTACCTAATAATAATATCTCTACTTTAACCTTAAGTTAATTTTAAAATAAAAATATGCAAAACATTGTACTTTTGAGGTACACAGTTAAGTATCTAAACTGTGTGAAACTTATCAGTGTGTATCTGAAACTGTAGTACTGTAAACTGTATTTAATTAAGAAAATTTGAGGTAAACCAAATGTTTCAAGGTAACTTCAATCATTATTCCAATGTGATAATTTTAGTTGACACTTTCAGTTCAGCTTTTAAATGAGTGTGAAAGAGCTTAGTGACACTTCAAGCTGTATTGGTAATAATTTATTGGACTTGTTGTCCATACCATGAGTCAGTACTGTAAACCACTGATGTAATGAAAATCTGAAATAAATTAAATTTAAAATAAAGAATCTGTTTTGTTTTTTTTTTTAATTTATTGCTCATACATTTCATATTATATTGAAATATTGTTTCCAAAAGCAAAACTACAATTTTTGCTTTTAAATAAATTTAGATCTAGTTAATTAAAAAAATATATGACATTCCATTCTACCTTCAAAAGTAAGTTACAGTCATTATGAATTTAACTTATCAAACTGGGATATAAGTTACCCAACTTATTTGCTATTACAGACTAATTGTCACTACTAAAGTTATCCAGTTTTGTACCGGCCGTACTGGCGTGATCAATGAACATTATTCATTAATAACATTTTAGACATTTTTATAATGTGTTGTTTTGAGTTCTATTTGAAAGCTGTACCCAACGGTTAACGGACGTTGTTTTAAAAGAAAAATTGTAAACGTAAATCACCGTGAAAGAGTAATTTACAAATAACTCTGGCTTACCTGATAACCGAAGAGATTATTATTTATTGAAAAATGAATGCTTTTAATATCGCTATACAATTATGTGCCAAATTATCAACTTAAGGTCAACTTTAGGTATTATATGAGAATAGGTCTTCCCTTGTTAAAAACTAAGGTATCCAAAATCTTGATATCAGCAAGCAAGCATGTACCATAAGGCTACACGCTTATACGAGACCTATGCCTATTTCCTTTCATTAAACTGATCAGATTACCAATGTGGACTGTAAGACAGGTGACTCATCTTTCGAAGGTGAGTCATCACTTTATTTCACAACATATTTAAATATTACGTAAAGGAAATAAGAATCTATTTACCTCGATAAGTCTACCTTACAGTTATGAGCACAGCTTGCTACATTATACTAATCTGTGGAGCACAGGTAATATTTGTCTGACAATGTGTATTGTTTTTACCCCGTCTATTTGAATTAATTCCTAAAGAGATCTGTTATTAGAGTATGTACATGTAGGGTCCAACCCGAATATATTTAGGTAAGATATTTGTTCTTGGGAAACCCTAGCTTACTGCACCCCTTTTAACGTACGCAGATTTAATAAAAGTACTTGTACATATATACTAGGTTTGAGCTCAGAATCGAAGGCCAAATTAACCTTCATGGATGAAATGTTCGATGAAAACATCTTTCGTCCGAAGTCGGTTGTACAAAAACACCCGTCGTCTGTAGTCGGTTTACTTTATTTTTTGGCTATCCTTAATCAGTATTTTTTCTCGCAGAAAGTTACCCTATGCACTTTTCGGTTCAGAGATTTTTTAAGTAAAACCTCTTTAGGCACGCTTGACTTAGGGACTAAGCTGGTAAATGTGTGACGAGAGCGTTACGAAAAGTGTGATCGGGCGAGTCGAATGGAAGTTGAGAGGGAGATATAAGTTAGTGAATATAGAAAGTGAGAGTTATGTTTCGTATATTACTGTAGGGGCAAGAGAGAGAGGTGCGAGCACAAATTTTCTTTCTCTCATAGCCAAGAAGTTTTACTTCAGTCGTGTGATTTCAAGCACACCCGTTTTTTTTATTTACATTTAAGTTTGGTGGTGGTTATTAAACCTCAAAATAGTTCTAATCTCTGCTACAAAGTATTTTATGGTAACTTGACGTCCAGCGAAGCTCATTGGACATTTTACTTTCGAAACAATCTACGAGTATTTTTGTGAGTACTGAATAGTAATCAAGAGTCTACTTGATACATACTTACTTATACTTATACTTGTTACATGGGGATTGCAACACAGATATCATTAGGCTGTAGACGACGCTGCAAACTCTTTTTAAGATGCCAATAACTTATAAGATAGGGATATCAGAAGAATACAGTTAAATCAGAAATTGTGTTTTATTATTAATAATTTTGTACTGATTGTGTTGATTAATTTTTTTACTGTATATACTATATGAGCATATATTCATTACAGCAAACACAGCTCAATACGCACATTACGTGTTCAACACGTTGGACCAAGACAGAAGCGGCTTATTAAGTTTTGAGGTATGTGTTGCATTTCATCAGTTGCTTAACCAAATATGAAAAATCAGTAGATAGTTAAATTGTCTTTTCAAGAATTATCTGCTCTCGATCAATACAATATCTGAATTGAGAACTGTATGCAGAGTTTTAAGAAATGCCAGTTTATACACGAACTCGAGAGGTGCACGACTGGAAATCGTATAATCTACGCTGATTGCTGTAGATAATACTTAAATAAATGGTTTTAACACATCAGAAGTCAATTAATCATTATTATTTCTATTACAGGAATTCGTGACGGGTCTCTCGATATTATCTAGGGGAACCTTAGAAGAAAAGTTGCGCTGGACATTCTCACTGTATGATATAAACGGCGACGGGTGCATCACTAAAGAAGAAATGACTGAAATAGTGACAGCTATTTACGACCTGATGGGGAAAATCGTCGAACCCCTTGTCGACGATGATGTGGTCCAAGAAAAAGTAGAGCGACTTTTTCAAGTAATAATTTTTTTTATCTAATTGGGTTCGGTAAGATATGTTAACCGTACTGGATCTATTTTTAAGATAGTTTTCAGCATATATAAGATTGATCAAAATATTCGTAAAAAATCGATCAGGATTAGAATCTGATATTCCTCATTCTTGATCGACAAAATATCAATTAGCTATCCTACTCAATCACACCCACTATATTTATTTATTGAGCCTTCCTACAAACATATTGCATAAGGCGGACTTAATGCCTCAGGCATTTTCTTCCAGTCAAACCTTTGGGTGTTGCAAAGGTGTGTGTGGCAGGTGTATTTTTGGGACAGGTAAAGATGAGACTGAACTAAGAAATGTTACAATGGGAGAAAAGAAAAAATCCTAATACTTAAATTTAAAAATATCATAATAAATTTAAAAATATACTTACATAATACGAAGATAATAAATATACTCTTAAGGTGTTATTGTGATGATTCCGTCAACAAGTCTCTATAGAGCTTCCGTACTTTAAGCTTAAAAGTGTAGCGGTTAGTGGTCATACACGTTATGTTAAATCCCTGATCTACGGGTAAATAATTTAAAGGCAATGGACTGTAAATTTGTACATATATTAATAAAAACAATTAAAGTGTGGTGCGCGTGCGATGCTTGCGGACTTCAGAGGTAATGCCCTCGGGAACAGCTGACGGTTGGCACCTCCGCGCCGCGCCCCGCGGCCCCCCCGTAGTTGCCTTGCACAGCTGCCTTCTCCGAAGACAGCCGAGAGTAGCCGAAACTCGCGGACGGCGCACGAACATCCTCCCGGGCGTTGAAGCATTCAAACTAAACAGGCAGAGGACAAATATTATTGAAGGCTCGTAATAATATGCCTTTCTTGGTCTTGAGTTGAACCACGCGAGAAGCTCCGTCGCTGCCAGGAAACACCTTGATGACCCGTCCCAAAGGCCACACTAACGGTGGTTGTCCTCTCTCCTTTATTAACACCAGGGTTCCCACGGTCAGTTGCCCTGAAGAAGTTGTCCACTTTGTTTTTTGCTGAAGCAAGGATACATATTCCATTTGAAACCGTTTCCAAAAATGTTGTTTGATATGTTCCAATTTTTGGAATCGCTCCAGCCGCCCAATGTTGATATCAGTTACCAACAAAATTTGTACCGTTATCGGATAAGATGCTCTCGGGTTTGCCGCGCCGAGAAATGAAGCGTTTTAATGCAGCCATATAACCTTCCTTACTCAGGTCTGTAACGAGCTCTATGTGTACAGCTTTAACTGTGTTTGCCTGATGAGCTCGCTACAGACCCGTCATCACCGGCTCTGGACAGCAAACGACACGCTTGCGCTATAAGCTCATAATAACGCTCCTCAAATTTGGTGCGCTCCTCATACGCTCCGTCTGGCTTGTCGGATTGCACTTCAATTTGGATCTTGACCGCGTGAGTAGACTCGTCGACAGCTGACTATGAAGTATGTGCTATGTAGGTAGGTAGGTGCAGCGCTTGTATTAGGGGAAGGTGTTTTACCTATGAATGGTTTTACCTGTGGACATCATTGATATTTCAAAAAATAAACACAGAAATTTAACGAATTTAACGCATCCGTAACGTATTTTTGATGTGTGGCAACATTGACTTCCTGCCATTTTGTATCTTTTGTTGTGTGACCGGTGACAGACCGTTAAGGGTTTTCGCTCAAAAAAGTAAGTATTTGTCTCTTTTTCGTCCTATTTTTTTGTGAACATATGCAGAATATAGATGATTATTTTTGGTCATACTGTAGTACATGTAGTTAAACATCCATTTACAGCGGTATAACGGTGTAAACTAGTACCTATCATGCCGGTAATACATTTTTAGGATGTACTGTCTGATTTGTACCTGTGGACATCGAAGTGTATGTACCTATGGACTGTCCACAGGTACAAATTTTAGTTCGAATTTCTTATTTAATCAGCATATTACGATTTAGAATTTCATTTTTTTCCATTTTTCAGTGCCTCGTAGTAAGGACGGAAAAACGCGACGTAGGTTGTGTTCAGAGACGTTATCTGAGGCAATTAAAGAGGCAAAAAGTGGATGTTCATTGCGAAAAGTTGCAGAAAAGTATAAAATACCAAAATCTACGATATTTAAATACCTTCACATGAATAAGGAGAATGATCTGAGCGAGAACAGGGTAGTTATTTTGAGAAATGACATGAAGAAAGTATTTGATGAGGAAGAAGAAAAACAGCTTGCAGAATATTTAGATGAAAATTAAAATTCAATCTGCAGAAAAAAGGGTCACAATTCTTCAAGATGAGCAGTTACCCTATGCCATGTGTATGGGATGTAAAAGACATGAAAATGTTTACAAACTGCTCAATTGTTCTCAATGCGATTTGAAATATCACCAGAAATGTGTATCAAGATCACATTTAGATAATTTTGAATCAGATGATGAGTCAGACTTCTTATATCAAAAGTGTTATATTTTAGATGATGGTGATTCAGATGCCTCTGATGACTCTGCCTTAGAACTATATAAAAATTATATAGATGACAAAACCAAAAAGAATAATTGATTCTTTAATGTTAAAGTTGATTTATAAAGATATTCTATTTATTTTTGCTTATTTTTATAGAATTATTATGTAAGGATAAGTGATCTGTCCATAGGTACATTGCCGTCCATAGGTACAAGTATTTCTGTCCAGAGGTACAATCATAAGATGTACCTGTGGACAAATTTAGTGATTTAAAAAAAACTGGTTTATTTTAATCAACATAATTCGTACAAAACTAAAGACTGCTAATTTTTAAGTGTTAACTAATCCTGGAACAACATTTGTAATACTTTACGGCTAATAAATAAAAATTAAATCATTAAACCATATTTTCATTCAAAATCCGGCAAATGTCCACAGGTATAACACCTTCCCCTACTTTATAACGTTAAACGGCGAGCGTAAATAAGCAAGCGCACGCTAGAAAGCAATGCACAGCGAAATATAGCCTTATGAAACAATCTGGTTATTGTATGTCTCAAACAAGAACAGTTAAAGGAAAAAAACGGTTTGAAAAGTAATTCAAATTTAAAAGAATTCAAACTTTTAACAGAAATAGTTGGATAGGAAATAAGAGGGTAAAAATATTGGAACGATACCACAAATATCCCCATCCACAGATTACGCGAGTAATGACTTGGCAGTTATATCTTCAGATTATTCGACCTGCAGTCTGGAAGGCTTCGGAATCCTCTTGATTTTAATTTTCTCGAAGCGATGACTTGATCGATATTGATAATCGAAGCACAGTGTCTAGAAGACTTCGAGAACAAAGACGGCAACTTCTACTGCCAATACGTCCGTTAGCTAGAAGACACGACACACACCACTTTGAATTTTCAACGGTTATTAATTTATTTTTTCTGCCGGTGGCCGACGTTCTTGATCTTCTCAAATCGCGGCGTAATAGATGGCTGAAGGACCAATGTTAAATCCCTGATCTACGGGTAAATAATTTAAAGGCAATGGACTGTAAATTTGTACATATATTAATAAAAACAATTAAAGTGTGGTGCGCGTGCGATGCTTGCGGACTTCAGAGGTAATGCCCTCGGGAACAGCTGACGGTTGGCACCTCCGCGCCGCGCCCCGCGGCCCCCCCGTAGTTGCCTTGCACAGCTGCCTTCTCCGAAGACAGCCGAGAGTAGCCGAAACTCGCGGACGGCGCACGAACAGAGATTATTCATTGTCCTGGCATGCAAGACTATCCATCAGAAGTGTAAAACAACCATGGTGGTACTCTGATGGATCCTATGCTGACAATGCTGTCAACAGTGTACATACTTAAAGAAATACTTATTAATTACTCTCAAATAATATAATCACGTTAATACAGTGAATAGTTAACACGTTAGTTTGTAACGACTTAAATTTAATTGGGGATGCAATACATCCATAATAAATACACAAATATTTTCTTAAATCAGAATAGTATGGTAATTAGGGCATGGCATAATGTCGTAAAGCAAGCACAATGTAATAAATAAGTATCACTAATTAAGCAGTTAGTTCATAGAATGTTTCGTAATCATTCTGAGATCCATGGACATAATGCCTAACAGTTATTATAAAATCCATTCTCATCTCAGCCGTAGTAATACACTTAACTGCCTCTTTGACACACAAATGCTCTCATGGCTCCTCTTACTAATGATTTTGACTTTGTACACGTACCTACAGCACTCTTTTCACTTAGTCTCGCTCGATTATAATTTTAAGTTAGTTTATATATCAATTTCAGAAAATGGACTTAAACCGAGACGGTGTGCTGACGCTAGATGAGTTCCTGGACTGCTGCATTCGAGATGAAGACATTTCAAGGTCAATGGGCGTGTTCGACAGCAATTTCTGACATCCTGCGAGCGGCGCGCGAGCGACCCCCCGCGCCGCTCCCTGACATTACGACCTGGCGATTACGTCATATTGTACTTAAGACTTTTCAGCTATTTACAATTTCTCGGTACTTCAACATACTAAACGAACTTAACATCTTTATTGAGAAATTAAAGAAAATGTAGCTAGGAAATCTTATGCAAATTGTTGCTAGTACAGACGTAAGTAACGCCACTTAAAATTTACTTTCAGTTTTAAATTAAATAGCATTAAATTCCATAATAATAAATGGTTATTTGGCCCCATATTTGTAGCCAGACCAATCTTAGGAATTGTTGCGAAAGGTGTAACAAAAATATGAGTGTTCTGTCGAATTAGTACGTAAATTCGTCTTTTTTTAATTACTGTATAATTATAATAGATTTATAAAATGCCTTATTTATAAGAGAAGCTTTTGCGAAGAAAATGCTCCGGAAAGATTTTGTATCTTACCATCGCATTTTTTCTTTTGAATAAGAATGAAGAGTGGGAATTTTATATTTAGTGTCAGAAAAGTTTGTGTTGATAAAATGAACATTATAACTTATATTAATATATAATATTGTATTTAATGTCCATTTAAGAACTTGATATGATTCCACATTATAGTTACCTATAAATTTTAGATATTGTCCGTTATAATTAGACTTTATATAAATAGCTCCAAACTTTTTTCAAACGCTTCCAAATCAGATAAATATTTTTAAAAGTAGGTACAAAAGTACCTACTGTTAATAGAATAAAAAAATATATCAAATTATTATATAAACGTGGTGTAGAAAAGAACCAAATCTATATATCCTATTTAATCGTCGAAAATAATATACCTTTGTACAGTTTTTATTTAAATAACATTTGTCTTTACTCGTTTTCATAATTCTAGTTGGTTGCATTTTCCTAGTAGACAAATTTTAATATATCTATAAATACTTTCTACTCTAGTAACTAATACTTCAAGTTTCTCAACTTCCAAAATGTAGGACTATTTTAATGTCACTGATAATTCATTCTAAAAGTATATATTTTAAAACTGTTTAAATAGTTATCTATGGAATATCTCCTTCGAGATTTAGCTCGATAAGTGTTTTATTCTCAAATGCTTAACAGTAATTAATTTATGCAGTCTTTCACGTGTCAACACTGACCTCTAATTTCCTCTTTAAGCAAGCAGATTGCTCTTTATTTCAAATTGTTCCGGCCATTTTTCATAGTAATTAGCATAAATATTGTTTTTAATAATATTCTATAGTATGCCAGCCTAGCATACCTACGTATTTAACATTAAATACCACTTCTATATAAACTTGCAATTGAATGTTTAAGATGTAGCTCCGATACAGTTATGTATTTTAAAAGGCCTAAGTTTTGGCTAGTGGTAAATAAAATTTAAGTTAGGACATCTTTAAAATATAAATTATACAAAAACACTGCCACAAAGAATATTTCTCTTTACTTCTACACGAAATTATTTTTAATTTTGTAATGACTAGCATTCAAATCACGTCCCATTAACAAATCCTGTTGAAAAGTTTACAACCATACAAAAAGTAAAAAAAAATACGTATTCTTTTCCGAGTCAAAGAAACTAAAAAAGTTATAGGTAAATATTTAAAAAATATCATGTCTGTAAATAAATATTGTAAATACTGATAATATAGATTTAAATTTATATATTTTCATAGAATTGAATGTTAAATGGAACCAAATAACTAGATTGCTTATAAAACATCGTATAAATACAGATAATATTACACGCAAAAATAATTAGTGTTAGTATAATAAATGTATGCAAAGTGATTAAAAAGTGATGAAATTATCTAAATGATTGTTTAGGATATTTTGTTAGATACTAAAATATAAAAATCACTAAGTTATATGAATTATAGGCGATTATAATTTGTGCTTAAAATGTTTAGCTAATGTAATTGAATGTGGATGTATTTTATGAACCTAAAGCAGATTCGATTTTATATGAATATAATATATATAGGTGCCCGAATATAGAAAACATATACTTAAATAATCGTAAATCCCAGTTTTTTTTAAACATATAAACAGTCCATGTCAATAAATAGACTTCCGAGTATTGAGCCCCAAATTTTTTACCAAAAAAACATTCTTTAATTGGTCGAGCTTAATAGATAAGAATATTTTTGTCTTCCCAATATGAACCGTTACATTCAAATTATTTTATGCAAAAACTATTATAATTTATGTACCTCCCTATGTACTTACACCTCCAATATAAAAAATGTATTTTTGCGTTTCGAAGTCAATATTAAACTAATGTATACTTAGGATTAATTAAACACAATCTTATGATGACAATTAGATAGTTATTGTATATTAAAAAGCGAATACTTTAAAAAAAACTTATTTTGAGTTTAACTAATTTGTGTCTGTGACAATTGTAATTATCTTAGTGCCAAAAATAACCTTTATCAGAATTCAGTCGTTTGTGAGTTTGAGATTCGTTGAATAATAATCGATTTTCTTTTGTCAGTTTGTTTATCAGTCTTTATATGTAATAGGCCTATTAGAACGATAAATTAATAAATATCGATTTTGTCTTAAGGCCCATGTACTAGTCTAAAAACTACAGGTACTTGATGTTAGTTACTTTAGCATAGTTGCTGTTCTGTCAAATAGTACTTAATCTTACATTGCATGCGATTGCATATCTTCATTGGCTTATGTAATTTTTAATTAAACCTTTTCGATCAACCTTTCTAATAATTTTACCCATATTTTCGAGAAGATGAAGTACATATCAGTCATTTGTAGTTTTCGTAATGTCGAAAATGCCTATCCTTTTTTGTGAATCATATATTTATTTGATGTTGTATTTATTGTTACACATTGAACCTGCATCCCATGTAACGGTACTCGATAGCCGTGGACGTAAGAATTTTTTTAGGAAAAAAACTGTAAACTAGATATTTGAATATTGAATTGTTTATTTACAATTATTGTATGTGTATTTTATAGAAAAATAAATAAATGAAAGAATTTATTTGCTTTTATTTTAGGTCGGTAGTTTGTGATATGGTGGTTATAAATGTAGGGTTGTAAAAACGTTATGAAATAAAACAATATTTACACTTTGTACAAAACATTTATTTGAAGTTTTCTGACATTTATTAAAATAAAAAGAATAAGTGAATTCACGTAAACACTCCCAACATTAAGCTACAAAATTTAATCAAAATTCATTCACAATCCAAACATTTATTTAGCCTAAATATGGCAAGTTACAACTAGATTCAAAATTGATCCAAAAAAGGCGGAATACATTTCAATTTTAAGTATTTCGTGTGTAAAATATTTGTGCGGACGATTTGAGCAACATATCTTTAAAACAGAATAACTATTTTGCAAGTGTTTTTTTGTTGTTACTACACTTACAGATACAGGCTATAGTCGTTTGTAAGTATACAGCACATGTGCAAGGATCTTAATACTACAAAAAAATCTACAACAATTTCATATTTTGAGGCACAATGATTATAACTACGTCAACAAAATGTAATCAATACAGAGAATTCACGTCTAGTTTATTAAATTTTAATTTATTCTCAGTCAAATAGACTTCAATAATTATTGTACAACCTATAACTAAAATCCTAGTTCCCACATATCCACTTAATAGCCTATCAAGTCTTATTAGATTTTTAGAATTTATAGTTTAACACAATTTTAAGAACTATGATCAAACTCATACTACCTACTATTGTTCCAGTATTGATACAATGAAACAATTTTATTGTATAGATAGTTTTGATTGAAATATACGTAACAATGTTATTGATTAACATTAAGTGTATGTGTAAAGTATAAATATACCAATAATTTTTACGTGTATCAGAGCATTTTCTAGAATCTTTATAATAAAAATACTTTTACGCTAAGTTACTTTTATAAATCTTTGACTTTATGCAAATCTATCAATAATTTTCTATTAATGAAAGGATTTTCTATTACCGCAAAATAAAATACCTACGAAAATTATTTTTAAGTATATATTCTAAGTAAATAATACCAAAAAATATAAAATAAAGAGAGCAAATTAAGTAATTAAATTTCGAAACGGTGGTTTACGTAGGAAGCAAAATAATCTCAAATACTAACTAGTAAAATAATATAATCGTCATAAAATCTACTAAAAATAAAAATTGGCATGCGGAGATCTGTAAATGAATACATAATATCAATTTAAATAAATTGTGATGTACTATGATAAAGATCTACTTAAGATTATGTACATAAAAGTATAATGATAAAATCCTCTAACACATCAAACCTTAATATATTTTATATATAATTAAATCAATTTTATTCTGTATTGGCTTGTTATTCGCTATAATTTCCGGTGTTTCGATATGCGTTAGTTCACATAAGGCTTTGACTATTTGCTATGTGTACTATAATTATTACCTCTGTCAGACATTTGTGAACAAATTTAAACTAACTCATAAATGCATACACTATGTGAAACACTAAGAGTGAGTTACAATAGTTTCGGTAATAATATTGAAGGGACCCTCTTACAATATCTCTGCCAAGCAGAGCCGTAACGTCGTTGGCATCTAGCATGGTCCCGCCAAGCACGCTGCATCAACATCACAATAGTTATAAGAGCGGGCGCCGCAGCCACGTAATGGCCAGATATGACACCGGGCAGTGCGAAGGCAATGTGTATGAGAATATCGCCAGTGTAGTTCGGATGACGTAGCACGCCCCAAGGACCGGAGAGCAATAGCTTTTTCCCGTGGAAGGTTGGCATGGATTCTACGTCTGAAAATAAAATACTTAAAATTACTGTTTTATATCAATTAACTGTCATAATAGTATATTAAATAATGTAATAATAATATTGTGTCATAATGTATTAAATAAATCCATGAAACTCTTACGCTGAATATGGCAATTGTAGAAGAGTGAGAAATAGGACTTCAACGATGACTTCGCGATCTACATGAAATAATAAAATATACGTACATATTCGCTAACGCTTATTAAATGTATTAACACGGAGAACTATAAAATTTTAGTAATCTGAGTATGTTCATAAAAGAGTTTTTTTTTCAGATAGCAACTACTGTTTCATAGTCTAGATTTCAAGGGCTCGGAGGCGGAAGTCGCTGGCATAGACGATAATTATATCATATACAATGCTCATCATTAGTCATTCTAATACTTGACGTGGTTTAGTAGTTGCTATTAGAAATATTACAACTACATATTATGTGTATAAATAGGAACAGAACACATACATAGAAGTAGAAAATCTGTTATGACCTTTGGTCATTTCTGCCCCTGAATATTTAGGTAAATCAACCAAGCGTTAAGTAGACGCGCGCAGACAAGTTAACGACCGATGGAAAAAACCTCCGAGATTCTAAGACATACTAGAGCAGATAAATTTACATTTTGTATGAAATGTGTCGAAAAAGTTGATTAAACTTAAGTTGTTCGGAAGTTAATGATGGCATATAAAAACAAAAAAGACTACTCTTTTTTTTATTAGAAACATTGAGATGATTTTTCGTTATTACACGCTTTATATTAGCTTCACTTGTATGTTTGTTTGTATGTTTGTAACCGACTCCTTTGGACGTGATTTTGACTGACTTTAAACGGTCAGAATTCGTTTAAACTTTGTAGATATATCGAGGACCGATGACAATACACTAATTAAAAAAAAAACTAAAAAATAGAAAACAAGTTTGAAAAAAAGAATGGGGTGTTTTTTACTATTGACCACAAGCACCCAACGCTTTTTTATAATTGATTTTCTATTTCTTAGTTTGGTTTTCTATAGAAAGCGTGTTTTTTAGTTTTTTTAAACTATATTTTTTTTTACTTTTGGGTCGTTGTTTTGCAATTTTTAATTAATACCATAAATAAACTGAAACTATTGAAATCTTTATCATTATGTGACGCTCTTGATTTAAATACAGTATTTTAGAACAGCTACTAACTACGAATTATATCTGTATAAAAGAACAATGACAAAGAAAAATTAAGAATTAAAGATCAGGAATATTAACCCATTGGTTTTATACTAAGAAGATTAAAATATAAATAAAATAATAAATACATGATATACAAAATTTTGTTACTTACTTGCAAAGTTACGATGTAGCGGATTTTTCCTGAATTCATATTTAATGTTATTACTAATAAGCATTATTAGATATCCCAGCGTAAATAGTACAAAAGCAGAAATTAATGTGTTAGTCGAGAGGACTACTGAGGTGTCTACTAAATTCTTAGACACTGTTGTGAAATAAAACGGGTATAGGGCACTCGACACAGTCTGGAGATACCCTACACCCTCGTATTGCCAGTAAAATGTGGAAGTAATCTTATACTCTTTTATAATAAAGTTTAGTATATAAACTAGTTGCATTAAAGAGAATAAAATAATTGTGGGCTTCAACTGTACATTGTCCAGCAACAGTTTCAAACTTTCCAAATTCAGATTGCTTTTTTCCAATGTCAAGTTGGTTTTTTCATCAAGTTTTATATCAAATCCTCGAGAGAAGATCAAGGACAGTAGTATTACCTGAAACAAAAAAAAACAGGTATGTAGACAATGTAAGAGTACTGCTTAGGGAATTTATTTTAGTGTTGTTCGAAAGCTCGAGATTTCGAGTCTTAAACTCATTGAATGCTCGAGCCTTATATACAAATAAAAATATATGTTTATTCAATATCAGAAAGTAATAACTATTTGACTGCACGGATGGCGTAGTGGTTTAAATAGTCGCCACGCCGTTTCCTACTACGCTGAGTGTTGTTGGTTCGATCCTTTCCTCCTGGGAGGACATTTTGTGTGATTCACAAATTGCTGTTCTGAGTCTAGTTGTTTTTTGTGTCCGTTTCATGTATGTTTGTAAGACCGCAGGACAGGATATACTTCTAATGCGGGGAAAAAAAAAGAGTCGCGATTCTTACCCTTTACACAAGGTTCGGTTTGCGACTCGAACTGAGTCGAAGTCGAAGCTCGGGTTTTGCCGTTTAGAGTTCATTATACTATGTTGGCCTACTATTTTTTTTTTTTTAAATAAAATAAAAAGTAAAAGGACAAAAAGATAATTAAATTGGAACAATATTAATTGTTGTAGGACTCAACCACGAAGATAAGCACATCGATGCTTGAACGTTTTTCTTGCTCAGCCTTTTTCCTTTTTTAGTTTTTTAGTAATTAAATTACTTGACTTCGAAAAAGCTCGTTCACTAGGAACACTAATCGCCAGTATAGATAAAACTTCAAATGCAATTCGAGCCAATGTTGACAAAGACATGGACGGTTCAATTTGTTTGTTTGTTCTCTGACTGATGTCGCGGCACGGCACGGTAAAGAATTTAATTTCTGATCAAGTTCTTTTTATCCTTATTTCAGTGAATCTTGAGTTCATATTACTTTATTTCGATACAATCGTACTGGTGTCGTGGCATGCCGCGGGACGCCGCGGCATACTGTGTCATGCTGTTTCATTCCACGAATTGCCACGGAATAACACCGCGTCCCACTAGTAACTTAGGTCACAGGATTGTGACGGCTAAACTAATTGCAATAAGTTTTAAAACGGGAGCGGTGGCTGAGTTGAGTCGCTGGGCTGTCTGTGGGATGTCATGACGTGACGCGGCATGCTTCGGTATTCCACGTCATACCAAAGTGTCCTACGGGCTGTCACGTCAACGCCGGTCCCTAATCGAACACTACAAACACAATTATATTCATAATATAAAATTTAAAGTAAAAAAATTGTACTGAACACTGATTATTTTTATATGAATGTTATGTTCAAGTAATTATTGTAATTTTATTAATAGTAAATGTGAGTAGTCTCAAAAACATTAATGGCACTAAATCAATGCGTTAGGTTTCCTGTATAATTTATAACGTAAACTTGCAATAAAAACATACAAAATTGCAATATCAATATTTTAACGTGATAAAAATTATTATCTTATTATGTAATTTTTATCATATTTGTAAAATGTAACGTAGGTTACGAACATGATAAATTTTCAGGGGCCTTGAACTTAGTATAAAAAAATCTTAGAAAATGGACATGAAAACGAAGCTCGAGCTTCAACTGTAGTCTTCTCTTCAGGGCTTTTGAGCCTACAAGACTCGAACCCTTAGGGCTCGAAACTTTAAGACTCGCGAGCCTTTAGAGCTCGAGTTTGAAAAGTTCAACAGCTACGATTCAGGTTTCGAGCTCCCGGCTCATTTTTCTCAACACTACCTTATATGTATTCAGGGATTTAAGTCCCATATTAGGAATACATCTACGGCGCAGCGTTAGTTGCGATTATGATTTCCTCTGTGTAAATATTTTTTTGCATTAATATGTATGTCTATTTACATTCGTCTAGGTGTTTGCATGCATAAATAACACCGCCGCTTTTTCTACAGCACAAGAGTAGCAAAAGACACAAGGATTTTTTGTTTGTTTAGGAATAGGTTAATTTTCCAAAACCATACATTGACAAAAAAATGATGTACGGATCTCAAAAAGAAGTGCGTGTTTAAAATTTATTAACTTGTCCTTGTCCTAAAGTGTAATCTCACATATAAGTATTATTTAACTACGCACCAGTAAGCCCATAGGGATAATTCTGTACTATTTAATAACATAATAGTAAAGGGCTCTATGGGTATATCTATGTGCAATGAGATGAAGAGGACAGATTTGAGGAAATAATTATTTATATGAAGTGGATAAATTGATACTATAAAAACTACGCAAAGCAAAACCCAACTGCCAACGATATGGTAGTACGTTTAGGATTCATGGGGCCTCGATCAAAAATCTTTTTTTTTTCAAATTTTAGTTGTCAGTTTTAAAAAGGAGAAAATTTCTTTCATTACTAGTCATTTAAAACATTCACGGGATACGACGCAAAAATTTGGGCAAACCTTCTATTGGTTACAAAAAACATCGGAATTGAGTAACTGAATGTTTTTTTTTAATTTTATCTTTATGAATATTATCTCGATATAGTCTGGATTTACAAAACTAATATGTAAATTGTAAATCATAATAATGTTGCGCAATAATCCCCATTTCCATTTATTACAGGAATGTGTATGGTACATTCCAGCGATGGTTAATGAAGTAGGCATAGCATTTATAAATTTTCCTTATGTTAATAAGTGGATACTAAAGCGTAACAGTAATGATGGCAATAATCTAATAAACGTGTTTTAAAAGTAAAATCCTACCTATATATACTTATTTATATGAATAAATGTTAATTAATTTCTTCATTATGTACGTTTTGTTTTTTTTTATGATTTAAATAAAAAGATAGTAGAGATGCTAAAGAATTTACTTTAATAAATCAATATTTAATCAGTACCAGATTTCTCGAGTTGGAGCCACAAAAATTTCTAAAACATTTTTAACAGACCGCAGAACAGGTTATTTGGTTGTATTTTTTTTAGTTCATTGGTTCAACACTCCTTCATTTATGTACGATATCGGTAACGATATGATTTATTTTATGAAATGGGGCAACCGCCCGTTTTATCCAATTCGGGACAAAAGGGAAGTTGCCCCTTTTGAAAGTAGTTTAACATATTTGAAAACAAAAAGCCCCCCTTTAAAACAATGAAGAATACAGTTAATTACAATTCATATCGATGTAGGCACGTTGAAACAGATGACTTTTTTAAGTTAATTATTTTGTTTCGGTTAGAAAGTAGTACAGAGACCACTACGAGTTAGCACCTCACTGCGGCGAACAGCAATTTGGTATGTCGGACTAAAAGTTAAAGGTATTTTCATAGTTAAATACTAAAGTAATACTAAGACTAGCAGATTACCGATTCAACTTTCGGTTACAATACGAAATATTCACATTACAGTCAACGTTGCATGTTTAATACTTTACTACGAAGATACCTTTTATGACATTTGTAAAATCGAGAATAGATCAAAACTGAATTTCGACCGAACTTTTATTACGATTATAAAATTGGCCGTCTGATTGCAGTACCCGTTACCTTATTTACTGAACACTAGATCAAACATGGTGTTCTTGATACTATTGGTTTCTGAAGAGAATCACAGAAAGCTCCCTAATTGTATAAAACCCTAAAAAGTACACTAAAAACCTACCATACTTTCCATAACCTACCTTAAAAAAAATTCATTGATTTCGAAACTGTACGCAGATTAGTATCTTGTTTATTTGCTAGCCAACAAAACCATAATAAAAATAATAATGTGGGTAGTCAAGGCACAAATCCGCCTATCTGTTATTGTGACTGTATAAACGCCAATGCTTAAGAATATTAGGTTTGGCTTTAAATATACCCCACTTACTTGTGTTTTATTTTTTCGTTGTGTATGATGTATGAATGTTAAACTGTGAATTTGAGAATTTGGAAACACTAATTAGTTAAGAAAATAAAATGTAAACTTTGTAATTAATTTAAATAAATAAAAAAGTGACACAGTGAGCACTATAGTAATAGGCATCGCACGGAGAATCAGTAGGCTGAAGTGAAGCGGATGAAGTTCAAGAGCTACAAGAAAGTAATCCGCAAAATAAAAACAAAAAATGAGGTATGTATATCTACTGTTACTTCAGCTGGTATTAAATTGTTCAGAAATAAAACCTTTAGTTTGAATAGAAAAAAAATGTACATTATTACTATAGACGTAAAGTTAAACATTACTTATATATTAATTTAAAAATAATTTCTGTTAAATTCATTATTATACTAGCGACCCGCCCCGGCTCAGGGCGGGTCGCATTTAGATGCTGATGTAGCGTCAGTGTTGAGTATTAATTCTTTTTATTATTATCATTAAAGAAAGTTGGCAGTAGATGGATGCAGACTGCCCAAGACTGGAATAGTTGACGCTCCTTTGTAGAGGCCGCTGAACAGTGGACGGCGAAAGGCTGATTATGATTTATACACACACGATTTTTTATACTCGGCCCTTCTTCAGCACGTCGTGGGGCTTTTAGAGCTTACCTGCACCTACTCGCCCCCTCATCAATTCTTTTAGACCAGTTGCTACTTAAAGTGGTGTTTACCAACCCCTGGGAATCGACGAAGACCCATACAGTTTGTACAAATCGATGAATCAGGCGGTGTCTAAGATTAAAATCAAAGTACATTTTCTTAAGTTAGAAATTAGTCAGAAAAGTAGTATTATCTATGTATCTATCAAGTCTATCTAATCAAAAAATTAAAGTCAGCTTTAAACATTAGCTCTTTACTTATCCATTCATCAGGGCCCATGTGCTTGTTTGCCAACTTAGTTGTTGAAAAAACAAATCACTCACCTTATTGGTAATTACATTTTGGGTTATTGTCGGTAAAAATAATTTTGAATGTAGAAACAGGTCTTCAACTGTAGATTATGTGGAACCCTATTATTAGATGGCATGCATTTCACTCCTACTTTATGATGTAATATAATAATGGATAAGGCATTGGCCTTGCGATCAAGTAGTTACAGGCTTAAAAATTCAGGAGTCCAACTATAAGAGGTCACTTTTTAATCAAGCATTTAACTCAGGAGCTGTAGAGGCAGAGAGGACTAAAAGAATATCTGTAAAGTATACTTGATGAGCCTGTTAGCCTAGTGGTGGTAGGTTTGATTCCCACCCAGGACCAATATTGTGTGATGAGCATGATCATTTGTTTTGTGTCTGAGTGTAATTTATCTGTAATATGTATGAATTTATAAATATATAAGTATGTTATCAATTGAATGAAGAAACTTACGGTATTGATATTGGAGATTCTTGATATCCATAATTTAACATCCAGTTTCTTGATAAAAGGATGCACTTCCCGTCCAATAAAAAAGTCGTATAATATATATCCAGTATTGCCATAGTGATTTAGTACTTCTGTATCCAATTTACGACTCTTAACGTACATAACAATACTTAAAATTACTGCAAATATGTATGACACAACAGCCAGTCTCAAATATTCTACCAATAAATGATCTTTATTGATGAGTAAGTAGAAATCCAGAGAAAATAAACAGATACTTGTAAATATGCAAGAGAAAAATGCATTAAAGCAATGTTTCATGCCCATATCATCCATTCGATCAGAATGAGGACCCAGTATCGGCACTATAGCAAATATTGCTTGTATAATATACTGCACAAAGATATAACCAAAAGTTGGTAAATTAAAGAAGGCTTTAAGAGATTTATAAGAAGACAGATCTAAGAGTGATTTAAATGAACACTGTTTGTTACATGAGATGATAATAGAGATTGCTGTCAAAGGAATCAGAAGCATTAAACAAGCTGATCCAATTCTCCCACCAAACTCCCATTTGCTAGCAATTTCAGTATAATTATTTATACTGCTTCTCAATGGAGTAGCCAGTTTCCTAGTGACCAACTTTGATGTTACTTGTTGGAACTCATTTTCAACATCATCATCCGAATATGTATCAATTGATTTACTAACAGACTTGCTTAAAGATTTACTTTGGCTGAGTGATTTACTCATACTCCGTCTTATGTCTGGCACATTTTCTACAAACTCCCGTAGCCTACTAGAGCGACGCGGCGTGACCTCCTCGACAGGTCTCTTCCTCAAACCAAACACATCATTATCATCCAAACCGTTAATTTTCTCAAGAGAAAACTCGTTCTCCTTAATGTTTGTTGCTAAATCTTTGATTGAGTATTCAATGCGCTTGGAGCGAGTACTGCGGTAAAAAGAAAGCTTCGCAGACGTATCTTCTAATTTAACTGCCACATCGCTTTCAATTGGGGGCCTTTTAGATGGAGATTTTGGAATCTGTGGCGGAGGTTCATTAGTCTCTTTTTCTTTTGTTATTGTTGTTCTTGAAGGCGATTTCCGCGCGGGAAATTTAGACGCTGGCTTTCGGCTAGGAGATTTTCGCGCCGGAGATTTACGACCGGGAGACCGCGCAGCGGGTGGTGGGGTTTTTCTCAAAGACGGTGAACTTTTCCGTGTTCTGGCGGGAGATCGCGTTGGTGAAATACCTTTTCGTGTCCTAGATGGACTCACATCTATTATGCTTGTTCTTATTCGACCGCTACGTGTAGACATTCTGAAAATAAATTGCACAACGTGTAACCACTCTTTTTACTATTTTTTGGATCTAAAATTATCTTGAAAACCACACGCAATGATATTTACTTGTCACAGTAACAGAGTCCTCATGGATTTTAAGTTTTACTTCAATACACTTATTGCTCTTCTTTTCAAGCACACAACAACAATATCAATTATTTAAATATTCAAACTAAGTATAAATCATACAGGCAAATCGAAATGTATAAGCAACATAAACACGACATGAATGAACGCGGAAGAAGCCAAGCGTCAACGAACGACAGACGCTGGAATGAATTTAAAAATGCCGTTTCTGATTGGCTAAAAATAGTTGTTGCCACTCTGTTTCATTCGAAAAATGGCAGTAATTAATGAGAGGGAAAGAGATGGCAAATTCAGTGTTTGACAGAATTTCCGATAGTGCAAAAACCGTTTTTACCGTAAATATAGTGACGGTCTTATTTGAGTATATGTATTTTAATAATGCTGCTTAATGGATTGCCATTCTCCAGTCTCCACTATACGCAGTTTATTTTACGCATTTTTTTTATTATTTAGTTTAGCCAAGTAAATAATAAAAAATGCTGATACGCTGGAAACAACCTAGACAATTGGTTTTGTTTAATGCGTTGGGGCTAGCGAGCGACCACTTCTTTGTGACTCACCGATCCAATCAGATATCCCTACCTGTTATGAACCATATTCATTGTTCGGTTTTTTCGCTTGTACCATTTTCGAATATTTATAACATTTTCTTTGTTTGTTTTGATGTATTTTTGTAGTAGTTCAAGATACTTAAACAGAGATTGCATTATAGTCTGTATGTATTTGTAGTCCCTAGTGCATGAAAAACAAATAAAATAACACGAAGTAAATATAATTGAGTTTAATTTTTAATATGCTTAAAAATTGACACGCTTCGTTAAAGCGCCTTTACTGTAAAAATTATGTACAATTTATGTGCAAAAATAAGGTAACATAAATTCGTATGAGTAAATGTCGAGCGCCAAAATTTAATATTTATACCGTCTGTTCAAACGTGAACATCGCACTTTTTATCTAACTTCATTTCAAAGAAATCAATCAATATAAAGTAGGTTAAGTGCAGGAAGGGTTACCAGCACGTTTTTTGCATGGAGGCAGCCATTTAATTTTATAAATCAAATTATTTGTCCTTATAACGGCAATATACGTTCTGTGAAAATTTCAACTGCCTATTTCATTTTGGTCTATCTCAGTGCCGGATTAAGACAGCGCGGGGCCTGTAGCAAATTCTACCAAGGGCCCCTTGGGTTGTTTTAGGTTATCTAGTTTATGGAATTTATCATCATCCTCAACAGTCTATTGCTGGATATGGGCTTCTCCTTAGAAAGGAGATTTTTGTTTGCTATGCTACGCTGGCCAGACGGGTTGGTTATACCAGTCTCAAATTTGAAACAAACCCTACTCGGGCTTGTTTTAAGTTTCAAGAAACAAGCCCTATAGTTTTTGTTTCAATTTGGAGACGTTGGCCCATGTCATGTGGTGTTGAACAGGGCTCTGGTCTTGGGCCCTCCTGTGGAACATAGGGTACGACTAGGCCCCTCGAGGAGACTTCCCCCGGGCTGGGCGTAATCTGTTACGGGAACGACACTTTGGTTGTCTGTGGGTAGGAGGGAGACCTGGGGTGTCTCTTTGGTTGTTGGCTTAAAGGTGGTCCTGGATAAGACGGAGGCCTCTTATTTCTTGGGCCTAGTTGTAGTCCACCCCCTGGCGTCTCAATCATGGTCATCTTGGTCAACGTACCGGTTCAGGCCCAGATGAAGAATATGGGCCTGATATCTGACGGGAGATGGCTCTTCGATGAGCTTACCCTTAAACTGGTCGGCACTGCGTCTGCTCTTAAGTGACTTTTGCCCAACCAGCATCGTTTCAAGACAGCTGTACACGGGGATGTCCAGTCAATGGCACTGTACGGTGCCCCAGTGTGGACGGCAGTTCTGACCGCCCGGCATAGGGCGCGCATTCACCAAAATTATGTAAGTGCTATGGATTATGGACATATTATCTCTAATGTCTATTGTGCAGTTTGTGTTGTATGTTTACTATTGTGTCATTATTGATTTTTATTACCAAATGTTAAGATTTAATATTAATATTATTCTGGGTTTGAATATAAAAAGCATGTTTACTCAGCCTAATACAAAAAATGATTGCACGCCACTGTTAAAATAAGTCTGAGCTTATAAAACATATTTTATTCTGACGCCCTTAGAGGGCATTGGCAGTTAGAACCATGGTTATAGCACCGTGTCGACGCCTGGCCGGAACACTCTCGTGGGATTTGGGAAGGAAGTGCTCGGCCCCCACCCGAAGAGGAGCGCGAGGGGCGTAAAGCCTCTCGCCGAGCCACGATGGCTCGTTGGTCGGTCCAGCCTGGAGGCTCCACGGGCTCGCTTTGCCGCCGTAGAGGCACTCCAACCGGTCGTTGAGTTGAGGCCAATCATTGAGTGGGCAGAGCGTCCAGAGCAGAGCAGGTTCTTTCTGGGTACGGCTGATTCTGCAATCGTTCCATAGGAGGGAATTGAATCCCGCCTGTCATCACTCCGATTGCAGTGAGGACGCGGCTCAGCACACGCGCAATTTGCTTGGCTTGGGTGTCACACGCAGCGTTGGGTCGCAGTGCAAAACATAGTTTTAGAAATGTACTAAAAGTTTAAATTTTTTACTTAACACATCACACATACGGCTGTATGTTTACCTAACTAGGCCGAGCCTGTACTATTCTAACCAGATTGCTGATAAACATACTTATATATTTCTCAATATATACATATTATAGATAAATTACACCCAGACACAGAACAAATCAACGTACTTATCACACAATTATTTGTCCTGGGTGGGAATCAAACCCACGACCTCTGGCTTAGCAGGCTCACTAAACCAACAGGCCCGTCAAATTATAGTTTGATATTTAGATACAACTCTTTCGTGATGAGAATTTTGGCTTTATTGATTTGAAAAAATATTATCACTCCGATCGAAATACGAGTAAGTAGATACTTTTTTACGGTCAGAAAGAGCGGGGGCCCCCAAATGCGCGGGGCCCGTAGCATTTGCTACTCTTGCTACGTGGCTCCGCCACTGCATACACTGCGAAGAATATTTGGGTACCATTTATTGATATTTTTCAACATATCCTTTTCCTTATTTTGTGTAGTCTGATTTTTTATTAGATAAATTTATTCTATACTGGCTTTCTACTTCCCTTTTTAAGAGAAGTTTTTCGAAATTAGTAGGTAACAAAGATTTTATTACTTTTATTATCTAAAATTACACAAAATGCTAGCAATTCCAGATAAATAAAAAAGACAAATTTAATAATTATGTTATTATTTATAAATAAAAGAACGAGCAATCTTAAAAGCTATAAATATATCATACAGTTAAAGTGTTCGGCTACGATTACTTTATCGTCCCTGCCAAAATATATGCTTAACGATTATTAAAGTCAGAAAAAAAGTCGTATTATGCTCTCAAAATTACATTGTACATGTGGAAATTGTGATTTTATCTATGATATTAGAACAAATGCTTGTGGGTATTGTACTCCGTGCTATGCAAAATATAATAAAAAAACTCTTATTACTGCCACCGCGTAACATATATTCTACGATTCTAATTTTTAATTTACTTGCATATATAATTTTTTGCGTGTGTCTACAGCACATTCTAACAAGATTGGAGGATAACACCCCATTATAAATTTATATTTTTACATATAGTATTGTTTAAAAAGGACCCAATATATCAATAAAATAAAAATAAAATCCATGGTTAATCTTTGTTGTGATCACCAGTATTTTTCAAGTGATTTGACTAAGTCGTTGGGATCCGTATTAGGGCCGTGACGCTCTACTGGTACTCCGTCTTTGTCGACAATGAACTTGGTAAAGTTCCATTTGATGAAGCTACCGAGGGTGCCGCCTTGTTTGTGCTGTAACAAAAGATAAGGACAGATCAGATTAAGTTTTTGATGTATAACATCTTTCTTGAGTTACTTCGTAAAAAAGGGACGGAAATGTGTAACAGGACGACAGATAAGCGCGCACTATTTTTATTATTTATTTAAACCAATAAGCGCGTTCTAGAGTTGGCCATCAAAGGAGCCTAATGTGAGTTTGTTTCTAATCTACTCGCTCTCGACGGCGCGCGCGTTCGGCGTTGCGATTGGTGTAAAGTTCAACGAGGGCCAATCGCAGCGCCGAAAGCGGACAACGCGACGATCGCGTAGATGTAAATAAACTCACACTTGGACCTCAGATACTAGGTGAGATGTCAATGTTACGTATCATATGCGACTACTGTAAAAATATAATTTAAAATATTATTTCAAAGAAATTCGGGCTCACTAAGGCGTCGTAATCTGTATTGGGACGATATCATAAATGTGTTTTTCAACCTATGTGTCTCCAATGCAGGGACAGGGATACATAATAAATGAATTTTGATTTAATAGTAATAAGTAATTCCAACAAATATTATAAATGCGATGGCAACTCAATCTTTTGTTACGCTTTCACGGAAAACCGCTGAACCGATTTTAATTTTATGTGGCATGGATACTTTGATTCTACAGGAAGAGCATAGACTACGTTTTACCGCGATTACCGCAAAAACTAGTTTGAAATAATTTGATGTATTTATAAATATAACAAGTGTTTCAATATATACTAACTCTAGCTAACTATAACCAACTAGTTTCAAATAAATTGTAATTTAATTTTTTACAAAGCACTGTTGAAACAGCTAAGCTAATCTTATTGCGTTTTGGTGCCATATTCACATGGAAAATCTTGTCTCATCATTTTACATAGAGTTGTTACAACCTATTTCAAACAACAATTAAGAAAAATAATTAAACCTAAAACAAAGTTTTGCTGGCGGTGACCACAAATAGGTACCAATAATTGAGGTTTAAAAAAAAATTAAATCCATTAAATATTTTTTATGAATCTTCTACACGCAACATAAATTATTCAATCATAAATATCAGTAGGTAATCATTAAGTTGTTGTGGACCCCATGAATAATAGAAGAGGTGTTATTGATTTTCAGTCTGTACAGTAGAAATTCAAGGTTAGGTGTGTATTTTAAAACACCTGCTTTATGCATCAACCATATAAACATTACCTTTATCATGAATTGTGTGGTGTCACGTTTTTTGACACTGTACATTAAGTAGGTAGGTACTATTTTAACAAACCAAGCCAAAACTGCCACTTAAATTTCTAATACAATGGTACTATTGGTTTTGATGGTGGGCTCTGGTTGCCGAATTTCGACTCCAGAAAGGTCCTTTACTCATTGAGGTAATGTTGGTTAGGTGAGGTAACCAAGCTCCTTCTAGAAGCGCAGGAGCCTCACAGCTTCTAGGAGCCATTCCCTCTCATTCCAAGATTATGTAGACGGCGGTTTCTTCTGTTCTATTCTTCAATGATAATAAACTGTACACGTCACCACCAGTAAAGTGATGAGCAGATCAGACATTGAGATAGTCCTCAAATATGTATAAGTATATTAGACTAACATAGTAACGTTTAAAGGGATATTTATATAAAGCTGGAGAGTTTATTGGGTTAGTAACTACTGGTTATAACTGTTTCGAATTGAAAAACTCTTTTAGTGTTACATAGCCTATTTATTGAGGAAGGCTACAGGTTATATAAAATAACGCTACGAACAACAAACGCCGAGCACAAAGGAATTTTTATTCCTTCTGAGAAAAGTAGCACAGGTCAGTAATATAAGTATAATAGTAAAGCTGTAAAGGAAGGATCTCTGACATGGATCCTGAATAAGAAATATTTTTAATTTTGACGTTTACGTTATTTTGACGGAAAACGGTGAGCGTTAACTATATAAACTCCGCATGAGAAGAGCTATCATATCAACCATACAGTTACATTTACAAAAGGAATCAAACTATCCTTTTATACCCTTGCCTATGTTTTGAAGTTGCTATTGTTATGAAAGATAGTAGCAGTGAGCATGTTAATAATTTTGTACATTACACAATAGAAAACATATTAGCAGATTGACAACGCTGATATATTATAGTTTATCAATTATTTATCTACAAGCCCATCATTAGGCACCAAATGTATTCTAATATACTAATGAATAGTGTAATCGAAAAAAATGTGAGATAACTTATCATGTATACCTATTATCTGCTTAACTGTCGTGTACTTTATTTGTGTACAATAAGTATACTTTAGTGCTTAGTTAAAATCCCAACTAAAACTGATGCTTTGTCAACCTTACAATAGTTTAACTTCATATACTATTTCGATGTTTGTTAAAACCTTTAATTAGTCTAGGAACTGAAATGCAATATACACGATGTAAGGGATATCGTACCGAACACTGAAATAGTGTTTCAGACCATGATTCTAAGTCGAATGTCATTGTAATTTTCTGCCGGAAAAATTATATTAAAAAAAAGATTAGTTAACTCAGAATCCTGTATTGTATCATCATCAACAACCTTTAATGGTCCACTGCTGGACATAGGTCTCTCCTTATAAAGGAGAAACTGTCTTGTATGTTGCGGTTTATTAAACCTTGAAGATTATCCTAAGTTATCTAACTTTACACATCAACAAGAATAATTTAAGTTTTTGGAAATTGATTTTGAGACAAGGTAAGTAATTTCAACGTGCCTACTTTTTGTTGCTTTAGGTCCATTATATGTAATTTGATAATATGATTATATACTATCAATATCTATTAAAAGTAGCACCTTCAGATAGGCATTAATAATAACAACTTAGAACAATATTTTGGAAGATCTCTTTAATGTAATGTTATTACTCTATATAATATTATTTACTGGCACAAAAAAATCACCCACTCTAAAAACCGATGAAATATATTTATATGAAATTTCTAAAAAAAATGTTTTAAGGTTACTCAGTATCAGCCATAGATAAATATATACCTTATTGCAACATGTGGTTAATTTATGTTTTAGTTCATTAGTCTTTATTGTTGTTTGTATTTATTGTACTTTTATTCAATAGTCAATACATGCTGTACCCCACTGCCACACTTTGCTATGGCACATTATGGTTGAATTCATGAGAAATCAGGCACAAAACTGACACAAAAAATAGATAAAAACAATCCTTGAAGCGGGTTGTATATTGTGTCCAAATTTGAGCCCAATATATATATATATATATATATATAGATTTACCTACAAGCACAAATTAAAAACATAAAATACCTTAACTCTAATGATTACAAGAAAGATTATGGGCATAAAACCTTTTAAACAAAATAAAAACTTTTAAACAAAAAATAGAAAATATATAAAATAGCATAAATAGACACACAGATAAACAGTTACTAATGATAATGTATGCAAGTATAGGATAGGAGTTTTCTAGTAAATGCAGTAATAATGTAGCAAAGTTAACAAGGTAATGTAAACAAACAAACTAAAAATACCAAAATTTCAATGTTGAACTTTGATATATGATGTAATATGTTGTCATGATATTTTTCCACTAAATAACATTATGCAAGTCATGAAAGTCTGAGTCACATTCTTAGTCTTTGTAACATACTTACTGTAAGTTGTTCTAAAAAAGCTGTTGTATTTATTTTTAAAATATAATGTATAATAAAATTTATAATTACCTACCTAAAAATTTTTAATTTTCAATCATTATATCAAGCACTCAAATAAATTGGCAGTTGTAATTGGCAATAGAAACTCTAGATGTGTTACTAACCTAACATTTGTGAACATATGCAAGTTTAATGGGTAATAAGGCATTTGCGACTAAGTATTAGCCATAACTTTAAATGATCAATGTATGTTTGCCTACTTAGTAGATTAAAAACATTATTAAAATTTATACTCAACTTAAACCATAATTAATGATAAGAGAAAAGCAATTAATTTTCATACCTTTAAAAACTTCCATAATGGACTTGCATTGTCACCGTTAACATCAATTTTTTCAAACAGGTCAAATTTCACTTTGCGATCTGCAGCGAAACATACAATCGCTTCTGGATTGCCCGGTTCCTGACCGGCGAACTGATTGCAAGGAAAAGCCAGAATACGTAGTCCTATAAGAATAAATATGTATTAAGAGGTTGTTTGTTACAGAATAGTGTAAAATGATTATATTTTGAATGGGTACCTTTTTCTTCAGCATACTTTTCATATAGTTCATTCAGCTGCTTGTAATTATTAGCTGTAAGACCGCACTGTGAGGCTACATTAACAATTATGCAGACATGACCTTTGTAGACATCTAAATTCACGTCCTCCCCCTTGATATTCTTTACTGTAAATTCATGAATTGATGATGCACTCTTGTAATCGGGATTCATTTTTCTGTAAATTAAAATAATGCCTTTTATGATTCATAGAAACGCCGGTTCACAATTTCAATACGCTTTATACACAAAACTACTGCTAATAATCAAAGATTACGTAAGTAATCAAATTAATGAATACATATTTTGGTTTTAACTTACACTGCAACACTGAATTGAGCTCGAGATAAACAAATTACGTTACCAACAATAGGCGCTACTAGTTTAGAAATCGCTCTAAAACCGATTGTCATTTTGTCTATAAATTTTCAATGAGATTGTAAAATGTAGTATATAAAACAGTGTTGCCATTTTTTATTCGAATAGTGGAATGTTAGGAATTCAAAATATGTCCCTAGTTAACAAAATACAATTCTACTATTGATTAATTTAGCAAATTGTATTATCTTATGTACATAAGTATGTCCATCCAATGAAATACAACGATAATAATGTAATGTTTTACTTTTTCTTTCGAAGAAATGTTTTCTGTATTGCTCTTGCAATAAAAACCAACTTAAATCACGAAAATGATTGACCACCAAACTGATAAAACAAGTAACAAACTAGTGAGAGTTTAAACAAAAAAGTCAGAACACATTCGGTAGATGTTTTTCTTGCAAGCAGACGATTTTAACAGTTTCATAAAAGTATCTGCATATGGAAACAATAGCTAGAACTATAGTTTTGCTTTTTCAGAAAGAACTTTGAAAGCCTTTATTCAATAAAACAATCAGTACTGTAATTATAATCATCACATCACATCAACAGCCTTTAATAGTCCACTGCTGGACATAAGTCTCTCCTTAGAAAGGATTTATTTAATTATAATATATATACACGGTGATTTTTTAGGCGTTTTGGAAACGAAACATTTTAATTTGGAATCATCTATAGTACCAATAAAAATGATTAAATCAATTGTAATGTTGTCTAAAAAAAAGTTTCAGTTTTAATATTCATTTTTACTCTATCGACTTGGAAAGTAGTAATGGACTGATCATTCATTCATTATCTTATATGAATGAAACACGTCCGTGGGCATTTCGGCGGCCGCTGCGCACCGCTGACGCTAACAGCAGCTGATAAAAGTATACCTATAGGCGCGAGCTAGCGAGTACTTACGCAGATAGACTCCAATTTGTCCTTCATACTTTACACGGGCTTAGGATCGTCGGAAATACCTATTTTATTTAAACTTCTTTTCGATTATTAACCACGATTGTTCTTTTCACAACAAATCAATTTATCAACGGACTGTAGGTATAAATATTTCAAGCGTATTTAAAAAATCGGAGCTATCTACAGAATAGTTAACTTACATACCTATTTACACTATTTACACTTCTCTGTATCGAAGCAACTGCTCAAAATGGAGTCCGCTGCATTCAATACACAAACGTCCACGTTTAATGCAATTGTTTTTTAATTTTCTTAATGTGTCTCTATCACTTTTCACTTTATCAAAAGCGTCCACTATCGCAATGCGTAAATTATCACGGCTTTCATATTCCCGTGTATAAACAAGTATTTTTATTTCCGACCATAAGAAAAAATCCAGGGGTGTTAAGTCCGGGCTTCTAGGTGGCCAAGGCACTGGCCCTCCTCGACCTATCTACCGATCACTAAACTCATTGTCCAGGTATGCACGCACTACATTCCGGCGATTAATTTATAGTATTTCTATTCGTAGTATTTATCTACTTGCGATTGAAAAGCACTACTACTGGTTCTCACCTTTTCTCTGTAATCGATATGAATATCGACTTTGATGATAAAAAATATATATATTTTATTAAATTAACGTTATATATAGCTTCTGTTACTGATAAATAATTCAAAATTTTCTTTTCCAAAACGCTTTCAAAATCACCGTGTTTTCAAATGCACCTATATATATTATATCGTTCATAGGCGGCGGTAGTCGCTTTCCATCAGCATCTATTCCATAAAAAAATAAAAATACAGTAAAATAAATTTAAAAACGGTTAGAGAGGTACTCTGTGACTGAATATTTCACATTTTTTTTGTATATTGTCTTGAGTTTGTAATATGAAAGCCTAATTGCACTGTGCCACGAAGTAAGCTATAAGCCAAGCTGGCGCTTAAAGCTATTAGGTTATTTGGAAGGGTCTTGGTAGAATTTTGAAAACACGTTGTGGGCAATGGGAATAAATTATTTACTTTGAGCTATCAGCTGTCACTTGACAATCAATACATTTTCATTACCTTCGCTCAAAACAAGTGTGGTGCGCAGATACGACTTACATACTTATTTTGAACACGAACAACAATTAGGAATGGCGTTTTTAGTCACTAGCATACGCCGCTGCGTTTGCCCAAGAAGCTTCAGCAGTCCTAACATCGTCCAGACTGCGTCTTATCATGCCAACGTAAGTATTTTATTCCGTGCAATGTCAAGGATTATCGATTTTCTATTTGGTACGTAGTTTCATAAATAAAAATATTTACCGGCTACGCTTATGGATGATGTAATACATAAATTACTTAAATTGTTCCGTGTGGTGACGGATTAAGAATATGGAATATGTCATCACCCCTATTTATTTCGTAGGTGTCGTAAGAGATGACTAAGGGAGCAAACTACGCAGGACAACAGCTGTAAACAGAAGGAAAACTTGAAACAAACCCGCCTGGCCCGCGTGGTATAAAACCTCCTTTCTAAAGAGAGGCCTGTGTCCAGCAGTGGACTATTAGAGGCTATTAGATGATGAACTTAAATTTAACCTAAAATGAACTCTTTTTCTTCTTAAGTGGTTCTTGTCCACCAGACACATGACAATTGCCAATATTGTGTTAGCCACAAAGCCATTAATTTAAAAAAATGTTTTAGTATGCATCTCAATGCCTTGGTTGCACATTTATTAGACAGCACATGCATTTTAAATAATAATGTAGAAATTGTAATCTCTAAGATTTATATAATGTGTATCCTAAATTGTTAGATATAAATACAATCAACAGTGACATTTATTTCACAAGTAAATAAGAGCAGTTAGAACTTCAATGGCCAGAAGTAAAGCCAAAATTGACAAGTCTCTGTTTGCACAAATATAATTTTTTTCTATCCTTTGAGAACTGGAAACTATGTTGTTTGTCTTGGAGGAGCCTCTTATCCAGTAGCTCATATTATAATGAGTAACTTGGTTATTCCAAGAAGGCATAGCTATTTGACATATAAAATATACAAGATAATATTAGTCCAGCTATTCTTGAGTTTTGTAAATGAAGTACTTAAACTAGGATCAACTTCAATTGGTCTGGAAGTCTTAATAAAAGCTGTTCCCGGAGTCCTCCTATTTGAAGCTAGAGTGACTCACTGTCTTTAGTCTGTTTGATTCTGACATAATGCCCTGTGCAAACTCTAGTGAGATGACGGCCTGAGAGGGTTTGTGCACATAAAAAAAGGGATTTACTTCAATTGCAACCATACGTATATTATAGGCAATAAAAAATAATTCTGCATATTGTTACAAGATTTTCATATGAGGTTAAAAATCTAATTAGAAATTTATATTCAGGTCATTGATCATTATGAGAACCCCCGTAATGTTGGTTCTTTGGACAAGAAAGATAAGAGTGTAGGCACAGGACTTGTTGGTGCACCTGCTTGCGGAGATGTAATGAAGTTGCAGATTAAAGTTGATGATAATGGCAAAATTATTGATGCAAAGTTTAAGACCTTTGGATGTGGTTCCGCTATTGCCTCCAGCTCCCTAGCTACAGAATGGGTGAAGGGCAAAACTGTGGATGAAGCTTTGAAACTGAAGAATACAGATATTGCCAAGGAGCTTTCTTTGCCTCCTGTCAAGCTGCATTGTTCAAGTGAGTTATTGTTTTTGATTTTTATATGCAGGTAGATCATTGTGAGGCACTTGCTTTTGTGGAATTAATTTTAATGGACTTGGAACTTGGCACTATTAACAATAATGCGACACATACAGCTACTAGAATAAAAAATATAAGGTGACTACGAAAAGCGACAACAGTTGACACTGGAAGACTGTTAGACAAAGTTGGAATGAAATACCGAGAATCTCCGAATGTAAATCGCGCGCGAATAGTGTCTTTAGTTTTATAATGGGGAGGCGTAAAGCGCGAAATTCAAATTAACATTGCGTTAAAACACCTGCATGAGCGAGGCCCTGGGCGGTTGTCCTGCTCGCCACGCTCAAAGGCCGTCGCTGTCTATAAGTCATGTTTGTAAGACCAATAGCCTTAAATGGGTTTTGTTATTTTATGTTAATCAGATATAAAAGCGAAACTCTGATTTTTATTTGAGTTTTTACATATTGTCTTTTTATTTCAGTGCTTGCTGAAGATGCCATAAAAGCGGCTCTATCAGACTACAAGATTAAACAACAGGTAGAAGAGAAGCAGTAAAATGGATGGGATACATGGGATGGTATTTGGAACGGATCTGTGATTTTGAGTCGGAGAATGTAAGGAAAGTGATGAAGAATCTTTTAAATGTATTTGTAGGTGCCTACTAGGAAGTACTAAATTTGAACTTCAGTAGTTTTAAATTCCACTTTATATTGTTTAGCATACAGCCCAAGTATATTCATGAACAAATTGTTTTAGATTGTTTGGAAAATAGTTATAGAAATGTTATGAATACTAGTTGTTACATTATATTCAAATAAATTGTACGTAGTCAATGTTGATTTTTATTTTTAAAGTTTAATTCTAAGAATTTTCCATTTGCCATCCTTTTTCGCCTAAGTTGTTATTGAAAGCGGACGCACTAATTGCTAATTGAATTTGATACTAATAGTTCTTGTAATAAGTTTAAAACTTACTTCGTTCATAAATATAATATATTAACAAGTGACAAGATAATAGTGAAGCACGTCATAATTGTCATCCCGCTCCCGCGCATTGTAATGCTTTCGCATAAGTCTTGCTTGACCATTCCTATACGCCTACGCATCCTTACGTAAGTGCTACGACAACGGTTCTTGGATTCTAATATTGAGGAAATTGGTAACGAGAAACTAGATGTTCCTGACTACGGCGGTAACCTAAATGTGACCTTACGCTCTAAAAGAAACAGGTCTTTTGATTGTGATGAGTTCATGGATGAAATGGAAAGCTATTTGCAAATTTTGCTTCGCAACAAAACAGCAATTTAGCTAACTTGCAGGTCACTGTAGAGGATATAAAGAAGCAAAACGATGCTATAACCACCTCCATCCAATTACTGTCGGACAAGTATGATGACATTAGGAAAGAACTAGATATCGTCAAAAAAGACCGGAAAGAACAACTTACATAGGTATATTAAGATTTTGGAGAACAAAATAGAAAATATAGAAAGAGCTCGGTGTGAAGCTAAGTTTGAAGTCCGAAATGTAGCAAAATTTCAAAACGAAACAAAGACTGTCTTCTCCAAGGTAATAAGAGAGGTTGAATTTAGAAGTACAGGTGGCAGATATCAAGAATATTTATCGTGGGATATCTAAACCTGGCTGTACAAAACCAGCTATAGTTGAGCTCAACTCCTCAATTTAAAAGGAAAGCTTCCTGAAATCTCTCAAAGAATACAATAGAAGAATGATAAAACAAAGTTAAATACTACACCTTTGCAAATTGACGGTCCTTCAAATACAGTTTATATAAATGAAAGCTTAACTAACAGAGCTAAGAAGCTGTACTATTAGACTCGAGAGTATGCAAAATCAAATGGGTACGCCTTTTCTTGGTCGTCGTACGGCAAAACTTACCTACGAAAGAAGGAAGGTTCACCTCGGATCAGAATTGACGACGAAGCCGTTCTCGCCAAGCTCAAGCAATCTGACTATTCAACTGGTGAACCGAGACCTATAAACATCAATTTCGCGCTGTTATACTATCCGTGTTCCAATTTATCCCGTGGATGTCGTTAGAGCCGACTAAGGGCGCAAAACAACGCAGGACACCAGCACTGCAAAAAGACGGAAAACTTGACACAAACCCTATACCAATAATAACCCTATACATACTCTGTTATTCTAAAAAGAAATTTACAATAACCAATAATTTTATTTTCACTAAATTACACACAAAGCTTACACAAAACTCGTATACATACTTGCAGTTTCAAAGAAATGCGATTACTGGTTACAGTTTTGTCTCTGTTCTTTATAGCACTCTTAGTTATTACATTGGTCCCTTTTGTTTTAACGATGGATGATGACATAAATCAAGACATAGATGCTATATAGTTGTAAAGTTGAAGAAATAAAAAATATAATTCAAAACCGAACAAAAAGATTACTCATATTAAACCAAAATGTTAGGAGTATCTCAAAAAATTTTGAAGGAATTTTGGTATTGCTACATAAAATAAAGCTGAGCAACACTGAGTGTGATATTCTTACCTTTACTGAGGCCTGGCTTTCCTGTAACCCTATTATTCCTATAATAGAAGGCTACAATTCTTATACCACCCGAAATTACTCGCTTAAAAATGATGGAGTAGTTGTTTATGCCAAAGATAATATAGAAATCAAGGTAGAAGAGCCACCATTTAAGGACGGTAATTGTCTAATTTTGAAACTAGGAACAGATACAGCAATTATAGCAATCTATCGTAACAGGAACTTAGAACATTTTAATCTATCTCTTGAAACTTTTATCTGGATGGTCAACTTTTCAAAGCATATAAGTATTATAGGCGATCTCAACGTAGATTTAATACCAGAGAATCGAGATACTAGGGCCTCTGACTATTTAAATCTTTGTGCTGGGCACGGGTTACTAGCTGCACACATCATTAACTTTGGTTATAAACACTACATCACGGACTATCAATTTGTTCTCCTATGCTTAAATAATAAAGTAAATAGAAACCCCATTAAAAATCAATACAGAATTGATAAAATTAAATTACCGTGGCTATGCACACTATAAATTTGAATCCCATTTATGAATGATAGTATTAATTATCTAATAAACTCGATTCAATATGCAGTAAAACAAAATCAGGTAGTAATCAAATTTCGACGCCACAGCTGGGCTATTAAACCATGGATAACCCCTGGTTTAATACGTTGTATTAGAAATAGGGATCGAATGCAGAAACGATGAATTAATTCGCCAGATCGACTTAATACCAGCTTTAAAGTATAAAAGATATCGCAATTATTGAAAAAAAAAAACCTTGAAAAAAAAAAAAATTATTGAAAATTTTAAACCTTGTTGAAAATTTTTTTAAGAGATTATGACAAAAACACGAGAATCTAGAATGAATTCCTTTGGATTACGAAGAGGCTGAGAAAATGATAAAACCCAGTATAAATCAGTAATTACAAAACCCTTACACACCCTCTCACACTCACTCACATAAAATACAATGTTAATTGGATATGATAACAATGCAATAAAAACTTATTCAGTGTTTTAGTTAATATTATGGTAGAAGAGCACTGTTGCTTGAGATACAGGTTTGAAGCATTTTTTTTTTACGTGTGGAAACCCCCTCGGGCCGTCACCCCACCGGGGTTTGCGGCAGGGTGGTGTGTCGGAATCGGACCGACTAAAACCACACGGTGTGCCACTCTGCGCCTGTAATAGGAGGGATCCGGGAACTGCTGTTATTAAGACATCCGGACCCCTCCTAGCGCCTGCCCGCAACGGCGCGGGCACCACCTTCGGGTACAATCTCCATTTAGGCGACGTCCGGCACACGCGGACATCGCCTCCTCGCGGCTGGCCGTTATATCGGGTGGAGGGGAAAACTCGTCCCGTCCACCCGCGGCCACACTCAGGGCGGCATGAGGCGGTGGTAGGCGCGCCTCCGCCGCCCGGTTCGACGGCGACGGATTGGGTCCGAGTGGAGGTTGTCCTCCCGGGCCCTCTGCGCCGCCGGATGCGACCGCGGTGAAACGTCTGTCACTACCGGCCATGGAGCGTATGACGGCCGGCAGCGAGAGATCCCCCCCAATGACTGCAATGAGAACCCGGCGCTGCGGCGCCCAAGCTGGGCAAATTGCCAGCGTGTGCTGAGCCGAGTCCTCACTGCAATCGCAGTGGTGACAGGCGGGACTCAGTTCCCTCCTGGCGACCGAGTGCAGGTACTTCCCGAAGCAGCCGTGCCCGGAAAGGACCTGCGTCAGCCGGAAAGAAAGGGTCCCGTGCTGCCGCCCTGCCCACTCGACGATGACCGGCCGGAGCGCCTCCGCGGCGGCAAAGCGCGTGGAGCCTCCAGCCGGGACGACCAACGAGCCATAGTGGCTCGACGAGCGGCCTCACGCCACTCACGTATCTCTTCGGGCGGGGGCCGACTGCCACTATCCGCCCGGTACTCAGCCTTCCGCCGATATACTTCGGCGAGCACTTCCGCCTCCAAATCCCACGGGGGAGTACCGGCCAATGCGTACGCCGCCTCCGTCGAAATGGTGCGGTAACCGCGTATGGCTCTAACCGCCAATATCCTCTGAGGGCACCAGAGACGTGCCCTATTCTGGGCGGTCAGAGCCGCCGCCCACACCGGTGCACCGTACAGTGCCACAGGTTTGAAGCCTAGTCCAGGTACAGATGCAGAATGTTAATTAGACATAATTCTCCCACTGAATAAAGATATCATTATTATAATACTAGCTGACCCGCGCAACTTCGTCTGCGTCTCTCAATAGTAATAAATTTTCTCCGTTTTTGAAACATTATTCATTGGTGCTCCGCTCCTATTGCTCTTAGCGTGATGATATATAGCCTATAGCCTTCCTCGATAAATGGGCTATCTAACACTGAAAGAATTTTTCAAATCGGACCAGTAGTTCCTGAGATTAGCGCGTTCAAACAAACAAACAAACAAACAAACAAACAAACTCTTCAGCTTTATAATATTAGTATAGATTACTAGCTGAACCGCGCAACTTCGTCTGCGTCTCTCAATGGTAATAAATTTTCTCCATTTTTGAAACATTCTTCATTGGTGCTCCGCTCCTATTGGTCTTAGCGTGATGATATATAGCCTATAGCCTTCCTCGATAAATGGGCTATCTAACACTGAAAGAATTTTTTAAATCGGACCAGTAGTTCCTGAGATTAGCGCGTTCAAACAAACAAACAAACTCTTCAGCTTTATAATATTAGTATAGATATTTTCATATTGATTACATTTTTAAATATATTACAAAAGACATTTTTTCAGGCGATATAATGTTATGAGAATGCCGGTAACCCTCTGGCATACGTATGTGACTTGATCGCACCAGTTCAGAGTACAGTTAAGTTGTAAGCCTAGGTCCTTCACCGTTCGACAAACGTATAGTGGTACCATTGAACATTATTTTGGGGAGCGTCTCAAAACTGACTCTGTTCATCGAACGCTGACTGCCGATTATTATGGCCCGACACTTTGTCGGATTGACCGATAACCCAAACCTTACAGACCAGTTTTTGATAGTTTTAAAATCTATGTTGATAGCTGTTTGTATGTCTTTAACATTAGCTGGACCATACAGTTGCAGGCCGTCAGCATACAGATGATACTAGGTTACATTACTAAGTTCAAGAAATAGGAGATTAATAAACACAGAGAACAGTAAAGGAGAAAGTATACCTTGAGGGACACCAGAGCCGATATCACACCAGCTCGAGGAGAGAATGGAGATAGGAGAGGATGGATAAGAGAATATCGTGGCTGACGGTATTGAAGGCATTTGAGAAGTCTGCCAGAATTAAGACTCACTTTCTCACCACCCTGATAGCACATAGCCATATCTCATATCTATACATCTATCACATATCTCATAGCCACCCTGATATCACCAGTCACTTTGAGGAGGCCAGTGGTAGTGCTGTGGCCAGGCCTAAAACCAGATTTAAATGGGCTTAAAAAGTCATATTTGTATATAAAACCAGAGAGCTGTTTATGTACACAGGCTTCAAGAATTTCGGAGGAAGGGAAGAATTGATATAGGTCTGGAATGTTGTGCACTGATTTTAAGAGCCAAATACTTACGAGCCACAGTACTAACACTGTCCAAATCGGGATAAGTGCAGATCAGGCATTTAAGTGAGTCAGCTAAAAGCGATAATATTTGAATTGCTTATTTAACTCTACTATACCACTACTATACTCTATACTGAAACTAAAACTGCAAAGTTACATCTTGCTATTTATTCTAGTAAACAGGTTACAACAGACGTATTAACATTATAAAGGTATCAATAAAGTATACAAGACTGATTATTAAACAGATGTTATTCAGCGTTACGTCACGATGCCGAGTTTCTGCAAGGCCAACTGTGCGGCGTCGGCTTTCGCTTGTTTTTTGTTAGCACTAGCTACGGCGGGCTGGTATTCCGTTCCAGCTACTTTTACCTGCAAACAAAAAATAATCTGTGAAAAATACAGTAAAAAAATATATTTTAAAGAACACAAGACATGTAATTCCATGTTTCATGTAGTTTCGTTTATGTTTATCATTTGTGGGCAATAAATAAAAGAAATGATTTAACATCCTGTGACGTTGTAAACAATTTCATCAAACTCGGTTCAGTAAGTTACTCTACTACTCTTTAAATGTGCAAATAAACACACTTTTACTTTAGTAACTATCGTGAGCGATTAAACTAACATTTTACTTATTCGTTTACTAATGTTTGCCCCTACTGCTTTTCGGAATTAAGTTGGAACACGTAATAACATATACGTGCTGTAAACCACACCCCTTGCGTTCCGTACGAAAGACGAGAGTGCTGAAAACATAACTGTTGTGTGGATACGATATGCAATATGTTTTTTTTTTTCATTTATTTCGTCCAATATGTGTTAAAATATAAATTCTATTAGTAGTAGAATATTATTATCAAGATATTTAAATAATGACCCCATTCTTAAACGACTACAAAAATAGGAAGTACTCAATTCGGCTTTTTTTTCATGTTTGTTACTTCGGAACACGGGATATAAATGACGAACTTTTCTATTTTTATTAGTTAAAATTATATACTTTTGTGTGCTCTAATTCACTTCATTCATTAGAAGAAAACTTCCACCACTATGAGTAGTGTGTTAAGGAATATAGAATACAGTTTATTACAAATATTCGTGATGTAAGCTCATTGAAGTCGGTTATATTGTTTTAAACAAACTTTTTTAATAGTTCACGTTTAAGTTATATAACCCGACCATATGGCAAGTAATTATCAACAACCTTATCGAAAAGATTGATAGACATACGAGATATTCCTTTAAGTACTTAAAATAATGTTACTTTTTATGACCCGTCTATTTTTATTTTAAATTCGCCACTTTCGCACATTTATTTATATTTCGAACACAATTTAAAAAAAGGAACTATTTCGATGATTATGCTTCACGTAATGTTTTATAACATTTAAAGAAACAATCTGACATTGATTAAAATATATACAACAATGTCAAAAGGTTAATTACTCTCAAAACAACACTTATAAGATAACTCGTATTACTTTCGTAATCGATACAATACTATGTTCCCAAGGAACAGATATAAAGTATGAACTAAAAAAAGTTTTAATATCACCTTGTAACACACCTTGAATAAGAAATTCTTCTTATGATCTGGTCCACATTCGAAACATAAGTTGTATTCTGGTGGACCTAATTTCTGCTTAGAGCAGTATTCGCCGAGTAAAGATACGGGATGTTTTCCTCCAGCGATTAGCGGTGCTGGTCCTCGCGCTCGGCCAGAACGTTGGGGTTTCATCTAGATAAGTAGATAGAGTTAAACAATTTTAGTGTTGTTTAAATATTGAACAAATTTTAATTAGTATTATTAGTTACGATTTATGACCAACGGACTATAATTACGTTATGACCAAAAGACTACGTATGACCAGTGGACTAAATAACTGCCTAATGGATTGTACAATAAGTTTACTTCAGTTCTAAGGTAATAGAGATTACAGTTTGAACATGTTGTACTTATAGGTATATTGTGATTCTGTTATCAAAATAGTTTGAACAATGAAGTCAACATAGATAGTTAAACTATTGATTCATTCGATTCACTAGAACATGTTACTTACAAGTACTCAATTTCCAAATAGTTACAAAAGAGACTTGTACTACCAAAATAAATAATGAATGACATGATACTTACACCTCTATTTCGTCTACTGCTACTGACCTCTTCTTTGGCCTGTAGACCTTTAGTGTCCAGTTTGACCTCAAGAAGTAAAGGCTGAAGAGTTCCAGTGCCTTCTTTGCCTAGGCCTTGGCCTGGGGTCCACCCCATTTTCTGAAGTAAATGCATTCCCATACCGCCTTCAACAGGCGCGGCTCGTACCAGTTGGTCCTATACACACAATAATCAGTTAGATAATGTATTAATTGCATAGTTTTATAAGCAAATAAATTAATGAATTATTTAATTAACAATGATTTGTACCAAAAATAAAATTGTGCATGTCATTTCAATACATTTTTTTTGTGTGACGACATGTCACCAATACCTACTGATTATTTATAACAAATAGTACTACTCTCGCATATACACATAAAATTTAACACAATTTGAATCTAAGAACAAAAAAAACATTAAAAACAAAGTTCAATCAGCGATTTTAAATAAAACAAAAAAATAAACAACATTTATAAATATCCTTTCACAATTTCAATGTAGTTCGTCCCCATATATATCATACTTACCTCGCGTATTACCTTAGCACCTATCATCGTTGACCGTGATGATACCGTAGTGCACGCATCTCCTTATCACTTAAAAGCTGCAACAAATATTCATGAATTCCCCATTTTAGCCGCACGTCTCTCTGAGCCATCGGTCATCGCGAATATGTTCCTGTATTCGACGATAGCTCAAAGAATCGTTTGGCACAAAACTTATTGGAGACTGACTATACGTCTTGTATGTCCACATATTCGTGTTCATTACGTTTGGTAACAAATATATTTATGTAAAATGTTGAAAAAAAAAAGTAATTCATTGGAAAATGTTAACAGATAGTTAAGAATAACAATAAGAAGAAATAGATAAATAAATTTTAGTTTAAAACCTAAAAATTATAAAATCAATAAAAAAAAAACATAATTATATAAGTATAAATTAAATAAGTCAGTCACAACCAAAGGGGAAAACTGAATATTTGTATGCAATCAGATGTAATGGTGATTGGCATGCCACGTGCCCATGGCATGGCAATTACCATCACCTTCGCCAGAAGAATAGTGCGGTGTAACTAGAGAACTTCAGAGTTCCCTTTTTACACAAGGAATTTACGGTTTTGGTGATGGTTGCAGCAACATTTCCAAATAGGAAAATCTATTTCAACTATTCATGTGTTCTATAAGTATTATAGCATTGGCATTAAGCTATAGGATTTAATACAAGGTTTTGTCAATACCACATACATAAAAATAAGTTAAATGTTGACTATGAATGTGAAACTTAATTTCTATAAACCTCAATTTTCACAAAATACATAAATAGACTAAAACTTGACAGTTAAAATTAAGTAGTAAAATGTTATTGCAACCATAACAGATAAATTTCAAGAGGTCAGAAAGTGTAATACAATGTGTATTATAAGTTCTGACCACCACTTGCGCACGCGCAGTGTACGCGGGGCCCTCCCGTTGTGGCTCAACCGGCTGAAAGAAAAGTTATTTGCACACGATTAAAGTATTGAACGAAACCTTTGGCTCTCTGCAGTTTAATTGTGTTTAAACAAATCAAATCTTCTAAATTATCAGAAATTAATATTAGTTTTAAGCGTGACTATAATAGTCATGCTTAAAACTTTATAAAAGAGAAGACCGTTTACATCGTATGGCTTTTACTCGATTCTAATCCAACTGTTTACCTTGTCGTGATTGGAGATAATAATTCTAAAGTACGACAAAGTGACAAAATATTCGATATTTTAAGTACACATGTATGTCTGACTATTAATTGGTCTTTTATTTTCTATAATAAAATCCCAAACAGTTTATCCGGTTTACGGGCTTTTCCCAAAAGCTTTTTACTGCGTTATAGAGAATTTGATCCGTGGTTATAGATTACATCAATTTTAAATCTGCTTAGGATTGAGTTGCTCTAACCACTAGCTATAAGGGCAATGGTTTGTTAGCGCCGTCGCCGATGGAGGTTCCATCGATTCGACCGAGTTTCGTGGAATAATCATTATTCTATACGTGGATTACGAATACGGAGTGTCACCACCCCTATTCATCCCGTGGGTGTCGTAAGAGTTGACTAAGGGAGTAAATTGTTGTCCTGCAACAGCACTGCAAAGAGAAGGAAAACTTGGAACAAACCTTTTACCAACCCGTCTGGCCAGAGTAGGCCAAAACCTCGTTTCTAAGGTAAGGTCCAGTAGTGGAATATTGAAGGCTGTTGATGATAGCCTTAGTTATAAGCCCGTCTGGTGACATACTGATCTATTTTAGGCCTTGCAATAGGGATTGTGACTCTCATGACCTTTCACTTAGATCATCGCGGTCATCTCGTCTCTGTTGTTCTAGTGTCTCGTTTTTTTAATATGATTATTTACTACGTTTAAAAGTATACTGTAACAAGGCCTACGTAATAAAATATTTCAGTTTGTTTATAAAAATGTATAAATTTAATAAGATTTGTAGTATAGCAGCTAGCTATTCGGGGAAACTATAACTATGTATTGTAAATACGAACAATATTACTCGAGATTAGAACGGATAACATCACGCACGTGTGTGACGCTGCGTTCGCCAAAGAGTAATGTGGCAGATCAAAAATTATAGCCATACCATTTTTGCCGTATTTTTATTTAAAAACGAAGTAGTTATTTTGTTCAAAGTGTCAGAATCTCGCAAGATGGCTGCTTTATGTAATAAGATTCTTCTAGAGAGGATGACGCTACTTACCCAGTAAAAATATACCTTTTGAGTTATAAACTTAGTTGAAATATCTACATTTAACGTAGGTAATTAAAGTTTAAAATAATATATATAATAAAACTAGTACAATGCTCCGGTAGAAAACTATAAAATGGTCACTGATAATATCCTCCTAACATTTTTAGACCAGAAACAAAAATGTTGTTAATGACACCGAATGAGCAAAAACAAAGGATACACATGAACACATTCATGTTTAAGTGTCAACTTCAACCAATGTCTTTCTGTCAGAATTAGCAATTTATTAGTCTTAACTAGTTTTATTTGCAATCAATGACATTTAAGGCACCACAATACGACAGTAATACTGCAGACATAGCGTAATGATTAAGTCGGACCCACGTTACACGGATACATACGTAGGCATTCGACGGCCAGATGACGTAGTGGTTTGTGTAACGCCAAAGGTCCATCGAGGTTCGACGAGTTCGATGCCCGCTCAATTTAAACATTTCATTTCAATGTTGGGTTTGGTCTGGGTGTTTCTATGTATAATGTATGTGTTTCTATGTAAAATGTATATATTTAAAAAAAGGTATGTGCGTATTTTTATTACTTTTATAGTAACCATAGTAAGTTCTACTTAGTTTGGGACTAGATGGCGTTCGTGGCGTGATTGTGGTAGAATATTATTATTATTAACACAACACGTGTTACCCCACGGCTTCACAAAAAGCAATTCGTGTAAAGCAATTCTTTCGTTCTTTTCACCGAGAAATTGATTGGTTTACGGAAGCCCAATCCAAGCCATGGAAATGAAATGAATCTGAATATTCCCAATCTACATAGACATAAAAATATGTTTCCTATTCATTTATGAACTTAGCCTCTTGTTGATGAGACTAACGCCTTGTGGGTGAGACTAAGCTTGCATATTGCACAATACAACGGCTGAGCACCAACACCAGGTTTCGTTTGATACTTTAATGCTTCACACAGTTTTAAGCATATTCTTTCGTGACCACTTGTACAAGAAATTTATCATTTTCTAGTGGTAATGAAAGAATCAGTCATATTATGAGCAGGATCTGATAGGTGGAGGAGCGTGTATGACAATGAATAGGAGTACCTTTTTGGCCCAAGCTTGTGTACCGCTAGCTAGTTCCCGTGGTGTTAATATTTGAGCTCCTGTTGAGCCTGTAAATTGTCCTAGACTTGTGTCTTTTGCAGTCCAACCAAACTGTAAATATAAGAATCGATAAAAATTAAGAATTTTACATTACTATATATGAGGGATCAGGAAAATGTGGTGAATAAAGTGTTAGGTATAGGAATTGAAGGGTATAAGAGAAGAGGAAGACCAAAGAAAAAGGTAGATGGACTGTGTGAGTGAGGATATGGCCAGAAAGGGAGGAATCATACATACTGTGCTGACCCCAAATAAAATTTGGATATGGGTAGGCAGATGATGACTTTACTATACTATGGGCAATACAAAATGCTTTCACACTGTATGTCGTACCTAGATCCCCAGAGTTCTATCGTAAAGGCATAAATGAACTTCCGTTTTGATGGCAGCAATGTATATATGATGAGGGTAAATATTTTCATTAAATAAATATGTTACATCTTAGAAAAAAAACGAGTTTCAATTTTTCAGTACAAATCTGAAATTTCATACTTAAACCCTTTATATTTTTTACTTCTACCCTTTTAACTTCGCTGCTGGCGTTTTAGTCAATTTTACTAAGTAATTAAGATTAACCGTATATCTTTCATAGATATTAAACAAAGTTGTTAAACAAATAGACATTTAAAGATTCAAAATAGGATAGACTCACCCCGTGTGTAGTACACATTTCACTCTCTTCCTGCTCTTTACGAATCATTAATAGTTTCTGTGAGACAATTGACGCTACATCTTGCTGTTAAAAAAATTATATGTCCAATATTAAAATAATATCAAACGAATTTGTTTTGTTCGATCATTTGTTCTGTGTCTGGGTAATATTTATCTATCACATTATCATCATCGACAGCCTTTACTAGTCCACTGCTGGACATAGGCCTCGCCTTAGAAAGGAGGTTTAAGCCACTATACCACGCTGGCCAGACGAGTTGGTATAGGGGTTGTTTCAAGTTTTTGCAGTGCTGTTGTTCTGCGTAGTTTGCTCCCTTAGTCGGCTCTTACGACACCCACGGTATGAATAGGGGTGGTGACACTTCGTATTCTTAATCCGTCACCACACGGATCACATTTATCTTTAATGTAATAATATCTTACACATGGCCGTCTTATCCCAAACTAGGAGCCTGTACTATGGTACACTGCCGATAAACATATTTATATGTTTCTAAACACATACATAATATAGATAAATTACACAGAACAAATGATCGTGCTCATCACACAGTTATTTGTCCTGGGTGGGAATCGAAGCCAGAACCTCTAGCTTAGCAGTCAGGGTCACTAACCACTAGACCAACAGGCCCGACAAATATGATATCGGTTTCTATACCCAGCCAACGCAAATAAATTTTGTAATGAGCAAGATCAAATATATATGATTATTTAGAAGTACATAAGTATTTTTATCTGCAGTTACCATAGCACAGGCTCTGCATAGTTCGGGACGAGACGGCCGTGTGTGAGATGTGTAAAGTTATTTTAAATAAAAAAATATAAATACACAAACTTAGTAAAAACAAAATTAATCGAAAAATACTTTTGTGTGTGTGTTTGCAAAAAAAAACAAACCCATAAATAGCGAATGTTAAATCTGATGCTCTTACCATTTTTTTTGCATCTACACCGGGTGGGTAAGCCTGTGGACCTGGTGCAGGCAATGCAGGTACGGAATTTAATTCTGTAAAAGGTATAAATGACTACATCAAGATACACTACAGTAATTCTTACTCATTAGAGATATATTGTAGAAATTAAATGCATAGAGCATTTGACGACCGGATGGCGTAGTGGTTTGTGTAATGGACTGCTGTTCCAAAGGTCACCGGTTCGAATAAGGTTCAAGTATAACATTTTGTGCATGAACTTTTAATGTTTGATTTGGTCTGGGTGTTTCTATGTATAATATGTATGTATTTAAGTTTAAGTAGAAAAAGTATATATGTATTTATATCAGTTGTCTAGTACCCACAGTACAAGCTCTGCTTAGTTTGGGACTAGATGGCATTGTGTGAAAGTTAGAATATTATTCTTGTTATTTTGATACATTAAGGAAAAAAGTTTAATACAAAGTTATAGAGGTAAAAGGTTTAGGAACAGAAGCTGATGTGTCCATTGCCTTTTTCTTTTGGTGAAGACATTGATATTTTTCTCTTAAAAAATAGTTAATGATGAGGACAAAATCTTCAAAGATTGACAGTATTAACGTTTTTGTATGTATTTACACAAATTTTTACCGCAAGCAAGTAATTTAAAGAGTAGAATTTGTCGACTCAGTACTTGTTTAGAGACAATTGGGACTAATTCCTGCCACACGCCGACTACTGTAACTCCTTCACACCTACTATGACTCACTAGCAAAGTGAGTATTGACACTCGGGAAAAGTCCCAGGAAAAGTTAAATTGTATTAGGACAAAATTAATCAGAAGTAAATTGCAGGAGTTGAAAAAATAATAAAATCACTGCCCTCTTTAGCAAAGTGGGAGACAAAAACGACTTGTCGTCCTGGTCGAAACGTCAGGCAAACCAGAGGTATGTAATACCCTAAATAAGAGATCGCGTTAATTCCCGTTAAAATAATATTAAAAACGACTTGGTTGCTCAGAGACAGTAGAATTAGTTATAGTATAGACAATCTTATAGAAGTTCTAGATGTAATACTTACGAGTTCCTGAAGTAAAACTTTTCAGGTATGGAGGTGGGCTTGCAGCTTTCTCAGGTAGTCTGTAATTAAATATGGAGGAGGGTATTTTTAATATTAATAATTAGGAAGAAAGATAGGGTAAAGGCTTCTTCTTAGGAAAGAGGTTTCGGCCTACTCACCACACTGGCCAACCTAGTTGGTATAGGGTTTGTATCAAGTTTTCCTTCTTTTTGCAGTGCTGTTATTCTGCGTAGTTTACTCCCTTAGTCAGCTATAACGACACCCACGTGATGACTAGTGGTGGTGACACTCCATATTCTTTATTCGTCACCACAAAGATCGGCTTAGCTACTTACATGTAAATGGAACAAGTACTCAGATCCTATGATTCTAAAGTCTCGACCCAAAACGGATTAAGATAATTTCAAGAATATTATAAGTAGGGCATACTGAAAGTCTCTGGATCTGGCCACTTACAATAAAAGAATGAAAAACAATTGTGGAATTCAAAAATGGAACTCTTCGGGAACATGTTACTTTTAAATTTGCGACTGTCATTTGCTTTTTGATTGTGACCTCTTTTTGAAAATTGTGTATCCCTATCAAAATGAATTGTCTTATGAAAATTTTCGTTTAATTACTTTTTATGATTTTCGTTGTGTCTTAAGTCAACAAGAGAGTTGCCAGAGACTTTAATTGACATTTGGTGATGAAGCACCATGTCGCAGCTCTGTGTATTCGTAGTTCTACTCTACGTAGTTAGACTCTAATATTGATACCTTACCACAACTGATTGAAACTGACAAATAAAATACTTGCCAGAAAATTCGTGCTTTGTTAGGTATTGGAATGAGCCAAGTGCAAAACATTTTACATGTGCATCTGAAGTTTCGGAAGCTTTGTACTCGATGGATACCGCATGTAACACGCACGTAAACGTAAACGTGCGTGTGTACGTTTCCTTTTATAATACAGTGGTTTCAGCAAATGCAAAAATGCATTAGTAGCGAACGAATATACTTTGAAAAACAAAAAATGTATCGTAAGTCTTATTTATCAGAATCCAGAAACTTTCAGTATGCCCAAAGTATTTTTGGTTTACTTACTTAACAATTTCTGTAGATGTAGCTGGCGGTTTAGTTTTAATGGTGCAGGTACTTGTGGCGTTCAGTTTTGCGACTTGCTGGAGTTTAAATAAATGTATTAGAATACTGCTGATATTATATATATATATATTTATTATGTGGTTTATTACTTACTATTATTATACTACTATAGAAGATTACTTACTGTAAGTAATCTTCTAAGGCAATCATTTATGGAGTATTATTTATTCTCTATTTTTCTTTTTTTTGAGAGTTATTTTGACTATGACTATGACAGTACGACCTTAATACTGACCATATCTTTTTTGGGCGGCGAGACCGGTACCCATTCTGAAGCCTTTTCTCTATGTTGTGAACCAGAAGAAACGGGAAACTGAAGTCGTAGCTCTTCTTTATTGGCTATTGGTAATGGATTTGACTTTACAGGCAGTGGAGCTCCACCCTACAAAAAAAAATTATAAAATTAACTAGTGTTATAAATTATGGTTTAGATGGCCAAAGATTTGATTGGCATTCTACAGAAAAGAGTTAAAAATGGTGAAGATCATTGTGGAATGCACAGATTTACAAATCGGTTTCAATTTCTGTACTGGTAAAAATTCACCACTATATAGAGGAAAAACTTGTAGTTTAAAAAAAAGGACTTACTTAAGAATTTATACATTTTGTCTTAAGAAACAATTTATGGTAATTACCCTTATGTTCATAACGATAGGAGCCTTTTCTTTAACAAGAAACGGATGATGGAATGCCAGGGTATCTTCATTTTCACTCATATCTTCGTCGTTAGATGAGACAGAAGACAGTTCACCGAGTGCTTCTTTTTTCGACAGATGCTTGCAAAAATCAGTAAGTTCATCTACTGATTTACCTGTAAAAAAAAAACTTAGAGATTTAAGAATGTCAATATATAATATATTTATAACTCATAGTTAAATGAAAACAGGTGCATTTTATGACAGTTAAAAATAAATTACAAATAGAATGTCTCAATAATTTAAGATTAAAACAAACAGACGCAGATAGAACATATTATGTACAATCTTTATCATTTAAAAATTCGTCCACTGTAAAGTACGCCTTTTACAACAGAAAATGCTTAACCATATTTAAAATTAATAAAACACGTAATTTCTATTAAGCGTTTAGGTAGATGGTTATAGACTCGTGGCGCTATGCAAAACACTCCGATCCATCAAAGCACTTTTCTGCTGAGGACAACATATTTTGAAATTGTGACGCTTACTTCTTACTTATCAAATATGTTAAGGTTACTTCTGACAAATAATAACAGTTCATTAACATACAGACAGGGTATTTGTCGTAACGTGATGTTATATAACCTATAGCCTTCCTCGATAAATAGGCTATCTAACATTATAATAATTCCTGAGATTAGCAGGTTAAACCAAACTAAGATGTGTGAAGCTATTATTATTACTATTATTAAACTCTTCAGCTTTATAATAATTAGTATATGTCATCATTACAATTTACATACCTCCAGATTGTATGGCAGCCATAACTTGGTTTCTAGTGTGAGGTGGGAGGGCAGCGGCTCCAGCCGGTACCGCACCGTTTTTGAGCATATTGATGGCGTTCCGTCGAGCCACTTCTAACAACCGCTTCTTTTCACTATCCGCAAGTTTTACCCCAGTTGGCGATCTGGAAATTATTCATATTTCTTTATGAGTTTATTCTGGTTTTTAAGGAGGTGGTTTTATTTCTATCCTCAAAATGGGAATAATGATTTATGGGTGTTTTGTTTGAAGGATTTGGTGGACTAGTGGGTAATGATCCTAACTGTCATTCCCATCCACAACAAATAATTGTGTGATGCGCTCGATCTGCACGGATGGCGTAGTGGTTTAAGCGGTCGCCACGCCGCTTCCTACTACGCCGAGTGTTGTGGGTTCAAACCCCACATGGGACGACACTTTGTGTGATCCACAAATTGTTGTTCTGAGTCTGGGTGTCCTTTGTGTCCGTTTCATGTATGTTTGTAAAGTCCCCCGCGACACAGGATTTATTCCTAATGCGGGCGTTGTCTTTATAAAAAAAAAAAAAAAAAGAAAAAAAGATAATTTGTTCTGTCTGGCTGTAGCTTATCTATTATACATATGTATTTAGGAATATATAAGTCATCAGCAGTCTCATTGCCATAGCATAGGATCTGCCTAGTTGGGGATCAGATGGATGGTGAGGTTTTTATTATTATAATGTTTATTAGCATGCTTTTCTTTGATCATTACATTTATTTTTTGGTAAGTGGGTATGGAGAAAATGGACCTTTCTCTAGTATGGCTGTTCTACTGTTATGTCCCTAAGACTATACCAACTATACTGTAAGAAGATTATAATGTATACCAGTGGCCATAATGCTAATTAATAAGCATTTAATATAATTAGTGTTAACTGATTTTACAAGAGTTACTGGGTCAAACCTCTAATAACAATTAAAACAAAAAAATTACGTTTCTTGAAATCAGCATCAAATAATAAACAAAAAGGTCACACCTGGATCTTCTGGGCCTATATCTTGGAAGTGGTGAGCGTCTTCCTGTCCTATGCCGTGACCGCGACCTGCTCGTCCTCCTTCTTGACCTTGACGCCGACCTCCTCCGCGATCTTGAAGTTGATCGGTGACGACTGGTGCGTCTTGACTTTGACGTGGAGCGGTGTCGACGTTTTCTCGATGGTGAAGGTGATCTGGATCTTCTGGATTTACTTCCAGGTCTAGTAAATAAAGAGTTTCTTTCAAAGAGAATTAAAAAAAGAGGCCTATTTGACACGCCTTGTCGTCCTTGACGGTCAAAGTGTTAATTAGGATTTGGCAATAAAAGCCCTTATAAACATTTTATGACATAAAGCGTAATTATATATTTTTTACAATACCTTTTCTGTGATCTGCTTTCATCTTTATGTGACGATTTTGTTGTATTTTCAGTCTGTTTATTCTTTTTAGAGGTAAGTCTTTCATCCTCCTTAATTAATTCACTGAAAATGAATGTTAATTAGTTTTGCATTTCTTAGATTTTACAGCTTTTTTTTTATGGCATAGGGTAAACAAGTGGACGGGTATCCTGATGGTAAGCTCTTATCGCCACCCATGGACATATGTAACTTAAGAGACACAAGTGTGTTCCCCTCCCCCCAGAATGGTACAATGTAAACATTCAAATTGACATTATTAAGACATTATAAAGAGACACTCTATTTTTATTAATTTGCATGTGTAAATGGGAACAGTTAAATATTAATAGTTGAAAACAAAATAATAATAACAAAAATATGTTTCGACTTCATAAACTGTCTCTCAGAAGTTGGCTTCAAAATAAAATGTATTATTATATAATTAATTAGAAAACAAAGCCCCATTAAATAGTCTTTCATACAGCATTCACTGTTTCCTGGACCCCTTTATTTATGAAAGGGTGGATCCCTTCTACAAGCTATTAATAATCCTAATAGAAGCCTCCACAAACAATGACTGACATTCAATTAACAAAAATTTATTTATTGCATTAAGAAAAGACTGTATGTGTTGCAAATATAAACTGGCAGCATATAGGATAGTTTTGTAGTAGATCACCAGCCTATTCATTTTTAAATGGTCTTGTAATTACTTAATAGGCTTATTATACCTACTTAAGAGAATGCTTTATTCATTTTGTAATTACTAGATCAAAGCTTAAACTTAATAAACTTCAAAGAAAAAAACTCACTCACTTGAAATCCTAATTATCCGAATAAAAAAAAAAGAATGTTATACCATTTGCAATATTTTTTTTTACTAGTTTTTACCACTTAAATTTATTCTCAAACGTAATGCTAGGAAGGGCACTATCTCTCAGGATACAGGTGTTTAACCTAGTTTGAGAAATTGGGTCTCAGACTGTTGTACACAATAACCTTGAATAAATGAATTATTATAAAATAGAAAAATATAGACTTACATTCTTTCTACCTCAGCCTGTTTTCTTAAAATACCTCCAGGATCTGACGATTTAGGAAACTGTGAATTATATACAATATCTTTGTCAGTACTGCTAGAAGAATCAGTATATTCACCTTCTTCATACTTTTCAGCCTTTTTTCTGGCTTCTTCTTCGGCCTTTTTAACAGTCTCTTCAAACACTGTGCTGAACTTCAAGTTCTTAATTAAAATTTTACCTTTAGATGAATCCCTGTCCGTATTGGTGATGTCGGCTTTTTTTAAATCTAACTTTTGTCTTAAATCTAGTGATTCCGCATTATAAGGTTTAGGTGAAAGATCTGACGGAGGCAGTGGTATAGGCGGAGACGTTGAATCTACAGTGACTGGCGAATCCTCTGTTTTGAAAGACACTAGCCTTTTAATATCTCTCTCTTTTTCTAATTTAATTTCTATAACTTTAACATCTTCTGACTTAATTTTCGGTTCCTGTTTCACTTTAACGTTCTCTGGATCTAGTTTGACTCTAACTGGTGTGAGGGGATAGGGATACGAAGGTGACCGGCTCTCCCTAGCACGCTTTTTAGTTTTACTTTTTTTTCGTTTCTTACGCTTATGTGAGTATTCACCTTCCTCGTCAGACCCGCTACTGCTGCTAACACTTTTACTACGCTTTTTCTTTTCTTTTTTATGTTTTTTCTTACTCTTTTTTGACTTTTTTACTGGAATGTCATCGATCTTTGGTGGATCCGCGTTAAAAGCACTAAAAAGTTCTGACAGGATTTCACTTGATGATTTGTTCGAATCATCTTTTTTGCGGTCGGGTGTTGTTTTTTCCCTTTTTATAAGTTGTTCAATCTTATCTATTAAGCTCGCCATAGTATGTTCTACTTTAATTGACTTTTCACTTTAGGATTGTTTTAGTTTTGGTAACTTATACACAAATGCAATCACTCGCCATGTTGTGTTTCGCGAATGTTGTGTGAAGTAATTTGACAATTCTCTGAATGACAGTTTCATCAGAGTTGCCAACACTTAAATTAACTTTCCAACAGATTCAACATCTAAATAAAACCACCAGAAAAACGGCTCTACTCTAATCGAATCTAATAGTCACTTAATTTTCTAGTTTTTTCACTAAATATATTACTAGTGATTGTGAAAGAGCAGATAGAAGATTAACGATTATTTAATTATTAAAGATAACACCACATTCTCTAGTATCTGATTAAAGAGAACCAGGGGGTGCATACTGGAACCCTTCAATAACTACTAATCCCTCGTATTTAGGTTCACATGAATCGTTTTGTCGAGTCGAAAAGATTACGCTTGGTAACTATAATCTGATGTCATTGGAGAAAGATACTTTTTTCCCTTTTTAATATGGTGCGATATTAAAGAGCGTTATTTTACTCACAATATTCATTTAACTAATTGTGTATTTATTTACATAACTACACAATTAGTTAAATGTAGGCAAATCTTAAACCACTAAGGTTTATGCGGCATGCCACATAAACCATGTAAAATCAATTTAGTATATAACAGTTAATAAGTAAATAAAATAAGCAATTACAATAGTAACATTACTTAATAGTACTAAGTTTAGGGTAGAATACAAAAACATAATATTTACATTCCCGAACACACTAAGTGAAACAGGTTTAGCACAGGGAATCTACAGGCTGTGCACGAAATGCGTTTTAAATTTTTGTTTTAGGTTTGCCTTTGTTATTCGCTGTCTAAAGGAAGGATTTAAAAATTCACTGCATGGACTGTCTCCAGTCTTTTATTGGTTTTTGACGAGTTTGTATGTTATGGAATATTTCATTCTGTATAGAGCCATTAAAAAGTGTTATTTAAGTAGACCAAAAGTGACCTTTAAATGGATAGGAAATGTCTTGCAGAATTTATATAATTCCATTTCTCTCTCTTTAATTTGTTCTTTTTTACTCGGTGAGACAATTATTGTTTTAAATTTTTGTCTGTTCTGCCGTAGCTTGTAATACCATATCCTATAATTGAGGCCAAGAACGCTTTTAACTGATCACCTACTCGGTTGACTTGAGGTAGTCAGTTAAATTTACTATCGATCAGCCCCAGATATGGGGGCTTTTGTCAACTGATTCAATAGAAGGACATTGTCAAATACTACTGTTTTTGTATAGGCATAGATGTTCATGAACCACCAGCCTAGCGCTTTCAGGACATTGAATTTTGCTATAGGGATAACGTATGTGGATTAATTTGGTTTTCTCAGCGTTCAGCACCAGTCCATTGTCATGATACCATTTGCTGATGTTAAATAGATCTGCTTGCATTTTAGTCAACGATGTAGAAACATCATTGTCTGCAATGAGTAAACAAATGCCGTCCGCGTACTGATAGGAAGTGCAGTGGCTGATAACATTATTTATGTCGTTGACATTTGCAATAAAGTGAAGAGGGGCAAGCATTCATCCCTGTGCTGTTCCTACATCGGCTGTTATGGACTTGCTGTAGCTTTCATTTACCTTGACACAGTAGGTCCTATTCTGAAGAGAAGTTTCGCACCATTGTAGTAGTGGGCCGCGCATACTAGTTTTACTAATTTTTTTATTAGTTTTGCGTTATTTAATGTGTCAAACGCACGGGAAAAATCAATGAAAACAGCCGATACATGTTTCCTAAAATCTAAAGCTGTATTTATATAGTCTGTGAACTAATAACAGCAAAGTTGTGCTTTTATTAGGATGGAATCCTGATTGTGATTTTTTGATATTACATTATGATTTCTATAGAAGGAATGTATTTGTTCACTAAAATATTTTTCCACCACTGTATTGATTGTTGTCAAGATCGTGATAGGTCGATAATTTGACACATCATCATGTTTGCCTTTTTTGACACAGCCATGTTTTAGTTCATCATGATAGCTTCCCGTTTAAATACTGGCATTGATGAGATCCGCAATGGCACTGGACATGCGGTGACTTAATTTCTTTATGTCTATAACTTTAATCTTATCTTGCACTGGAGCATTAAAACCGTTCAATTTATGTATGATTTTTTGATTTTATGTAGTGTAGTTGTTTTTACTAGCATACTAACATCACTGTAATCAAGATAATCGGTCTCTTTAAGAAGTTGCACTTTACATCGTGGTAATATTTTGTTAACCGAGTTTTTGAATTCGTCGGCAAATCTGTTGGCGATTTTTAGATGGGAGAGATTATTGTTGCTACATGCTTTTAAAATAATTTGGTCCACTGTTTCAGTAACTCTGCCACAGATTGAATTTATTAGTTGCTAGAGTTTTTTTGAGTTAGAGTAGTTTTTCCTTATAATTGTTTTAAAGTTGCAATTTTGGTGATATTCTATGACTTTATGACATTTGTTACGTGATTTAATATACTGCTATCTAAGACACTGATTGGTTGGATCTGATCTAAATAGTTTAAATAATCTGTCTCTAATTTCACATAAGTTTAAAATATTTTGGTTTGTAACCGCTGAACCTGTCAGGCGGTCTACTCACCGGCTTACCCAGCGGAGATATTCACGAGTGTCACTGTTGACAACTCCGTACGCAATACAAATATATTGGATAAATAACTGTTACAGGTTGATCCATGGATGTTTATACCTTGATAATGGGCATTTATTTGTTGTCTGGCTTTAACTTTAGCGTTTTCAAAATTACTTTTAATAAAATTATATATTTTGTTAGGGCAGGTCAATTTTTCCGTAGTAGACCAGTCTATATTATTAAGTTCCTTTTCCAATATACTTTGGTCATAGCAATGAAATTTATCAGTTTTGTGAACAGCCTGTACATGCGCTTGTACGTCATCACAACGACGATTCCAACGGACGGACGGTTCCAAGACTAGATCAGGAACTGGAGCCGGAGTTTTCTCGCAAGACCTAAATATGAACATATCACTAGCGTTAGGCCAACACAGTTCCATATTTCAATGTGAATGAGTGGCAATAACTTACGCTGCCACAACGGCCATGTCAAGGGGTATCAAGGACTACAACATCCGAATAATATCCGACAGCATGGCCATCTTAAAGGCACTAGAGGGCAACACAATTACCTCTGGTATTTTCTTCGAATGCCATCAAGCACTGGAACAGCTCGCTACATTCAATGGGGTACTCCTCCAATGGATTAAAGGGCACAGTAACTCAAACGGGAACGATGCCGCAGATGAGTTGGCAAGGAGGGGCTTGGCAACCCCGACTTCCTGACAACCAGACTCCTGCCCTTATCATTTAACCAAAGGCTGGCTCACCTAGTCAACCAATCCTCGACGCATAAAGGACCACTCTGAGTCTAAATGCGGAAACCGAAGCCCTATACCAATACCAATACCAATACGTCATCACAACTGCCAGCGATGAGAGTGACGCGGTGGTCTGCTAGAACAGTGTAACCTAGCAAAAATATGGTCAATGCCTGATTTTGTTATTTATTCGCACGCTTATCAATTATAGTCTTATATTCCACAGCTGAACCCGTTTTCAGCGAGCATGTTAGTGCATAGTTCTCGGTGTGCGGAGTATGTTTTGAGATTAACGTTTATATCCCCGAGTAAGATCATGTCAGTGGATGTATTACGAGTATATTTCCTTAGAAGCTTGGATAGTTCAGTGACAAAAATAGTTTTGTTAGTGTGTGCAATTACCCGGTTATTATTTGCCGTTATTAAAGTGCCTGTTATTGTTTCAAAGGAGTGGTTTGTTAATCTGCTAGTGGTAAATTTAAGATAGATAAATTATTATTAATTTAATAATTATTAATTATTTAATTATATTATTATTCCACCGCCTTTTCTGTGTTGCATTAATTGTGTGTGCATTCTGTAGCCCGGCATTTGAAAAAGATTACATAAATTATTGGATATACCTACTTCGGTGACAACAATGATATCAAGTGATATATGAGGAGCCTATTGCACATAACAGTTTAGAGATTTTTTTTAAAAGTGATCGTATGTTTACATGCACATGTTGACGAACGAGTTGACGGTTACGCAATTATAGATACATTTCATTTATTTGTCTGACATAATTTTTAAAATATTTGACATATGATTTTAGAGTATGATATTTAGTAAAGAGTGTATAAAAATATTAAATATTAGAATAATAATAATAATAATATAATATATCTCACACACTCACACACGGCCGACTGATCCCAAACTAGGCAGAGCCTGTATACTATGGTAACCAGACCGCTGATAAACATACTTATATATTTCTAAATACATACATATTATAGATAAATTACACCCAGACACAGAACAAATGACCGTGCTCATCACACAATATTTGTCCTGGAATAAGAGACAAATATTATTAATATTATTATTTTTTTGTTTTTAGAATAAGAGTATGATAATTTACCAGTTGTAGTTTTTAGTATGTAGGTATCTTACGATTTTAGGAGTGAGTCAATATCGGATTCGGCACATATTATGAAAGCTTGTTCGGAGTCTTCGCCTTTCTTAGCGTGGATTTTTCATGCTTTACATCATATGTATTTGAATGTCCCCTTTAGACATTGTTTGGCGTTATATAGGAGGGTCTAAGAATAATGAGTAAGATCTGCCCGGACATATACGCGGCGTGTGGCTTTTTCCGTTGGCAGATCTGAAAGGATAATAACTAATCGTTTTCTTTAAAATCAAACACATATTCAGTTTTACTTGCACGAATAGGGAACAGGTAAAATAAAACCACTTTATTTATGTTTAGTTTTTATTGTTTTCTCAATACCTTTGGAAGGTTGGTTAGTGATAAACTGATAAACAATCAAGAATTATTATTACATTCTTTATCATCCCGTTTGAGGGAAATACACTGCGATTATTTGTCAACTGCAGCACAGGACGGAACATGTCCTTTAGTTATTATTGATTTAGGTACAGTATAGGAGTGTTCAGAGAAAATGCACTTACAATTAATAATTTCAAGAAATCTCGATCTACTTATTCGACATGTACCTACATATAAGTAGGAAAGCTTCTAGCATGATTGTATGGTAGATATGAGTGTTTTTTCAAATAAACAGTTATAAGTATATTTTACAAAATATATTTATTTTATAAAATAAAATATACTCATCATCTGTTTATCAGAAACAATATATTGTACCGAAGATGATAAAATAATGTAGATATAGGATAGGTAATATTAATAGATGTGGTTTGTACCTGTCGCCCACTTCGAATCATTTTGACACAAATAAAGACAAGCACAATTTTAATAAACAATTAATTATAGATAAATCCAATTATTCACACTCAATAATTTGGCATAATTTGTTTAAGTGAATTTAATCATTGGAAGCGCCAATTATTGAGCAAAAATTTAATTACTGTTCAGGCCGTTGCTAATGTTATGAACTCAAAAGAAGTTTTTTACTGATGTGTTAAATATATAAAAAAAAACAAAACTCAAGTGTATCGCAGTGCAATTGTCAGCATGAAATTAACAGATACACATTTCTTTTTTACGCTTCTTTCAGTGACTTCAATCTTATAACATCGGCCTTCATTTTAAAACTTGCTCATCTTTCATTCATCTTAGGAAGACGGAATAAATACTATCAAATGGCTAAATGAATAACTTACTAAAAAGCAATAAACATTATCATATTATCACACAATAATATCCGTTATAATAAATCGATGACTAAATTAATATTTCTAATTATATTCAGGTATATAATAATAGCAAACTTGTAATAGATAAGTTGATATAATCATAAAATACATTCACGTATTAAAATTCCTACCTATCTACGTTTTCGTATCAAATTTTTAACGATTTTTTCCATGTATTTGATTTAGTTATAAAAAATTTGTTTGTTAAAAAAGTAATAATTACTGCCACAAGCTGGTCCACAGTAAACTATCTTTACGAAAATAACAAAGTTACTAAGTACTTCATGTATATTTGTAAAAGTACTAATGATTTACGATAATTGCAAATTACATAATGAACCTAAATGGTATTTAAGCATAAAAATTAAAACATACACCGCTTCCTCCCATTGCTTTTACTAATCCGTATGTATATTCCTTCGTTTTTAAGAAAATATAATAAAATAAATAACCAAGGTCAGTTTTACAGATGAATCTTTGCGTTCGTGCTTGAAAATGGAAAATCTCGAATTGTGCAAACTGGGTGCAACGACGGCAACCTTCCTTCTCATGTACGTTTCACATTTTAAGTATTCGAATGTTAAACGCTAAACTTTTATCACACGGGTCATAACGGGTCCCAAAATTTTATAAACCATGAGACAAGAACAGTTTCCGCTCGGTCAACGAGTGGTAATGAAGCGTTCGCCTAAATGAGTAGAGGCTAACCATGCTAATAATTATTGGAACCTTGATAGCTCTAGTTTTATTCAGTAAGGTACGTCTGCTTGTAGCGGGTCAACAATGTCAGGGTTCCTAATAATGATCGACACGCTAGAATCGTTGAGATTAGTAACTAGGCTAGCGCCAAAGAACTCAGCAAACGGCTACAGCTCTCGAATCTGACTTGATGAAGCGTAGTGAATGAGGCATTAGCTATGTAATACATCTGAAAATGTAGGCAAACTTGTAAGCGAGAAACGCTTAACAAGAAAGCCATTCGTTGTCATCATTAAGAAGTAGATACTAGGAGATTAGAAACGCTAACGGCTGAAAAAATCGCAGAGGCCTATAAGATAACTATCGGAGCTAACACTCGTCATTACGACTCGGTACGTACAGACCGAGAGCACTAGCCGCTCCAATCTTAAAGCTACTACTAAAATTCTCTAGACGATCAAAGATCGCAAGCTAAATTGATTTTATTCAAAAGTCTTAAAAAAATAAAATCTGCTAGTGATCAACGTTTAACGCGTTAGCGAGGACGCATGACGGCGCGCACCGTTCGGAAACGTTTTTCGAAGCCGAGCTTCATGTAAAGAGAACGGGACGCGTCGTTCTCCGGACGAATCACGACGAATGGTTTATAGCCGCGGTCAGCCACTTCTTTGGTTAGGCGCCGTGCGAGGTACATGCCGTAGCCTTTCCTACGGAACTCTGGCCTGGTTTGCATTGAGAACATGGCCCCGTAGTACGATTGCACCATCCACGCAGCCAGCTGCCCTTCGACGAAGATACCATAGGCCGGTAGCTCAGCTACAAGTTTCTCGAAGACCTCACGGCACTCAATATCGCTCGCCGGATACAAGTCGTGGACCGCCTTCATGTGTTCGGGCTTTAAGCGAACTAACTCCACGTCCGGTGGCAATCTGCAAAAGATACAAAAAAAATTATTTCCTAAAAAACAATTAGAAAAAACACTCACGAAACATATGCGATTACATTATCACATTCAGTTCACCGAACCACATAGCCCTTTATCGATAATATAGATCCTTATCCTAATATCTCTCTTTTCATACCCAAAATGCTCAGTTTTCTTACCCATCAGTACTGGCGTCCTTAGGTGGGTTATCACAGGAGTATACATCGCCGGTAATCTTGTCGTGCCCCTCATAGTGCCTCTCGAGCCGGTTCACTATCGCCTCGTGAGTAAAGTTCAGGTACAATGACTTGGTGAGATCCAGTAATATGTCTTCTGAAGTCAGCAAGTCCACCAGCTCTGCGCGGTCCGAAGGACAAAATACTGTCACGCTTTCGTACGGATGGCTGTTGGGCTGAAAATAAATATTGTACATATATATTTTAAATGAAAAAATGGGAAAGGGTTAAGGCAATTAAGCCGAATCCTTAAAGAGACGTTTATTTACATATACAAGTAATAATTAAAAAAATCATAAATCCCACGTTTGCGGCACGAGGTCTGACACAAAAACGAAAAATTTTTACGCCATCAAAAAGTCTTTAAACCAATTTTTTATTGTTTATTAAATTGAAATATAAAAGTTTAATATATTTTTGTAATCCTATTTTAATTTTACTAGCTTTACTTTAATACCTTACTCGATATGTTTGGTTATTAATTTTTTTATTAACCTATTACCATTTTGTTTTTTTGTTCAAAGCCATCTAAGGAAACTTGGGTTTTCGAGACGGATAAAACAATACCCTAACTGTCGAAATCCATGCAGAGAGTTGGAAGATGCAAGATAATAAAGTAGTTTACAAATAAACATACAAGATACTCGCGATAAACATTACACTTCCTTGGCAGTCGAGTAAAACTAGGTGACATCAATGATATGATATAATATACAAACAAGAGTAACACATTAAATTGAAAACTTAGTAGGCGGTAATGTATTGGATTTCAACTCAGTGAATTATTTGAATGTGTTTCGGCTGAAAGCCGATATTACCTACTTGGTTTCTTATAGGCATTAGCATCAGAAATAAGGATAGACCTAATGTTTAACAAATACTATCGACCACACCTCGGTTTACCCGCCTAGAACTATGAAGACAAAACAATACTTCGGTCTTTTAGTCATAAACAGCCAGAACAATGTATAAAACATTTGTCTAGCTAATTAATATTATTTAACGGGAATTAACGCGATCTCTTATTTAGGGTATTACTTCACGGATTCGACGACGGAGGGCGTGCGCCGATGAACCAGTCAGCCTGTGACCACGGCCGGTGCAACCTGGTCGAAACGTCAGGCAAACCAGAGGTATGTAATACCCTAAATAAGAGATCGCGTTAATTCCCGTTAAATAATATTAATTATCATGGAACGCGAAAGTTTAAAAGTTAGTATTTGTCTAGCTGTTTATATGTGTAATGTTTTGTTTTTATTTTAAAATTTCAAGATGAATACGTGTAATGAGTACAACTTTTGATAGTTAATCATCATCATCATCATCAGCCTATCGCAGTCCACTGCTGGACATAGGCCTCTCCCATTTTTGAACAAAAAAATTAAAATTGAGAGTTAATAAATGAGTCTAATTGAGACTACATAACATTTATCTAAAACGTCATGAGTCATAATTTGTTTTAAGTCCCTAGAGTCGTTATTACCAGACGAACGTGCCTTGATGCGTTTCTTGCTCGTGGTACTATGCCAGGATTAAAATGTTTTTCTGGAAATGAAAAAAGTATGCTTTCGCTAACGATGTACGACATACGAAAGAGTTTCAAAAGACTAATGAGGGAACGGTTTCGAGGCTAGACATACGTTATGAACTGATTAATGTTTTTAACTACGCTTTGCAGCGATTTACCTGTACCTAAATATTTAATAGTATGTTTGTCAACGTATTGACATGATTCCTGCACTGAAATAGTTGACTACTCAGTGTGTTTTTAAGAGAAATGCAATTTTCTTGAGCTAAGTTATTTATTTGCTAAGCTATAAATTACGAAAATCCCAGATTTCAATTCGTCAGACAAACAGTCGAAACAGAAGTCAAATATAAGTATTTAAGTCATCAACAGCCTTTATTAGTCCACTGCTGGACATAGGCCTCTCCTTCGAAAGGAGGCTTTGGCCTACTATACCACGCTGGCCAGACAGGTTGGTATAGGGTTTGTGTCAAGTTTTCCTTCTTTTTGCAGTGCTGGTGTCCTGCGTTGTTTTGCGCCCTTAGTCGGCTCTTACGACACCCACGGGATGCATTGGGGTAGTGACATTCCGTATTCTTAATCCGTCACTACACTGACAAGTATAAGTATAAGTATTTAAGTATAATCTAAGAACGTACCGTGATAAAAAAAAACAATCTTCTAATTTTGACCACTTCGCAATTCATAATATTGTCACGAAACCTTGTAAAAGTTAGATTAACCACGCAATTCCGGGAATCGTTTAATAATAATGCAGGTCGGCGCGTAACAATAAGTTTTAGTACAATATACATAAGATAGAAAATAGATTATCGCGCGATTATCTTGTTTACATTTGAAACGAATTTGTATTGAAATTGCTGGAATGTTCCTTTACGAGTATTTTAAATTCGGACACGTCTTTGTTGCAGTCAGTTTAGTTTAGTTCGAGCTACGGTGCGATAAACATCGAAGCGACAGAAGCGAATATAAGTGTAACCCAACGACCTCGGTGATCATTTCGGACTATTCTTCACTGTTGTGTGAACGTCTTAAATACACTAAAAATAAAGTCTCTTTAGTCGTCAAAAGGCTTAACAATACATACAGGGTTACTGGTTAAGTCAACCTAGATACTTTAAGGGGTTGTAGCTGCCATAAGTTCTGATAGATTTCATCATGAAATACCATATCCCAAACCTAAAGATTTTCAAGATATTGAGTTTGTTAAGTTAACTACAATTTTAGTAATGGAAATTCTTAGACAATGTATCAACTATACAAGAACAGTAAAAATATCAATTTATTAAGCAACATTTCTGATTTTTTATAAAAATCTGAAAAGTCCATTATTTGCAAAAAACAGTATTTACTATACGGTGATTTATTAAGAAAGCTAATGGAATTGCCACATTAACTACTCACAGTAAACAATTAAAAAAAGTTCAGCCTTCTGTTTTATTCTGAAAGTACATCTCTGCAAGTGGATTATTACAAGAATAGATCATTCAGTTACGCTTCGTTGACAGCTTGGTCTAGATAGATATCGAGGATTAGTTACGCTTGGCTACACCACATAATTAAGCCGTAAGCCGGGCTTGGCTGCCACTGATGTCTTTGTGACGTAGGCGTTTCATTAGCTTTAGCAAAAAGATAGACGATCGAAAGGTATTTTAATTTAATACGGATTTATAGTTTAAACAGGTGGTTAGTCTTGTATCTTATTACTTTATTTAGTACTTGTACAAGTGACAGAAACTTTCCTACTGTTGAGATTTTTGGGGTTTCAGGAACGACGAAATAGGCGATATACCTACAAAGAATACTGAAAATAAAGTTAAAAAAAAAGAACTAAGAAAGGGTGTGTCTTGTAACCTATCCTTTGAAACCGAAACTTAGGTCCTGTACGAAATTTTTAATGAGATATATGAAAATCTTCGAAGAGGTTTGAAAAAACGACTCCCTGATTGTCTGAAGTATCAGGTTGAACGTTTTAAAAAACAGGTAAATAAAAAAAAAGGTAAGTATAAAGAAGGGAATGTCGACGTGACATTTGACAATATGGCAGCTGTGGTTGCACGCGTCAAAAGATCCTTTATAACCGCAGAATGCTCCCTTGTTTGTTTCCAAAATAAAAGATTAAAAGATGAATAATTAATGAAAGGCAATGTAGAAACTTTCTTGTATGAAAATACATAAATATGTCGTGTTAAAACGTTACACGTAGTAATGTTATAACGAGATTAGAAACAATAACGGGAACTGTTAAATAAATTATTTTAACGATTTCAATCTTACATCATAAAAATTCTCGTTCCTAAATTCGAGCTTTAATAAAAAAAAACTTTCGGATTTCATACTAATTACAATATTTAAACACCTAGACATCCAAACTTTAACTGTACACATGAAGTGATGAATAAGTAGTTGTTGCTGTGTCTTAGAACGACACAGCACGTGTACAACAGGAACCCTAAACGACGAGTATAATTTCTGTACTCGCATTTTATGGATTCTAAGATTGAAGCTTTAACACTGCTTACGTAATGGTACTTCAATGTTTTATGTGACACTTTTATTTGAAATTCGCTGCTTCAGCCAAAGGCAGGCAAAAATAATAATTTATAAGTCTACAAATAGGAGAATATCCTTTAAAACTGTAACCTCTAATTTTTTCCTAATATACATAAATTACTAGAATTTAGACCGAAGCCTAGTTATGCAAGCATAAGAATCGGAAATCCTCGATTACAACCGCGTGGGGTTGCAAGTTGATGAAAATATCGATAATTTTATCAAAGGCTTAAAAATATCGATTATTAGGTATATCGATATTTATATATAGTATAGTCTGAACGCATTTTTTTTTATTTCAGCCCATTGCCGTCCACCGCAACATCCGCCGCCAGCCATTTTCTTCAAGTCGTCAGTCTATCTTGACGCAGGGCGCAATATTATATGTATATAATTATAATTAAAACTTTTTCTAAAGTTGTTAGAATTCTGAATAGAAAATAGTAAAAGCGGAGATATCTATTGATATATGTTTTATTCTACCTACAATAAAATAGTTGAAATTTTCCATTATTGCTCATTATTTTTTGTCAATGGAACCTAAAAACGTAGTTTAAACTGTCTTTTCCATGTGTCCGATTCCTGTAACAAGTGGTACCTAGTTGTAACTGGAGCTGAGATGTACATATTTCTAGTTTTCTCTCAATCTCTTTTTAATTTTGGTAAGACTGACCTGAAGGGTTCTGATGCTCTCAAAAATGGCAAACTTCAAAACTATACCCGCCATATTGTCTATATACGAGTATTAATACGTGAAGAACATTCTTTGTACCCATTATTAAACAAGCATGAACCATTTGTGAAGACTAAATGTTTACCTATATGTACCATTATATAGGTACAGTGTATACTCGTGTTTTGAACCTGTCATGGTACAAAAGTCTAGGCAATGAGACTTTAAGATTTACTGGTCAATGAAGTGAAACAAGAAATTGAAAACAGTTGAAAAATTACATTCTAGATTTTTTTTCTCAAAATTTTAGAAGAGGCGGTAGCTTACTGATTAAGGCATCGGACTTGCGATCAAGGGTCAAGGTCAGGGTTCAAATCAGGACACTACCGACGTGAATCCACTCCCAACTAATCTAAATTGCTTGTAATTTAGCTTAGCGGGAGGGGTATACTAGTAATTTCAGTTGCTAGTAGACCTTTAAAAAATTTTTTTTTGCATGGTCGTCTTGACATTGTTCTATATCGATACACGTATTGATTTTAAATACTCTATGGTAAGACATTCGACGTATCATTGTGTCATCACCACTGCCTTCAAAAATAAATCTAAGAAAGAAAAACAAATCTGCTTTGGATATATCTACTGCCGGATTTTTACTTGAAGTGTAAGTACGCAATTCTGAAAAACTTCTCCATAAAAGGAAGCAGGAGAAAGTAACTTTAGAAGTTAGAAGTTACGGACACATTGTGTTTATATTTTGTAATAACAGGAAGGAAAAAAAACTTAACAAGTAAATGAAAATATTTTACCTGTTGAAACTTTCTACTTTTTAGGAGTAGCAAGGTTGTGAAAGAGAATAAAAAGTCTTGATATATATCCTTACCAAGTTCATTACTGTTGAGTATAATTTTTAAACGGCTTCAAATAATAATGTTCTCGGTTCGGTTGCTTTTTTTAAATTTGTAGCTTTAGAACTCTGTAGTTTATGAATCGATTTTCAAATTTCGTTTTTTAATAAAAACGGTATCTTTTCCATTTGGCCTAAACATACAACTATTACAAAACCCAGTAGGTTAAAATTATCAGGCTTTATGCAATCCTCTTTCTGAAAGGATATTTAATTAAACATAGATTGTGTTACAAAACAAAAGACGTTTAATTTATCGTTTGACAGTTATGAGCGATTGTAAAATTAAATGAATAATATATATGTATAACTTTACAAAAAAGTGGATTTGAATAAAATAGAAAAAAGTATTTATGTTACCGTTTACAACATGGAATTGTTTAAATGGTTTTTCTAAATACTTCCTGGCTAACATAATAGATTGCATTTAACTTGAAAATATAACCTAGTATTCCATGAATCGGTTGTCGATTTGAATGTCGCTACAACTTGTACACAATAAAACTTACCGTACTGGTACAGCCAGGGAAGTGAAGACAGATCGGATCCTCGGGCCAGTTCTTCGCTACATAAAAATGGAAGTCCCACACCTTGTTGTTTCGATATGTTTGAATCGTTTGATGAAACTAGAAATAAACAATAAAACGTTAATACATTTTATATAAAAGTTTAGTAAAACATTGTAGGCCATTAAACAGCAGCCGTGCGTGTGGTGACGGATTAAGAATACAGAGTGTCATCACCCCTATTCATCCCGTGGGTGTCGTAAGAGGCAAACTACACAGGACAACAGCACTGCAAAGAGAAGGAAAACTTGACACAAACCCTATACCAACCCGTCTGGCCAGCGTGGTATAGTAGGCCAAAACCTCCTTTCTAAGGAGAGGCCTATGTCCAGCAGTGGACTATTAAAAGCTGTTGATGTGATGTGTGATGATGAAACTGCAGCCGATCTATTCTACATTGACTATTTCAATTTAATTTCTTCTTATTTTTAAAACTTGCTAAAGTAGTAACTTTTATTGATTCGATTAATTCATACGATATCTTGCCATAGGCCTCTATTTATAAATCGTAATCTTGAAGTTATAATTGAAATAGAAATGTATTTCATAAATATGTATATCTTATTCCAACTCCATTAAAAGTTACCTTTAAAGATTCAGGCATATACTGCACTAAGATATCAGCCACAGCTGGGAGCTCGTCTTCTGAAACCAATCGAAAGTTTTTCCCCTCGGGCACGATTTCCATCTCTAAAACAAAAGAATTTCTTGAATTAATTCAAAACTTCAAAATAATTTTTTATGCGTTTTTTTTGTAGATCTTTTTAAGACGTAAAATAGTGTACTATATAATTGTATATTCTGTAGTACACTATTTTGGTTTTGGTTTAAATGACCAAATATGAAATGAATTCTTTGACGTTTAATTAGTTACTATACTCATACGCATGTAGTCTGTATATTTGTGTATGATATGCGTTTATAGAAGAAGGTCCTAAGTCCAACTAGTTATTATGTTATAACTTCGTAAAAGTGCTACTGGACTTATGGCCGCGACCTTACCAACGCAATACCGAAATATCTGTATAACTATGTAGTTCAACTTGTCAAAATAAAACAATATAAATAATTGTGGCGTGGCATGATTGGAAAAGCCGACCCCGTGTAGCGGAAAAGGCGAGGCCGAGGAAAGAATAGTCGAAAGAAATGTATCGACGTAAATTAATATCTGAAGTTCAACTATTAAGGGATTCATTACTAGACTAGATTCTAGATCTAGATTTTAACTTTACCAACATAATTAGGTTGACAATTAAGTTATACTCCAAATATCTGCACTCTAGATTAATTTAAGCGAAGACGGATTAGAGAGTAAAACAAAAACAGGCTTTTTTTATAGACTAGTAAATGAGCAGGCGGGTCCCTAATGATAAGTGACTAACACCGCTTTTAGACACTTGCACACCCGATCTGAATATATTCTTCCTTCCTTAAGCTTCAGGTATCAACCATGGCCACACAAACTTAATGTTTACCAGAGTGAGATTACAGAGGCCCAATCTCTGCTCTCCCCTCCCAATGCAGGAATCAATGACTGGGGATAGTCACTTATCATCCACCATTGTGAATAGATCTGTCCACAGAATCATCAATGTAATCATAGAAACTCAATAAATAAACAATAGTTTACTATATTAGTTTTACTAGTTTTATAATTTAGTACTACGAATAGTGCTAGTAAAACTAATACACATAAAATATATATTAGTTTTACTAGCACTATTCGTAGTATTAAATTATAATCACATCAAGTATGTAGGTAAGTTCAGCCATCTCAGAAGAGAATTTAATACTACCACGACTTGTCGAGTACATCACTTTATCTTAATGAGCAACCTGTCTCGCGCCTAGCACTAATAAATTAATTAGGAACGAATTTATATACATTAGGGATATTGCTAGTGCTTTATTTATTGACTAATTTTATTTTAGGGCTTGCTAACTTCATTTTATTATCGTGTAAGTTGACTGCACGGATAGCGTAGTGATTTAAGCGGTCACCTCGCCGCTTGCTAATGCGCTGAGTGTTGTGGGTTCTTAGTCTATGTAGGTATTCTTTGTGTCCGTTTCATGAATATTTAAAACGTAAACATAACGTAACATCCTGAGTTTAGGCGTATAACGTAAACTGGTTCTAACACTTAAAATACGTCACATTTATAAAGGTGAAAGTTCAAACACTCAGATTATATTATTAAGTTTCAGTTAAGATTAAAATTGTACCCGAAAAGGTTGTTAACGTATTTCATGTTATCGAAATGAAAATCTAAAATGAGCGTTTTATAGTCACGTTAGGGTCTGTTGACTGTTTCTGCTAACATTTTTATGAGTTTACTTTGTTGCTTTCATATACTTATATTTTATTCTTTTGTTATTCATATCATGCGTTATGTGCTGGTGAAATCATTACCCTTTCAATAGTCCTTTAGCCCTTAATAACCTACGACGTATGAGAAGTGCCCGAAGAAATTGTAAAACCTTTTTAATACTTAAGTATGTTAACGGGTTTTTGACCTCGTAGGAAGTTAGTTCTCAACTATTGGTCTAATTTGACAATCTTTTGCATAATGATATTAATAGCAATGAAATTGTGTATTACATGTAAGTCTGTGTTTCGGTTTGGTCGGATCTGGTGAAATGATTTGTTGGAGTTACCAGAGGCCGGCTGGAAGTACGAAGTCTTAAAGCGAGGACTGGTCATTCAAAATATGTGAAGACTCGTTTAGAAATTCCTTAAAAATATTTTGCACGTAATACTTATATTAAGTTATGGTTCAAATATACTAGCCAAGAAGTCTACCTTTAAATCTAAGACTGTACTATAAGTTCGATAAAGCCCAGATAAAACTTGGAAAGAAAAAGAATATTGTAAGCAATGTTCTTGCCAAAAGTGTCGATGAGATTGGATTATCTGCCATATTGTCTGGAATTGATAACAGGTTGCCAAATATTTAGGTATTTTAGTGTTTGATATTTACTTTCGTCGGTAACTTCGTTCTTTGTATTGAGAAATTAGAAGATCTATCTGTTTAGAATCATGTGTTTTGTATAATTTATTTAGATTTATTAACTTTGTCAAACGTTAAAGATAAGTTAGTAAATGATAAAAAAGAACTTCTATCATACTTCAAGTAAGGCAGTAATATTTTATGACTGTTCTCTGTAGGCTATCCCATCTTTCAAGTGGATTTTTTTTTCTCCTAGTAGTCGTTGCGTGACGTTATACATCCTTCCACGATAAATGGACTACTCAACAGTAAAAGGTTTTCCAATTTGAACCAGTAGTTTGTGAGATTAGCTCGTTCAATCAGACAAATGAACTTTGCAGCTTTATAATATTAGTTATTTTATAAATTAACATAGATTACACGGGATCAAGAAGTTATCAAAAAAACTGTAATTTTTTAGAATTTAACTTTGTTACAATGCAAAAGTTCTATGAAATGCTTCTGTAGGCTACATTCCTTTAAAAATCATCACGTTTTATTGAACATAAACACTTTCAATTCAAGAAGAAACCTGCTTTGGGTTTGAATTGAAGGCATTGCTTTAAGTCAAATTTGAATTTAAAACTCAATACATTTTAGTAGGTGTTCCCTACACATCATTCTAGCATCGTAGCAAATTGTTAGGTTATAAATTTGTCGCGTGTTCAACGGTAATAAAATCATGGTCGATCATAATATATATACAATAGCATGCATGGAAGTCAGAGAATCTCGTAATAGTTGATCAGGTTATTTAGTTCTACGTACATACGTGATGTATTACAACATGTATCCTTCTTAATAATTTTCAGCTTGCAAAATAAGTTGAAAAACTTACTTACTACTATGGACCGGCTTTTTTTATTTATTCCCTATTTTGCTTGAATTTAAGTTATTCCTTAGATATAGTACGAGTTTCTGTTGAGATTCGAATCAAATAAATATAGCTAATATTTTATTAAATTTCATAATCATACTGTTTTAATATCAGTTTCCAATGTCCTGGTCTTTCCGTCAAGCCATTTCATTGATGAAGTAATGCAATAATATTAATTGGTAAAACATATAAACAAAATGAAATCTGCCAAACATTTCGGCAAAAGGACCACTCGAACATTTCACTGGCGCCATTTCATTTTACGTACCTTATAAATTATATTATTTGCTTCTTTGTAATAAAACTCAAAATTATTCAGCTTTAACTGTAAGGGTTTATTTAGGCTCACAAATTTTATTTTTAATATTTTCCTTTCCAGTTTCTGTTTTATTTTGTCAGGATATTTTACTAGTTTTTGTACGCGGCTTAACCCGCTTGTATGTCGGTTATCGAGGTAAAAAGTAGTCCATGTTACTTGCTAATAAATTGGTTTAGAGGTTTGGGCATGAAAGCATAACAAACAAACTCACTTTCTCATTTTTAATGTAAATATGGATTTAAGTTGGTAAATTTGTGAAAAGTAAGATACTTTTCACTGATCACAAATATTTACACGTATGGAAAGATTTGCAGCCTAAGTTTAATCCAAGTTTGTAAGTTCATAAGCTGAAAATACATATAAATCCTACGAAAGCTGTTATTCAAGCTATCTGTTCTAGTTTGTAAGCTACTAAATAAATGGTAACTCGATTTTACAGTGGACGCTGCATGTTTTCGTTCAAAGTTCAAGTTGGCATTCTGTAACATACATAACATAAAGTTGTTGAGCCAAGTTTACTCGTCTTTCGTTCTCTATGTGTTAATTTTATTTAGTTTCCTAATACTTTTTCTGACTTAGACTTTTTGCAATAGAATAAAGTAGCAAAAAAAATTGTCTTGTAGATAGATGCTAATCATCTCTTCTCAGCTCATGGCTTCAATTTGGATGAGGTCTATAAAAAGCGGCGTAATGTTGTCCGTGTGGTGACGGATTAAGAATAAGGTGTTTCATCACCCCTATTCATCCCTATTCATCCCGTGAGTGTCGTAAGAGCCGACTAAGGGAACAAACTACTGAGGACAACAGTACTGTAAAAGAAGGAAAACTAGAAAAAAAACCCTAAAATATATATCTGCTAGCTGTGATACTTGTTCTACATGATGATTGCAGTAAAACCATTCACTTTTTAAGTCACTTTCACTAATAGCATTAAAAGATCCCAACCATTTTTGAGAATAATTGGCTTGACACCGCTTCACGCCAGTTAAACACTAGAGCGTCAAGTTCCAGCTGACATAAGCGCAATGTAAAATAGACTTTTATTTGTATTTCGTTATACTTTTACGTTTAAACAATTTTATAATCAGATTTAATCTAATTTTATGGCCTTCTCTCTTTGTTACTCGATAATAGAAAAAGCAAAGGTCGTGAATGGCATTTGTGTTATCTAACTGTTCATTTGTCTTTGTTTAGAGAAAAAAATTATATTATACTAGCTGCACCCCGCCGTGTCACATACGGTTTATCAGATACACTAGAGCGTCTATTATTTATAGGTATATCCTTGCTCATCTCATGGGAACACTAGATTTTTTCGGTATAAAAGTAGACTATGTGTTTTCCAATGTGTGAGCTACCTCAATACCAAATCAAGTCCAGTCATTTGAACGTGAAGTAACTAACATACAAACACACAAACTATAACAATAATTGTAATATGAGAATGCAGTCTGTGATCTTTAATGGACAACTGGTCACCAAGATTGCAATTTGGTGACGCTCAC